GTTTTTTGGGACCCAAGTCTTGACACTTGAGTGAGAGTACGATTAACTTATTGACAACTTCTTTATTTCACATGTAGCATGTTTCACGTGTAGGCATGTGAAAACGCGGGTAACAAAATCTCTATTCCGTTTCCTCCCGAGTTTGGAGCCTCTCAACTCAGCCAAAGTCTTTCTACAATAGAAACAACTTCCTAACTCCTCCCCATAGTTAGACCTTATGGGATTGTTTGGTGCCTAAGATTAAATTGGATTGGATAAACCGTTAAATTTAAGATATGTTGAAACAAGAAAACACTTTTATCATTCATACTGTATTCATTTGCATGTTCGGTGACTCATACGGATGAGGACACCAAGACCGTTATAGCGGTTTTTCTCTGGTGAGTTTGAATCGATCGTGACCAGTATCGGATTCAACATAAGGAGACCTAGAAGAACTCCGGCGAGCTTGAAGTAATCGTGACTAGTATTGCGTTCAGCGTAAGGAGTGTCAAAAAATCATCCCGTGACAGAAATTGAGTTACAAAGAAGCCGGTAAACATTATCTTGTGTCTAGGATAAGTGTGTGAGTACTTCTTATAATCATCGTTCTATAACAGATTTTTGGATTGAGGAGTCCCGTAGATTTTCCCCAGAGGTGGGGTTTTACCATGTAAAATAATTCTGTGTGTGTTCCTTTATTTTATTTTCTGCACGTTTCCAGGATTAATAAGCCATATCAATCTTGCTATTGAAGTTTATTCATATTTATTAATTATAATTTTAAATTGGTCTATTTACCCCCTCTAGGCATTCTTAGTAATCCTATAGGTAATTTCAAGGTGTTTCAAGCTCAGCAAATTCATCAAGATATAAATATGACTACTCACAAGGTGATAAATAAATGGTTGATTGGTCCAGATAGATTAATATACATATATGATGCTACTTGTTTTTCTTCCAGAGAGAGAAGCATATGGAGCTTTTGGGATAGGAGACTGGGATCGTAGAGTCAAGTTCAATTATTAAATTTTACTTCCAAATTTGGGATATAAATTAGATTAGAAGGCAATACTCAGTCTCCAGGGATGTTGGTGACCGGACAAAGGGGAAATTAACCTGCTGAGATGATGAATCAATCAGAAGAGGAAACACATCAGGTATAAACGAGAGCTACGATATTTCTTTCTCTCTTACTGTCTTCTTTTTCATCAACATTTGATCATTAATGTGAATTAGCATCTCTTTCTTTCTCTTTTAACTTCTGGAATTTTTTGTCCTTTTGTTTTGGACGCAAAGCAGCTGGAAGGCGAGGAAGACGAAGAAGAGACACTGAAGACTAAGTGGATATTGGAGATTAAAGAGAGACTCGGAGCAGTTAAGGAAGCAGAAGAATCATGCATCTATCAAGTCCCAAGCAAACTTCGAAAGGTGAGAGAGGATGCCTACAATCCTCGCGTCGTCTCAATTGGACCTTTTCATCGAAAAAACACTGACCTTGTAGCTGCTATGAGAGAGCACAAATGGCGTTATATGTTAAGCTTTCTGCAGCAAACGGATGATCCTGACGAGTCTCACGAATGCTTGGAACATTGCATGAATGCTATTTATAATTTAGACAAGGAGGTTCGTCAATGCTACGCCGAAAACATCGACTATGAGAAGAATGAGCTAGCAAGAATAATGTTACTTGATGGCTGCTTCATCTTAGAACTCTTCCTCAGGTACTACGCCAAGAAAGTGGAAAAAGAAGACGGCCCTGATCCAGTACTAAAAAGTGCTTGGATGATCGCGGCTCTTCAGCATGATTTGGCTTTGCTTGAAAACCAAATCCCTTTCTTTATTCTCAAACGTTTGTATGACATTGTCCAGCCTCGTGTCGTGATCAACGGCCATGAAGCACCACACTCGGTTGCTGGCCTTGCTCTCATGTTCTTTCAACCTTTGAGCCGAAAGCCGATAGATAAAGATCAACATGAGCTGGGGACGGACTTCAAGCACTTGCTTGATCTCTTGCACAAATTCTACTTCCTCAGAGCTGGAGTGTCTGGCCATGAGGTGTCAATTAAGGTCAAGGTCAATAATGTGGAATTGGTTTCCAAGGTTAAATCACAACAATCTGCATGCCTTTTTTTCAGAAAAATATTTAAGAGAAGAAAGCAACAAACTGCTTCATGCCTTCCTGAACCTGATGAGCCAGCAACAAACAACAAGTGGGGATTCAACTATTGCGCTTCGGAACTTTTGGAGTCTGGGATCCAGTTTCAGATTGGTTCTTGGGAGGACAATTTATTGAACATAACATTCAGCAATGGAGTCATCAGCATTCCCCAGTTGATCATTGACGAGGCTACCAGTTCAGTGTTCAGGAACCTCCTTGCCTTCGAACAATACAGCCTTAGCTCTACACATGGCATGACATCGTATGCCTTCCTCATGAAGAGTCTCATCCGTTCCTCAGCGGACACCAAGCTGCTCCGAGAAAAAGGGATCATAAGGCATAATAGGATTGGAGACCATGAGTATTTGAGTCAGTTCAAGGATATTCTTGATGAAGTTGTTGTGAAGGACGACTTCTATTTTGATAAATTGCGAGACCAAGTGAACGAGTATTGCACGTCCTGGTGCAGCTTGAGCAAGCTTCAAGTATTTCTGAGGGTGCGATTTCTAAGAGAAATAAGTGTCCTTTTCAGCACCTACTTCTCTTCCACATGGAGTTTCACATCTTTCCTGGCTGCGTTTGCCCTTCTCATTCTCACTTCCATACAAACATACTACACCATTCACCCTCGCAGATGAGACTTGCTTTCTTGCTTTTGCTTCTTTCTTTCTTTCTGCTTTCACAATGTACGCATGCATATGTGCAATTGAAATAATATTGTATGAAATTGATCATCTGAATAAAACTCAATATTTCATCATCAGGCCGACCACGTCTCAGGCTCAGATAGAAGTTTGTATTATTGCTCATAATGCAACGTATTAGTTTATGCTCCCTTCGTCATATGCAAATTCCTTTCATAGTTATCAATACGCTTTTATGTTGATCAAATCTTGTTTGTCTCTGGGTTTGGTTAAGTTTATTTATAACAAGTGGTTGATTTAGTGAATTTTTTGCCTTATCAAGCATCATAGGTAGTTGCTAATGATGACTGGTTGCGGGTCTCGTGACTTTTCCACAAATTTGACTACATAGGTGAGACTGGTTTTGACTTATTGGTGCAAGCTTTTTCCATATTCTCGGCTCATCGTATTTTCCGTAGTGACGTCTTTATTTCTTCTCTCACTATTTTGACTTTCAGGTTTCTGCCCTTTTTTCTTGGGTGATCCATTTTTGGGTCAGTTATGGCTGTTCTTACGTATGCATAACATGTCACAGCCCTATACATACGTCGTAGCATTCCGTATGGTACACATGTTTATTTGAGGTTTTAAAGATACTTGTGGATCACTACCGACACCAAGGACCTACGCTACGCGGACACAGTACCACGAAGACCTGGTGAAAATAGCCAGTAAAATACATATTTATGACTACACTTTTTTATTTCACCTTGGTTGACTTGACCTACAAAATAATTTTGTTTCTCAGCTCTCTCTCTCTCTCACAGGTGACAAAGGAGATGCAGATGAGAACTTCATTATACATAAAATTCCTTTTCTTTTTTGGTCGATTACATTAAATTTCTTTAAACGACCTAACAAGTAGTGAAAACCAAAGGGATCTACCTGTTAAAAATTACCACCACCATTGCCAGCCAAGTAGCAATCTACCTGCTTGAAATAAATAACTGATCAATAACGACTCCTAAGATGCACTACCAAGAACCAACCAAATACCTCCCTCTGCTAAGCTGCTTTCATGTTCTTGTTATCATCCCGTTGCTCACTTATTACTTGCTCAACCAATCTTCGCTCTTGAGTCAAGGACAAGTCAACAAGAAGTTTGTATAAATAAATAAATAAATACAGGAAAAAACAAGTAAACATGTAGTGCTTTGTGATTGGGCCGCTTCAAAAACGATAAAACAATGTGAGAAGCGGTGGATAACTCCTTAAGGGTCTGCTGGGGGGTTCTTCTTCTTCTCCTTCTCCTTCGAATGGTTCTGCAGGTCCAAGTAGAAAATTTCTTCAAAATCTTCTGAAGTTCATACCTTTAGTTCTAGGGCTCTGATTGATGTACCATTTTCGCCTACATGATCAGTGAATCGAGCCCAACAATCTAAGGTAAAGTTTGGGGGCTGTTATTCAGATTTTTGAAATTCGTTGAATTTGAGTTTTTTACTCAATAAGCTTCATTTACTTGGTTTGAGGTGTTCATTGGGCTGTTTATGTTCGTTGGACAGTTTTTACAGATTTTAGGTTTGTGAAATCTTGGGGGGGTTATTGAGCTTCATATGAAATTGAGTGGAATTGGTGAATTATAATTGAAATTGAGTTCTTGTTGATCTGATTGCAAATTAATTTAAAGTTTTGAGACAGTTTTGTCATTTCCCTAAAGTTAGAGGGTGCGATTATCAAAAGTTCGGGACCTATTCTAACAGAGAATCCGGATTCTGAATGGATCCAATTAGTGTGGAGATGTACCCAGGATGTGTGCTAATTATGTAGTGTGGATGGATGTGTCGTTGACTTGGTGTGTGCAAGACGTACGCGGTCTGACCCCAAAAAAAAAAAAAATAAAATCAATCAGACAAATTGAGCTATAACGTGTAAGCATGTGACAATTTTTATTCCATCCTGGCTCCTCCTTGTTGGATCAAAATGTCAGTAAGAATTAATACAAACAAATGTATGGTTTTTCTTCCGGAGAGATTAATTAATTAATATGTGAGAGCTAGGAAATTTCAAGAACCATATGGCGATTCGGATGGGAGACTTGGATCGTAGAGTAAATTCGATATATTTATTATTATTATTTTTTTCATAATTGGGATATAAATGAATTTAAAGGCAATGCCGATTGATCAGTGGCCTGAGAAGCTTAGATTGGTGGCCGGAGCCGACGATAAAAGGGAAACATGTCTCAATCAGAAGTGAAAAAGGATCAACAGGTAATTGAGAGCTATTGTTTCTCTCTTGTGCATGTGTTTATGTGAATTATAAGCACCTCCTCCCTCTTTCTCTTTGTTTCTGGACTTGCTTACTTTAATTTTCTTCTTCATCTAATCCAATTTCAAAACAGCTGGAAGACAAAGAGATCCCAACGAAAGCTACGTTGATAGAGGAGATCAGAGAGAGAATGGGAGGAGTGAAGAAAACAGTGGACGCATGCATCTATAAAGTTCCAAGTAAACTTCGAAAAGTGAATGAGGATGCCTACAATCCACGCGTCGTCTCAATTGGACCTTACCATCAAGAAAACCCTGACCTCGTAGATGCTATGAAAGAGCATAAATGGCGTTACATGATAAGCTTTCTTCAGCAAACAAATATTCCTCAAGAGTCTAAGGAATGCTTGGAACGCTGTGTTGATGCTATTTATGAGTTATGTGGCGAGGCTCGTCAATGCTACTCCGAAACTATCAAATACAACGAGAATGAGCTCGCAAAAATAATGTTACTTGACGGTTGCTTCATATTGGAACTTTTCGTCAGGTGCCATACCAATGTAGAAGTAAACAAAGATGGCCAACCTGATCCAGTACGAAAGTCTGCTTGGTTGATCACAGCTCTTCAGCATGTCCTGGGATTACTTGAGAACCAGATCCCCTTCTTTATTCTGGTTCGTTTGTATGAGATTGTCAAGCCTCGTGCCACGAAGAATTACTCCGTCGCTAGCCTTGCTCTCAAGTTCTTTGACCCTTTGAGCCGAAAGCCAAGACCTGACGAAAAGGATCAGCTGGAAACAGACTTCAAGCATTTACTTGATCTCTTGCACAAATTCTACTTCCTCACAGATGTATCAGTACCTAGTGTGGTGCTCAACAATATTACTGAGGAACAAACTAGTTCATGCCTTTCTGAACCTGATTATACATCGAGCAACAAGTGGGGATTCAAGTATTGCACTTCTGAACTTTTGGAGGCTGCAATCGAGTTTCAAATTCCGGCTTGGGACGACAACAAATTGTTGAACATAAATTTCGACAACGGAGTCCTGAGCATTCCCCAATTGATCATTACCGACGCATCGAGTTCAGTGTTGAGGAACCTCATTGCCTTCGAGCAGTACGGTGTTAGCAGTACAATGGAGTTACATCGTACGCATTCCTTCTGCAGAGTCTCATAAGTAACACATCAGATTTCAAGCTGCTTCTGGACAAAGAGATCATAGCCCATAATCAGTTTAGCGACCCTGAATTTTTTAGTGAATTTGAGACTATTGTAAAGGATGTTGTTCCCAAGGACGACTTCTACTTTGCTAAATTGCGGGACCAAGTGGACAAACACAAGACGCCCTGGTACCATTTTAACAAGCTTAAAGTATTTTTTGTGGTGCAACTTCAAAGTGAAATTATGATCGTTTGGAAGAATCGTTTCACTGCTAAATGGAGTTTCTTATCAGTGCTGAGTGCGCTTGCCCTTCTCATTCTCGCTTTCTTACAGACATATTATACCATGCACGACCCTTCCAGCTGATCTTTACTTGTCCCATGCTGCTTCTTTGTTTCTTGGCCTGGAGCTGGAGGGTTCCCGTTGGACCATCTAGCCAATGAGTTTATATCAAGCTTTTATATGATTTAATCAGTTGGCCTCCCCTAGAAATGATCAGTCTATCTATAATCTTTCGTAGATTTTATGTATGCATGTGCAATTGTATGGTATTAATACCACGGATCATTCATCAACAAGGATGCAAGTTGAAAAAAATATTCGAATGGGATTCAAACAATGTTGTATATTAATATCTACAACCACATAAAGTAAAGATCTTTTTACATTTGAAACTACAGAAATAGGAAACATCTGGAACAAGACAGAAAAATAACAAATGTTTGCCAAAAGCATAGAAAACTTATTGAAACATCAAAGAATACAAATTTTGCTCGAGTAGCTTCAGCTTCACCATGTTATAGCAAATTCCGTCTTATTAGAAAGGGTCCCAGGGCATTCTTGAAATTCTGTCTACAACAGTGGTAGACAATAGGATAGATGAGCAAGCAAAACAAAGGGTTTTGCTGATCTATATTGAAATAAGAATTCTGGCAACTTAAAAGCTGCAACAACCACTGCTACTTGCAAGATCTAAATTTTGTAATCATATTATGTATTAATTTATGACGATTCTAATTTATAAGAGATAACAAGTCAATAGTTTTGAATTATTTAGCAGTCTGCAATATTTTTCCAGCCAAGCATGCAACTTGTTTTGAATTTGAAGGTTGCTTCTTAGGTAAGTGACGTACATCATAGCTTCTCGTCTTAGGTTATCTAACAAATTAATCATACTCTGGATGTGTTTCGTGCGAAGACCGGGCATATTACAGTATAAAAATGCAACTGTGAGCATAATATATGTTTTCCCTCCTCTGTTTGGGGTCAGATACAGGCAAATGCATGTTTGGTGCAAATAAAACTACGCTGTATGTTTAGCTTTCTTCTGTAAGAGATGAATATGTCAAAGCTGATTGAGGATTAAACTTAGAAGTTCATGTTTAATTAGTTTTTTTTTCTCCAACAGAAAAAAGGACAGGGGCATCCATTAGGATGGTTTTGCTTAATAAAATAAATTGACTATTTTAACACACAAGCAGCTATTATAGAATTGAAATATTTTTTAACTAATAAATCTGGCAAAGAAAATACAAACCTAATCGTTGAATTGGTATGTTGAGAACTAGAAGTTCTCCGAAAAGGAAAGAAAAAATGATTTGGGAGGGCAGGAGGAGGGAAGTACGACTGAATGAGATCTTCTCAACTTTCAGAAAACATATGGCCCTATAGAATACACAGGATCTTCTCAACTTTCAGAAAACATATGGATCTATCAGTAAGTATTTTCCGTTGACATTGAAATATATTTCTTTTTAACTTGTTGGAGTTTCTGGTTTTGCAATTTCATCTCACGTGTGTCAAGTGTGAAGACGGGGGTGCACATTACAGTATAAAAATGCATCTGTTACGTTTTTTCTCTTTTGGTTGGGTTCAGATACAAACAAATACAAAGAAAACTCCACAAACCACTACATGTTTAGTTTTCTTCTGAGATTAAGATGTCAAAGCTGATTGAGGACTAAAGTCAACTTCTAAGGACAGAGACATTAGGATGGTTGAGCCTAATATAATAAATTGACAAACTTTTACACACAACATTTCCATTATAAAAAGGTTCAATATTTCTAACTAATAAATTTAGCAAAAGTTAAAAACTTGATGATTGACTTGGTCTGTTTGAGAACTTGAAGTTCTCAGAAAACAATAGGTTTGGGAGCGCAGAGGAGGAAAGTACGATTAAATAACCTATTGTCAACTTGATAAAGAATATGGGGATAGGAACAAGTCTTCTATAATTATATTTAATCATAATAGGGCTATAAAAGGCAATATTCCGTCCCTCAGGAAGCTCATACTGGAAGCTGAACGGCAAAGGAAAATCTGCTGGGATGAATAATGAGGACATCCTACAACTGGTAAGATTTAGATTTGAGTTTCAGATTCAGTTGTTTCAACAATATTGCAATTTTTTTGTAACTTTTTTTAGTCATCCATGTGTTATACTTGTGTTTCATTGCTGTCCTATAAAATCATGGTAGGAAGCAGAAGCAACTGATAAGAACGAATGGAAGCGGGAGATTACTAAAAAACTTCACCAGAAAGTGGCAAGAGGGTCAGAAAACTTGAGCATTTATAAAGTTCCAAAAAACCTTCGAAAAGTCAAGGATGAAGCATACAACTCTCGTGTTGTCTCAATTGGACCCTTCCATCTAGGCAACCATGCCCTTGTGGCTATGAGACATCATAAATGGCATTACATGCAATATTTTTTTGCACGAATAGAAGATCATCAACAATCCCTCCAATGTTTAGAAGTGTGTACCAATGCTATTTATGATTTAGATGAAAAGGTTCGTGGATGCTATTCCGAAAAGATAGACCACATTGATAAGAATGCACTAGCAGAAATCATGTTACTAGATGGTTGCTTTATATTGGAACTTTTCCTCAGGTATGACCAACACTTAAATATGAAGTTAGAAGACGAATCTGATCCAATATTCAATAGTGCTTGGATGATTGCAGCTCTTCGCCATGATCTGATATTACTTGAAAACCAGATCCCCTTCCTTATTCTCAAAAGTTTGTATGATGCTATGAAGTCTCATCTTAAGGGTACACCAAACTCTGTCACTAGCCTTGCTCTTAAGTTCTTTGAAATGAACCAAAAGTCAACAAAAGAAGAGCCTGACACAAAAAACCATCATTTGCTTCATCTTTTGCCCAAATTCTACCTCCCAAATTTAGATTCCACAACAACAGATCACCAACTGAAACGCAGTGTTACAGAGATCCGACCTGGTCATATGTCAATCTCAGTCTTTGTTGAATTGACTTCTCACATTCAACGTGTTTCTGCAATACATCTAACTTCAGGGATTCCTAGACCTGAACAAGCAGCTGCAACCAATATTAAAACATGGGGATTCAATTTTAGCGCTTCAAACCTTTTAAGGGCTGGGATTGAGTTTGAAAAAGGGTTGTCGGAGGACCATTTGTTAAACATAACTTTCGTCAAGGGAATAATCAGAATTCCACCAGTCGACATTCACTTGACATCAGATTCACTCTTTAGGAACTTGATCGCTTTTGAGCAATGCAGCCTTAGAAGTACGCATCATATTACGTCGCATTTGATCCTCATGAAGAGTCTCATTAGTTCCACACGGGATATAAAACTACTAAGGGAAAGAGGGATCATAAATCTATTAAATCACAATAGTGTTGGAGACCAAGAATATTTCACTGAATTCAAAACTATATTGGACATGGTTGTTGTGAAGGACTTCTGTTTTGGCAAGTTGTGTGACCAAGTGAATGCATACTGTAAGTCCTGGTTGCCGTGGAGAAAACACAAGATATCGACTAGGGTGCGATTTAGGAGACATATAAACTTCCTTTACCGCACATACTTCTCTAGTCCATGGAGTATCATATCATTCGTTGCTGCTGTGGCCCTTTTCGTTCTCACGGTCATACAGACATACTATAGCATTCACTCTCATTAATGTAAATTTGTTGGCCATCCATCAAGTTTATCAGTCATTTATGTAATTGATTCCTCTTCTATAATGATTCTATATATGTATGTTGTATCTAGTTTCACAATTTATGTTTTATTTTGTGGATCCAGAAATGGATCACTAGAAAAAGGACTTGATGGCATCAGAAAGTTTTTGTGCATGCTGAAGTGAAGTGATTAAAGCAATAGGATTGATTGGTTGGTTTATTTCTCTTTAAAATGCAGGAAACTGCACCGGCTCTAAATGCAGAGGAGCTTTTCTACTAAATTTGAACACTCATCGAAACAGAAATGCTCATAACAGATTTACCATACTTTTGACAATATCTAAAATTACATATATAAAGTCGTGGTCTTTTTACATTTGAAACTGGAGAAATAGAATATCTCAAACCAAAAAGACAGAAAATAAAAAATGCTTGGCAATGCATTAAACAAAAACTTCCATAGCCTTGGGACTTATTCAAGCATCAAAGACTATCAATTTAATTTTACTTCTGAACAAAGAGCTCCTTTTCTTTTCTGAGTTCTGCAGAGGCTTTGCCACAGATGAGTCACTTTGCTTGAATTAGCTTCTCCTTCACCATATTACAGCATATAAGTTTTCTTTAAGAAACATATAGGTCCTGGCAAATGACACAGTGCTCTGAGATCAATCTCGCCATGACGCTTCCCTCTCCAATGGCCACCTGTCTACTTTGTTTGTTCCATAGGTGCACAGCATAAGTCTCCCTTGTAATTAGCTCATTTAGTGTGATTTCCACCGCTTTTGACTCCGATTCCCTCTGAGGCTTCCTGAAGATCCTGTGTATCCTAATCCAGTCCAATGGATAGAATGCCTCAGGAGGCAATATTGTAAGGTTATAATCCAGTGACCTTCCACTCCCTTCTAGTCTAGCAATTACTCTGGAGACCAAGTAAGGTCCATTGTGACCCCATTTGTTCCCATTAAAAGTCGTAGCAAATTCTTCTAAGAAGTCTAGCAGAATTGGATGGTTTATGTCAAAGATCATCACTGCACCATTTAGTCTGTTCCAGATTTTGGACTCGAATCCAAACTTTGTGCTCCAATTGCATTCCTCAACCCAGATAAATCCTTCAGAATTATCAAGTCTGTGTCCAAGTAGATACCTCCATATTTGTATAGCATTGCAAGCCTAATCAGATTGGCTAGGTTTTGAGATAATGGGATGTAACCTGGGTCTGTCCTGCCACTCTTTAATTCTTCAAGCCAAGACTCAGCTGGTGTGTTCTTGACAAGAAAGGGCAAGTCTGGTGCGATTGCAAGTATTTTGAACCCTCTGTCAAGTAAAGGCTTCAGGATTCTGTACCCTCTTGCTGAGTCCATGGAGTTTGATATGATCATCAAGCATCCTTGAGGGTGGGATTTGAAGAGGGTGTCCATGGTCAAGAAATCTCTTTCCCCAAATGACTTTGCTGGTGAAAGCCATACCATGTAGAATTGAAGGCTGCATCCATTGTTGAGGAACTCGAGCACTCGACCATGGAACTGCTGTGACAAGTTGTTTGACTTGAGTATCTCTAGCTCTGGCAGTTTTCGTCGGAACCACACAAGTCTTTCCACTCTTGTGGCATTTTCTGGAGGAACCAGAGGATCACGAATTTCATCTTCATGTTCCTCAATCTTTGCTTGAATTGAAAGCTGTGGCGTGCTCTGATCAGTTATGAAGGTTGACTCAATTTGCTCCTGAGGCACTTGAGTCTGGTCATGATTATGGTCAAGAACTTCATGATTTCTCAAGTCAATTGTTTGCATGGGAAGGTTGGAGACAAAGATGTCTGCATAGATAATGAAGAAGATGGCAGCAAATGAGATGGTGGAGAAGAGGGAGGATTTCGTGGTGCGGCTAAGGTGGCTGTGCCTGTGATCCAACACTTTGTGAGACATTCTTTTGACTGTCATGAGTGTAGAATTGGGAGAGGATTCTTTTGGAGAAGGCATTGATCTTGATGAGGAGCCATGGTGATCAAGCCAAGTGGTATTTATAAGTTTCTATTCAGTGTATGATTTAAAGCAATGGTGTGGACGAGCTTGAAATGATTTAAACATGGGTCTGATTTGAATCATCTTCGCAAGAATTAGACGTGAACGTATGTGGCACGTATTGCAGTTATGAGGACTAAATATTTAGCAAATATTATGAGTTTTTTTTATTGCTTTAATGTTCAAAACAATGTTAATGGATCGAGCTTTCACGTCCATTTTGACAAACATAAATACAAATTACATCCTTGAATCAAGTAGGTGGTCAATATATATGAAAAGGGCAGATTTAATAGCTACTTATTACAGCTTGCTGATTATTTATACCTCTTACATCATTGGATCAATCAAACAATAATTATCAAAGAGAGGGACATGTTCATCATACGAACCAAATAGCTTTGTTGGCTCGCCTAAAGGTAGAAATCAACTCTCGCATTCAAGTGGGCCTCCAATATTGTCATTTCCAACAACACCATTGCTCCTAGAACATGAGCAATTTTAGGGTTTTTAAAATGCATTGAGGATTTGATTAGATCACTAGGCTAGACCCCGTTGATTAGAACAGTGATTAAATCTTTGGGTACACGTAAGAATTCCATAATTTTATTAGTTGAAAGCTATAAATAAAAAATCTATTTTTTATTAAGATTCATTGGATTTTCTGAGAACATTAAGAATTTTAGAGAACCATTTTAAATTACAAACTGCCCTTTATAATTTATACTTTTATACTTCTATACTTTTTATTTTTTTTGTTGGGTGAAAAAGGTATATGCAAATCTTTTGGGCTTGAGCCTTGTGAATGAAGCCAATCGTTTTGGGCCTTTGGAGTTCATAATACAAGCCGAAAGCCCACCAAACGGTCTCTAAAACACTTTCGCTCTCAGACCAACACGGTTTATCTCAAGCTCGAATTTCGTTTGCGACTTGGATCCTCTCTTCCACTGTTTTGTTCTCAATCTCGGCAGCTACTACCCATTAACCGTTTCACACACATAAAATGTAAATTCGTACCCCCGTTTCTTGCTCTCTCTTGCTCTTTGAATGAAGGTAACATGGGGATTCAATTTTTGCACTTCAAAAGTTTTAAGTTTCTGGGATTGAGCTTGAAGTTAGATGCTTTTATGGTGATGGGTTATGCTCAAATCACCGTTTTTTATTTATCAGAGACCATCCAGGCAAGCTGTGTGCAGGTAAAGCTTGGACCTTTGTTACTGGTCTAGTTAGGGAGGCTAGAGTATCTTTCAAGTGTTGATGCTTGCAAAGATGTAAGATTTTTCAATCCGAAAACTGATAGTATGGGACGACAAGAATCTGCTTCAAGTTGGGAGATTCAAATAGCTATGAATTCTTTTCTTTTGCTTCAGATTCGAAAAATCGGCCTAGGCGGCTCTAGGCGGCTCTAGGCGGCGCCTAGGCGGTTCTAGGCGGTTCTAGGCGGTAGGCGGGTCTGGGAGCCTGGGCGGGTCTTTCTTTTTGTTTTTTTCTGACTTTAAAAACCTCACGCAGTTGCTTCCTTCTCTCTCACGAGTCGACCACCACCACCAGGCCGCGACGACCCCTTGCCCACACCCGCGACCCGCGACCCTCTCTGTAATGGAACTATGAACATCTACTAGAGAGATAGTGGGTTCTCTTCTGCTAGATGTGATGTGACTAGGTGAGTCAAATGCCTAAGCATATATGCTTCACCCTCACCATTTTATGGCACAAAAATTTCCTTAAGAAGTATACATATCAGGGCAAATGACACAGTTGTCTGAGACTAGTCATCATTCTTCAAGCCAAGTTTCACCTGGGTATTCTTGACTAGAAAGGGCAGGTCTGGTGTTAATGCTATTACTTTGAATCCTCGATCGAGAAGCGGCTTCAGGATTCTGTATCCACTTCCTGAATCCATGCTTTTTGATAGGATCATCAAGCACCGTTTAGGATTGAATTTAAAGAGACTGTCCATGGCCACGAATTCTCTTTTGCCAAACTTGATTGCTGGTGAAAACCATATCATGTAGAACTGAACACTGCATCCATGGTTGAGGAACTCAAGTACTCGACCATGAAACTGCTTGTTTGAGTTGAGTATCTGCAGTTCCGGAAGCTTCCCCTTTTGTGACATTTTCTGGAGGAACCAGAGGATCAGGAACTTCCTCTGCAACTTCATCTATATTTTCCTGCATGGAAAGCTGTGGCATGCTCTCAGCAGTCAAGGTTGATTCAGTTTTCTGTCGAGGTAATCGAGTGTTGTGATCTTGAAAAAGTTCATGGATTCTCAGGTCAACAGGATGCATGGGAAGGTTAAAGACATTGTTGTCTGCATAGATGATGAAGAATATGATAGCAAATGAGATGGTGCAGAAGATAGGATATTTTGGGGTGCGCCTAAGTAGCCTGTAATCAAACACTTTCTGAGACATTATTTTCACCTTCAAAAGAGTAGGATAGAATGATTATTTTTTCGGAGAAAGCTTTGTTCTTGATGAGGCACGGTCTGGCCAAGTACGGCCTTACATATATATAGTAGCGGAAATTGAAATAGGAGGTTTCTGATGTATGATTTACCATTGCATGTTACTGGTCTACACTTCGTGCAGTGCTGGTCCTTAATTTGGCAATTTTTTTGGCATCTAGTGTATTCTAAATTTGGTATAAAAATGTTTGTTTCAATGATGAATCAATCTTTAAATATCTGGACTAAAATACCAATTACATCCTTGTGTCAATTTCTAGCTACTTATTTCAGCTTGTTTATATCCAACAATAATATTAAAGAGGGGCATTCTCATCATCTTAGGAAATGAACTCCTATTTGTGGGTGAGAAATTCCATCCTTTCTCTCACCAATCAAATAGCTTTGTTTTTTGTTTTAGTGACAAGAAATGAGGCATTCGAACTTGAAACATCTTTCAACAGTAATTTAACATTGTAAGTTCATCATGTAGGAGAGAATCACTTACTCGAATACGTATGATGAGAATATTTTAGGGATTTGTAAACGCACCTAAGGTTTTGATTAGCACACCCACCACATTTTGAAAACAATCACAAAATTTCTCATTGTACCTATAACATCTCTGGATACATATGATTCTAATTTTATTGGTTGTAACTTGGAAGGCCGAACCAATTTTCTTTCATTGTTAATTGAAGACCCAACCTAATTGTGAGCTTGAGCCTTGTGAATGAACCCCAATTTGGGCCTATTGAAATTCCAGCCCAAGACTATTACAAGCGAGAGCCAACCCAACGGTCTCTAAAACAGGAGCCATCTCCTAAAATACAACACTTTCCCTCGAAAACCTTATCCGCTTCTCTCAAGCGTCAAGCTTCAAGCTTCAACCATGGCGTCACTGATACTCGGAGCTCTTCCAATCCCCACTCAAACGCTCACTTTCAGCTCTCGCATTTCGTTTTCTCAGTCTGAAACCCTATCCATTTCTCTCCCCTCCTCCACAGCTTCGCTCTCAGTCTCCACAGCTACCACTCCATCAGCCCCTTCAGGTACACCTTAATTCCAAACTCCTCTCTCTCTCTCTCTCTTATTTTCCCTGATTTTTGCTTTCTGCTTCTTCAGTGTACTGCGGTAGGGGCGATAAGAAAACCGAAAGAGGAAAGCGTTTCAATCACTCTTATGGCAATGTAAGTCAAATTTCTGATTTTGACCGTTTCCTCATCACCTTTTGCTCATGAATTTCATGAAATTTTATGATTTTTTATTTGTTTTTCTGAATTTTGAATATTTTGTGAAAAATAAAAATTTGAACTTTAGGCGAGGCCTCGGAACAAGAACAAAGGAAGAGGTCCACCTAGGGTTCCGGTGCCTGTGGCTCCCCCTAAGAAAGATAAGTTTGAAGACGATACAATTGTCAAGGTTGAAATTGATGAGTCTCTGTCGTAGCTAGTTGAGCCCAGTCTCTTTGATTTTTATTTATAATTGTAATTTATGTACCTCGAATTGCTTTATTTGATGAGTCTTTGATCAATACTTTTCTTGGTCTTGCTTGGTATTAGTGAATTGAATTAAGCTTTAAACTTCAATTTCCATATGTGTTTATTTTTGTAGTTTGGAAGGACAGTTTCCCAGATATGCTTGTGTTTCACTTCACTTGTTTATTTAATTGTTTAAAATCTAGATAGGCTATTTTCCTCCTGTCTTGTCTTTTTGGACACAAAACCTTCCTGGAAACACATGGTAGGAAAAACAAATGCTTTCGTATCGCCGGCTTTCAACATTCTTTATAGTTTATAGGGATTTATTGCCGCCTTAGTCTCTTCCGCTGGTGTTTTCCTTCACTATTCTGCTTCTTCTTCATAAACCTGCATCTTGTCTGCTCCTTTATCCGCTCCCAATACCCTAGACCTTTAGGACTATGATGAATTCATCGGAAATAACTGAAGAGAAGGATGATGATAGCAGTTGCCTTGTTGATCCAGAAGTTCAAAAAGAAAGGATAAGGCGGATTATAGAGTATCAGAAATCTCTTTATCGGTCTTCATCTTCGTCTTCTTCCTCCTCTTCCTCAGCTGCTTCCCGCTCCTCGTTTTCTTCAGCTCGAAAAAGTAGCAGTTTGTTAGGTTTGATGAAAGTAGGAAACACATCGTTGAGGAGATTATTTGACATGGAGCATACAAGTTTGGCCAACCATTTTGAGGATTTCAGTGGGTCATCCATAATTAAGCCTATTCTTCTATGGGGCAGTGATACAGACAATGAAAATGAAATGCATGATCCATGGCAATCCATCAAGCAGTTTGGACCACTAAATGAATCTAGGATTGATGGACCAAGTAAGTTTCCTTCAGATGGTAGTTTCCGGGATGGAGAGCGTGGCTTCCGGAATACAGAGGTAAGAATTGGCAACCGCAAGCTGACTAGGAAAAAGTCATTTAGGAGATTGCCCGGATTTGGGTTATGGAGATGCAGAGGATTTAGATTGAGATTAAGATTGAGGCGGCTTAGGATTGCTTTTTGTGGAAGAAAATATTAGTATTTGTCTGCAAACTTGTAATACAGGAAAACCTCATTTGTTTATTTATATCAAAAAATTAAAAAGGGTTAGCTTCTATTAACATATTGAGACAGGAAATGTCTACCACAACAACTCGTTTACAGAATCTTGGATTTACAATGAAATGATGATCTTACTTACACTGGGGCAGAAGATTCAAAATGAAAGTGAAAAAGACAAATTGAACTTTATATGAATAGAAAAAAAGAATGAAAAAAGAAAAGAAAGGGAATTCCATAGCTCTTGAATCGTAGCTAATTCCTGCAAGAGTATGCTAACAAATAGGAGGCTTGTATCGATTTCCAGTCTGCGGCTTTGCCACAGTTGGTTGGTTGAAGATGCTTCACCATTTATTCGTTTGAGAAAATTCTTTAAGAACTGTATATGTCACTGCAAATGACACAATGATCGGAGATTAATCTCTGCATAATGCTTCCTTCTTCGATCGCGACTCGGCTACTTTGCTTGTTCCACAAGTGTACCCCATAAGTCTCCCTGCTGAGCTGAAGCAGCTTTGCTTTTACCCATCGATAATGAGCTTGGCTTCCTGGCTTCTTAAACAGCCCCCCAATCCTATTCCAATCGACGGGGTAATAGGCGATAGGGGGTAGAATTGTAAAGTTGTAACCTGGTCGGTTTTGCACCCTCTGGACCACTCTGGACACCAGATAGGGACCATTGTGCCCCCATTTATTCCCATCAAAAGTCAAGGCAAATTCCTCCATGAATTTGTACAGAAGGGGATGATTCATATCAAACACCAGAACTGCATTATTTAGCCTAGTCCAGTTTTTAGATGCCACATCCACACTTTGTGCACCGATTGAGTTTCGCAACCCCAAGAATGAATTCAAAACTATGAAATCTGTGTCTAAGTAAACACCTCCATACTTGTATAGAATTGCAAGCCTCATCAAATTAGACAGATTCTGGGCTAATGGGATCTCACCAGGGTCTTTTTTGCCTCCCTTCATTTCAGCAAACCAGGCTTCAGCTGGGGTGTTCTTGAACAGAAATGATAAGTCTGGTGTCACTGCATGAACCTTGAACCCGCGATCCTGCAGCGGTTTCAGAATTCTGTAACCACGTCGGGAGTCCATAGTTCTCGAGAGAATCATCAAGCATCCACGAGGGTGGGCTCTGAAAAGACTCTCCATGGACAAAAACTCTCTGCTTCCAAAGGACCTCACTGGTGAAATCCATGTCATAAAGAACTGCCCCTCACACTTGTTAAAGAATTCCAGAACACGACCGTGGAATTGCCTTGCAAACTTGTCTGATTTGAAAATCTCAAATTCGGGTAGCTTGCTCCGAAACCAAGCGATTCTTTCCTCTTCTGTGGCATTGAAAGGAGGAACAAGAGGACTTTCTCTACCAACCTCAAGGGTCTCTTCCTGCATGGAACGCAGGGCTATGCGATTTATATCAGACTTGATCAAATGGCCTGCAGAACTATGAGTCTGCAGCAGCACTGGAGAAGGAGCTTTATCATTCAACTCAACCGATTTTTCGGAGTCATTATAGATGATGCTATCGGCATAGATGATGAAGATGATTGCAGCTAGTGACAGAGTACAGAAGATATGAAATTTGGCAAGGCTAAGTAGGCGGCTGTCCATTCTACTCATCGTCGTCAGAGGAGTTGCATGGGAGAAGAAGTAAGGTTGAAGAAATAGAGCTCAAAGGGAACTTTCATGGCGAAAAGACCAAAGTACTTAACGACACACGCTTATGCAAAGAATTATTGCAGGCATCTATAGTGTAAATGTTTTCTCTCTAGGCGTCTGGCTTTGAAGCATTCAATACGAGACTTTTTGGTAAGAGTCAAATGCTGAATAAAAATAAAAGAAAATACAAAGGAGATAGCCGCCTGTAAAAATGCGTGAGCGTTGCGTGGGATATTAATTTATAAATGAATAATTAAGAGGGTTCTTTAGAGTATCAATAATGAAAAGATGGTGATGGAAACATGTTTTACAACAATCTTATTTAATGATCATTGATTAGGCAATTACCCTTTTGACAGATATTGCTTTCTTTTTCAATGACTTCAGAAGATAGAAAGATACCAGGCAATTTCCTGGCCAACCAAACCCACGCTTACGCATTAAATTGGAATCTCATCAAACCCAGAAGGCCATACCTTTGTTTTTGGGGCAGCAGAAGACCATTCCTTGAGACTTTTTTTAGCAATATTTCTGGAAATTTTGAAGCCTTAATCCGCCCCGTTGGTCCTTGAGACTTAACTGTTTAACTGGTGACCAAAAATATTGGATTAGTAACAACTTGGCCATGTTCTTGGTACAATTTTTTATCTCCTTAAACGTCAACTTTGCTGTGGACCTAAGGAGGAGGGGTATATTGCATAAGCTTTATAAAACTATGTATTATTATGACTGTGTTCTGTCTCATTCTTTATTCTGTTGTTCCCCCACATAATTAAATTGGAGAACCCACCTTTCTCCACTGGGGATTCCGAGCAGACAGTGCTGGTTGTTCTGCTACTTACAGACATTAACCTTTTCTTCAACAACAATCAAAACTATCGAATCCGTTTTGAAATATGTGATGAGAATGTTGGAAATCTTTTTTTTAACCTGGTAACTGGTGTTTCAATTATTAGGTATATGATTTATCTTGATTTAGTGATACTTCTTTGTCAACATTGAACAAAGTCGAATATTCAAATTTTCCTTCCCCATCTACTCATTTAAAATTAAAAAAACAAAGGATCCACTAATATAGTAGTTTAGAGTAACTGCTTCCTTAGGAAAAGTTATGGTTCGAGTTCTGGCATTCGTGCAGCGTCAGTATGTTATGGTCCCTCTCAATAGAAACTTGCAAGATACCTTTTTTCTGTTTTTACAAGTATTTTTATTCATGGACCGATGCATTTGGGATTAAAGGTAATCCTTATTCAATTATTCGACCATAACTTGGCTGATTCACGTTATTCAATCTTAATATTTTTATGGTAGTTGAAATGTCTCTGTTAACCCTAAACCCCTATTTCTTCTATTCGAATATATTAAGATGAGGCTTGAACTCAATCGTGTTAAGATATTGTGTTTCATTTTAATTAGTGATCTAGTTGTCTTAACAATTTCTTATGAGAGGGTGACATGTTAAAGCTGATAGTGAAGGAAAGAAGTTTAAGCTTATATTAACTTGTTCAATTTTTCCACATCTGATTAGGGGTTATTTGGTCATATTAAACAATAACTAGGGACTTGTGTTTAATTATTAGTGATCCTATGGTGTACACAAAACTGATGTACTATTAAGAGCATTCACAATGGGCTTTCTAAACCACCTCCTTAGACAAATTTTAGAGAGGATTGGAAAAATACAACTCTAAGAGCATCCACAATGGACTCAACCACCTCCATAGACAAATTTTAGGGAGGAATCATAAAAATACAACTCTAAGAGCATCCACAATGGACTCAACCACCTCCATAGACAAATTTTAGGGAGGAATCATAAAAATACAACTCCAACCACGCTCCCTATCCACTTCCTAAAATAGAGAGTCCTTTAGGAGCTCCTAAATATGAGGAGAGAGAAAGGACTCCTAGTGACTCCCTATAATTTAATACTACTTTTTTTAATGAGTATTTCAAACCTTTATTTAATGCTAACTATTTTTTATTTTATTTTTTAATAGAGATGGACCAATCAAAAAAGAGTTATAGCATTTATGACTCTCCAAATTAGGGAGTATGGTTGGAGTTGAAATTTTTCAGAGAGCTCCTAAAATAGCTTTCTTAAATTTTTAACTAAATTTTAGCTAAGAAATAGAGAGCATCATTGTGGATGCTCTAACCATGCTCCATATCCACCTCCTAAAATAGGGAGACCTCTAGGAGCTCCTAAATCTGAGGAGAGAGAAATGACTCCTAGTGGCTCCCTATAATTTAATGCTGCTTTATTTAATAAGTATGTCAAACCTTTAATTAATGTTTATTATTTTTTAGATTATTTTTTAATAGAGATGGACTAATTAAAAAAGAGTTATAGCATTTATGACTCCCTAAACTAGAGAGCATGATTGAAGAGCATGATTGAAGTTTAAATTTTATAGAGAGCTCCTAAAATAATTTTTTTATATATGTTTTTAGCTCAAATTTAACTAAAAAATAGAGAGCATGATTGTGGATGCTCTAATTACTTTTGGGTTAATGACTTTGATGATCTTGTTGAATATATATGGCCCCCTAGACTCGTTTGTGTGATAAATCAATTAAAACCCATAAATCTCTCTAACTTCTAGAATGGTTAACTTATGAGGGATAAGTCATCTAATTGTGATTTTACTTGCATGGCCATGTATAAACTTTGACCAAAAGAAAAAATATGTGAATAGACTTGACTTATATTTTGAGAGTATTTTACATTCAAAGATGAAAGATTTTCTTTCAAAGTTAAAAGATATTGGGTCTCTTCACCTACTATTAAGAAATTGATGCTTACTGCTAATCTCATATCCATAATGAAACTAGAACAAAATTTGCATTATTTAACCCAATAATATGGAAACAGAGCTCTCATGCAAGACTGCATTCAACAAAATCACAATAAAAAATTACATACAAACCTGTATTTTCAACAAGATGAGGCAGATCTATTTTAAATTCCTTCACGGGTTCTTTCTCTTATGCATGAGCTTGAGCACCTTTGGAGATGAATCTGATCACCTGGCTCTGCTAGACTTGAAGAAAAGAATAACTGAAGATCCTCTGCATATCATGAGCACATGGAATAGTTCCATCAATTTCTGCAGCTGGGTTGGCGTTACATGCAACCATTCCAACAAAAGAGTCGTGACTTTGAACCTGGAAGCTCAAAAGTTGGCAGGCTCCCTACCACCTTCTATAGGAAATCTTACTCATCTCACTGGAATTAACTTGATAGATAACAACTTTCATTGTGATTTAAAGCCAAACAATGTTCTTCTTGATGAAGATATGGTAGCCCATATGTTGGTGACTTTGGTCTAGCAAGGTTCCTTTTGGAAGCATCAAATAATCCCACCAAAACTCAAACCCGTATCAGTTGGGCTAAAGGGTTCCATAGTCTACATTCCTCCAGGTATATGAAGTTTTATAATCCTCATTTTTTTTTCTGTTCCTATTAACTTATTAAAGAAAATTGAGGGTGGCATCCCAATATATGTGTCGAATGACAGAGTATGGAATGGGAGGCCAAGTTTCCATACTTGGGGATGTTTATAGCTATGGGATACTGTTGCTAGAAATGTTCACAGGAAAAAGACCAACGAATGAACATGTTCAAAGATGGTCTAAGCATTCACCAATTCACAGCCATGGCTTTCCCTGACCATGTCATGGACATAATTGACCCTTCATTGCTCTTTGAAACAGATGACGAGAATGATGAAGATGACGATGATGACAACAAATACATAAATCACATAGAAGAAAGACCAGTAGCAGGATATAAAGATCCTGGCCCAGTCAAAGCAAAAGGACTGGAGGAATGTTTGGATTCATTGATGCAAATAGGGCTCTCATGCTCTGCAACATCACCAAGAGACCGGATGCCTATGGATGTCGTTGTCAACAAAATGAATGCAATTAGAGACTCATATCTCAATTTAAGAAGAAGAAGAAGAAGATCGAGAAGTACAAGATAGACTAAGTTTGTTAAATAATCTCAATTCCCTCATCTACATGCAAGAAATCTTTCGATAAGGATATTATATGTATCAATCTGTGTGAGATCATGTGAGGTTGAATTCAGCATTTTATATGGAAAAATTAAGGGAAGAAGGTTTTATTCCTTTTAGGCCTTTCTGTTCTTCAGATCATTTTTGCTTGTATGGGAAAAAATGGGCGTTTCACATCCTAGTTACCATCTCAAGTTTTTCTGGCCCAGCAGTTTTGATATCTGACAGATTTCTCTCTCTCTCTCTCTCTCTCTCTCTCTCTCTCTCTCTCTCTTAAAAAAAACAAAAACTAACCCGTAAATGAACTTGGTTTTTGATTTGCTCATTATTTGAAAGAGAATGTTGATAACACATTCAGCAATGACATACAAGAAAACGGATGCGTATGATGTGGTTGTTGTGGGAGTAAATTTCGTCCCACTAGAATATTCGTCAAAGATTCTTTCATCTTCTCCACTTCTCTTTCTCCCTGCAAAACAGATCTGGGTAAAAAGACCACACCCGGGGGGGTGTTGGCCAAAGGCCCTCCGATGCCTAAGTTAGGTAGGGTATTTTAAGGAAAACCGGGTGGCCGGAGCCGTGTGTGGTGGCCGGAGCCTGGTGTCAAAGAGAGAAAGAAAGTGGTGGCTAGGGTTTGTGAGAAATAATTTATGCAGAGTTTCAATAGGAATTTAGACATCCCTTAACCTTTGTATGGGGCTATCCTTTTATAGTGGTCTCGGAGGCTAGGGTTTCAGAGGAATAATTCCGTAGTTGGTAAGGAATTATTCCTCCCCGATTTGGCATTGATTTGATTAATTAGGGATTTGATTTATTAGGGTAAATCAAATCCCTAATAGGGGTTATTTGGTCATATTAAACAATAATTAGGGACTTGTGTTTAATTATTAGTGATCCTGTGTTGCACGCAAAACTGATGTACTATTAATGACTTTTGGGGTTAATGACTTTGATGATCTTGTTGAATATATGGCCCCCTAGACTCGTTTGTGTGATAAATCAATTAAAACCCATAAATCTCTCTAGCTTCTAGAATGGTTAACTTTATGAGGGATAAGTCATCTAATTGTGATTTTACTTGCACGGCCATGTATAAACTTCGACCAAAAGAAGAAAAAAAAAATGAATAGACTTGACTTATATTTTGAGAGCATTTTACATTCAAAGATGAAAGATTTTCTTTTGTAGTTAAAAGATTTTGGGTCTCTCCACCTACTTTAAGAAATTGATGCTCATTGCTAATTGTTGGCGTGAGTCAACATTCCTATTATGAACAGAATTTATATTTTATTGTAATTATTTAGTTTGAGTGGAATCAAGAGATTTTGTGCATATTTCCTATTTGTATCCACTTTGTATATAGTATATATATTCCTCCTTGAGAGAAGAATAAATATATCAGTTTAAACTCTAATTATTTTGAGTCTAATAATAAGAATTCATAGCCAACTTCTATCGAGGTCTAGCTTAGTGAAAAAAAGAGCATTAATTTGTAGACTAGTAGTTTCATACTAGAACTTCATAGAGTCATGGCACCATATTAGTGTGTTTGTTAGAAAACCCCTTTTTCACTTGTAGTTTAGACTTTTTTTAAAAAAAAAATTTCATAGGCTACATCACTTTTTCGTCTCACAAAGCAACCTTGGAATATTTAGGGCCCGTTTGGTAATGTTTTTAGAGAGCATTTTTAGAGAATGTTTTCATAGAATGAAAATGAGAAAATGAAAACGCATTTTCAGAGAAAAAAAAACACGTGTGGTAGCTTGGTTGAAAACTATTTTCAAAGAACAAAAACAGTGAAAACACGTCTGGCAGTAATATGTGAAAATGACAAAAACAATGAATATGTAACTTTAATTAAAATGCATTATGTTTTTTTTAATACAACATTATGTAATCAATATGTGAGTTTAAAAAAAAAAATTACTATGTATATCTATATCTATATATATAAAGCAAAAGGCAGAGAATGGTGAAACATTCAAAATACCAAAATATGTCATTGGTTAATGTAAACATTAAGAATTGAAATTATTAATTAAATAAGGATAATATGATAAATTCACACTTTTCATATTTAAAAAATTAAAATAAGATAATGGATCCTATTTTTATGGAATACAACTACCCATTATATTTTTTAATTATAAAATACATTTTAATTTTTTAAAAAAACTTAAAATTAAAAACAAAATCAGATAATAGGTCCTACCTTTATGAAACATAACTACCCATGTTATCTTTTCTTAATTCTAAAAATAAAATAAAAAATAAAACCAATTGGCACATGCGTGAGCATGTTGCAATGGGCTAGTATATATAAAGCAAAAGGCAGAGAATGATGAAACATTCAAAATACCATAAAATGCCATTGGTTAATTCAAACATTAAGAATTGAATTATTAATTAAATGAGGATAATATATTAAATTCATATTTTTCATATAAAAAATAAAATTAAAAACAAAATCAGATAATAGGTCCTACTTTTATGGAACATAACTACCCATATTATCTTTTCTTAATTCTAAAAATAAAAAATAATAAATAATAAAAAACCAATTGGCACACGCGTGAGCATGTGCCAAGGGGCTAGTTATTTGTAAAAGTATTTTTTTTAATCATCTAAAAGAATATCATTTAAAAAAATAGAATAAATTCTAAAGTATAAAACTAGAATTATCTTTTTAAAAAAATTAAAATGAAACATCAACCCAACCTTCTCTTTCACTCTTTGCAAACCCACCCCAATTCTATCTCCCCCCCTTTCCTCTGTGTTTTCTGTTTTTGTCCACCGAACAGGTTTTTTGTTTGGTTTTGTTCTCTCAAAATGAAAATGAGGTCTCAAAACATAAACGAACAGGGGAACCAGGCAGGTTTCCTCTTTGCGTGTTGTTCTTAGGCCTTCTACTGCACCAACGAAAACAATGGACTCTACACAGATAATGTATTATAAATTTTAGGTTTATAGTGGGTAGACCATTTATTACAAAATCCAAAAGACAAAAGGAAAAAAAGTGCGACTATTTTTTAAATTTTATATTCTTCACATATGTGTATGATCTTAAAATATTTCCCTTCACTTTCTATTTAATTCTCAATAATCTTATGCAGACTCAAATAAATCGAACAGTCGATGTGAGATTTTATCTTCTTCATACATGTGTATGATCTTAAAATGTTTCCCCTAACTTTTTCTTTAATTCTCAATAATCTTATGCAGACTCATATATGTGCAACCCTAATTTTTCTGATATGGGATGATATTATTTGGTCCTTTTGTATTTTCTGGTGCAGAAATTTACCATACCCTGCTTTAGCAAAATGGTTGTCTCCCCTGGAGCTATATATGGTAATATAATACTCTTAATTAATCATTTTAACTCTATACGCATGTAGTATTTAGAACATGTCACCATCTCAACTATCCAGAAGTCTTTAGATGACTCATACTGTAACAAGTCTTAATCTTTAGAACATGTGTCACCATCTCAACTAAAAATCTATTCTCCATTAATGAAATTTTAAATATAGAGACCTGCTTTCCCAACTAAAAAATCTCATCTACATAATGAAACTATAACAAAATCTGCATTATTTAACCCAATAAAATGGCAATAGATTCTCATGCGAGACTGCATTCAACAAAATCATCACAATAAAAAATTACATACGAACCTGTATTTTCAACAAGATGAGGCAGATCTATTTTAAATTCCTTCACGGGTTCTTTCTCTTATGCATGAGCTTGAGCACCTTTGGAGATGAATCTGATCACCTGGCTCTGCTAGACTTGAAGAAAAGAATAACTGAAGATCCTCTGCATATCATGAGCACATGGAATAGTTCCATCAATTTCTGCAGCTGGGTTGGCGTTACATGCAACCATTCCAACAAAAGAGTCGTGACTTTGAACCTGGAAGCTCAAAAGTTGGCAGGCTCCCTACCACCTTCTATAGGAAATCTTACTCATCTCACTGGAATTAACTTGATAGACAACAACTTTCATGGTGAAATTCCTCAAGAAATGGGACGTCTACTGCGCCTGCAATATCTCAACCTGACTTCCAATTCCTTTGGTGGGAAAATTCCAAGTAACATATCTCACTGTACACAGCTGAGAGTGCTTGATGTTGGTTCCAATAAGCTTATTGGGTCCCTTCCGGATCAACTCAGTTCATTGTTGAATTTAACTCATCTATGGGTTGATGAAAACAATCTCACTGGAACTTTCCCAGATTGGATAGGAAACTTTTCTTCTTTGTATGCTATTTCTCTTGCCCACAACAATTTTCAAGGAAACATACCGAATGAGCTCGGGCGCTTAACAAGCTTGGGAAGATTTGTAATTCCAGGGAATAAATTTTTCTGGTATGGTTCCTTCTTCAATCTATAATATATCCTCCATATACTATATCACTGTTACTGACAACCAGCTGCATGGAGAGCTGCCAAAAGATGTGGGGATCACTCTTCCTTATCTCCAGATATTTGCTGGTGGTGTCAACAAATTCACAGGTAATATTCCTGTATCCTTGTCAAATGCTTCTAGACTTCGAAAGCTTGATTTTGCTGAAAATGGTCTCACTGGGAAACTCCCAGCTGAAATTTTGGAAGCTTGCAAAGCTTATCTAGACTGAACTTTGATGACAATAGACTGGGAAGTGGAAAAACTGGTGACCTGAATTCTCTCAGTTTCCTTGCTAATTGTACTAATCTTGAGGTGTTGAGTTTTAGCCGAAATCGTTTTGGAGGAGAATTGCCAGAGTCCATATCCAACCTCTCAACAAAACTTAGAATTTTTACAATGGGGGGTAATTTGATACATGGAAGCATCCCTATCGGCATTGCAAATCTTGTAAACTTGATCAATCTAGGAATGGAACAAAACTACTTTGGTGGCAGTCTCCCTGATGTAATTGGCAAGCTTCAGAAGTTACAGGGATTGTATCTGTATCTTAACAAGTTTTCTGGGCCAATCCCATCCTCCCTAGGTAACTTGACTTCAGTAACAACGCTCTTAATGGAGGGTAATAGGTTTGAGGGAAGTATACCTCCAAGCCTGGGAAACTGCCAAAGCTTATTGATACTTAACCTTTCTAGTAACCAACTAAGTGGCACCATACCTAAAGAGGTTGTTGGGCTTCATCCCTTTCAATTTGTTTGTCCATGTCTAACAATTCTTTGACTGGTCCACTACCATCAGAAGTGGGTGAGTTGGTAAATCTCTCGGAGCTAGATGTATCAGGAAACAACTTATCAGGTGAAATCCCCATAACCCTTGGCAGCTGCACTAGTTTGGTGAGCCTGCATTTGGAAGGTAATGAATTTGAAGGAAACATTCCTGAAACTCTGACAAAATTAAGAGGCTTGGAAGAAATAGATATTTCACGCAATCACTTATCTGGGAAAATTCCTGAATTTCTAGGTAAGTTTAGAGCTCTTAAGCAACTCAATCTTTCTTATAATGATTTTGAGAGTGCATTGCCTGAAGAAGGAATATTTTCAAATGCCAGTGGTGTCTCAGTTTATGGAAATAATAAACTGTGTGGTGGCATCCCAGAATTACTTCTACCTGTATGCTCTAACAAAAGCCTCATTCATCTCAAGGATTACTTTCCCCAAAAGTAGTAATTCCTGTAACTTGTGCACTTGCATTCATTGCCCTATCATGCTTTATTGCTGCTTGTAGAATGGTGAAAAGGTCAAGAGGTCCACTTTTAACTTCACATTCCTATGGGGATTGGAAATTAGCCGTCTCTTACTTAGAACTCGCTCAATCAACCAACGGGTTCTCTCTCGACAATCTCATTGGTTCAGGAAGTTTCGGTTCTGTGTACAGAGGAGTACTCTCTAGTAATGGCATGGTAGTTGCTGTTAAGGTATTAAACCTTAACCAAGAAGGAGCTTCCAAGAGTTTCATTGATGAATGCAAAGCTTTAAGAAGTATAAGGCACCGCAATCTTCTCAAGATCATAACCGCATGCTCAAGCATTGACAACCAAGGTGATGAGTTCAAAAGTCTAGTTTCCGAGTTCATGGAAAATGGAAGTCTAGACCAGTGGCTGCATCCAAGAGATGATGAACAATCTCAAAGTAAGAGATTGAGCCTGATCCAAAGACTAAATGTTGCCATAGATGTTGCTTCTGCATTAGATTATCTACACCACAATTGTGAAACATGCATTGTTCATTGTGACTTAAAGCCAAGCAACGTTCTTCTTGATGAAGATATGGTAGCCCATGTGGGTGACTTTGGTCTAGCAAGGTTCGTTTTGGAAGCATCAAATAATCCCACCAAATCTCAAACCATGTCAGTTGGGCTAAAGGGTTCCATAGGCTACATTCCTCCAGGTATATGAAGTTTTATAATCCTCATTTTTTTTCTATTCCTATTAACTTATTATTAAAGAAAATTGAATGTGACATCCTAATGTATGTGTCAATTGACAGAGTATGGAATGGGAGGCCAAGTTTCCATACTTGGGGATGTTTATAGCTATGGGATACTGTTGCTAGAAATGTTCACAGGAAAAAGACCAACGGATGACATGTTCAAAGATGGTCTAAGCATTCACCAATTCACAGCCATGGCTTTCCCTGACCATGTCATGGACATAGTTGAGACTTCATTGATCTCTGAAACAGATGACGAGAATGATGAAGATGACGATGATGACAACAAATATGGAAATCGCATAGAAGAAAGACAAGTAGCAGGATATAAAGATCCTGGCCCAGTCAAAGCAAAAAGATTTGTGGAACGCTTGGATTCGTTGATGCAAATAGGGCTCTCATGCTCTGCAACATCACCAAGAGACCGGATGTCTATGGATGTCGTTGTCAACAAAATGAATGCAATTAGAGACTCATATCTCAATTTAAGAAGAAGAAGAAAAAGAAGAAGAAGAAGATCGAAAAGTACAAGATAGGCTAAGTTCGTTAACTAATCTCAATACCCTCATCTACATGCAAGAAATCTTTTGATAAAGGATATTATATGTATCAATCTGTGTGAGATCATGTGAGGTTGAATTCAGCATTTTATATGGAAACAAAAATAAGGGAAGAAGGTTTTATTTCTTCTATTCAATATATTAAGACAAGGCTTGAACTCAATCGTGTTAAGATATGTTTTATTTTTAATTAGTGATCTAGTTGTCTTAACAATTTCTTATGAGTAGAAGGCCCAAAAACAACACACACAAAAGAAAAGAAAAAGAAAAGGGGAAACCTGCCTGGTATTCGGAAATATTCTTCTTTGGTTTTTTTTTTTTTGTTTTTTGGTTTGATGGAATTCCCCAGTTGCTTTGTGACATGAAGAAGTGATGTAGCCTATGAATTTTTTATTTATTTTTAATACAAGTGATAGTTTAAACTACAAAGGGGATGAGGGTTTCTAACAAACACATTATTAAGGTGACATGACTCCATGAGGTTTGATATGAGACCACCAATCTACAAATTAATGCCCTTTTATACTGGGCTAAACCCCGGTAGATGTAGCCTATGAATTCTTATTATTAGAAGTGAGCATCAATTTCTTAATAGTAGGTGAAGAGACCCAAAATCTTTTAACTACTAAAGAAAATCTTTCACCTTTGAATGTAAAATACTCTCAAAATATAAGTCAAGTCTATTCATATATTTTTCCTTTTGGTCAAAGTTTATATGTGGCCATCCAAGTAAAATCACAATTAGATGACTTATCCCTCATTACCCCTCATAACCATTCTAGAAGCTAGATAGATTTATCACACAAACGAGTCTAGGGGGCCATATATTCAACAAGATCATCAAAGTCAATAACCCAAAAGTCTAAAAGTACATCGGTTTTGCGTACAAGACATGATCACTAATAATTAAACAGAAGTCCATAATTATTGTTTAATATGACCAAATAACCGAACCGAACTCCTAATCAGATGTGGAAAAATTGAACAAACCAGAAAGGGTCCTTAATATAAGCTTAAACTTCTTTTCTTCACTATCAGTGCCAGCTTTAACATGTCACCCTCTGCACCAGCGAAAACCATGGACACCACACAGATAATGTACTATAAATTTTAGGTTTATAGTGGGTGGACCATTTATTACAAAAACCAAAAGACAAAAGAAAAAAAAGTGGGAGCATGGAAATTTTTATAGTTTTCATATTCTTCACGTATGAGTATGATCCTAAAATGTTTCCCCTAATTTTTCCTTCAATTATCAATAATTTTATGCACTCCCAAATAAATCAAACTGTCGATGTGGAATTTCATATTCTTCACATATGTGTATGATCCTAAAATGTTTCCCCCAATTTTTTCTTCAATTATCAATAATCTTATGCACACTCAAATAAATGGGAGTGTCGGTGTAGGACTTTATATTGTTGTTGAGCTGCATGAAGATTTATATGATATTATTTGGTCCTTTTGTATTTACCATACCATGCTTTAGACATGCCTTTTCTATGTACATAAATTATAAAACTGTTAGCAGAATGGTTGCCTCCTATGAGCTGGAAATATCCCTAAGAAACTGTTAGCAGAATAATATAATACAATCATTTTAACTCTATATGCATGTAATATTTAGAACATGTCACCATCTCAACTATCCAGAAGTCTTTAGATGACTCATACTGTGACAAGTCTTAATCTTTAGAACATGTGTCACCATCTCAACTAAAAATCTGATATAGGAAAAAGATCTGCTTCCCAGCTTAAAATATCATCTCCATAATGAAACTAAAACAAAATCTGCATTAACATAGAAACAGAGTTCTCATGTAAGACTGCATTGTTTGCAGAAAGATGTGGCAGATCTTTTTTAAATTCCTTCACGTGTACGGCTTCTTTCTCTTATGCATGAGCTTGAGCACCTTTGGAGATGAATCTGATCACCTGGCTCTGCTAGACTTGAAGAAAAGAATAACTGAAGATCCTCTGCATATCATGAGCTCATGGAATGGTTCCATCAATTTCTGCAGCTGGGTTGGCGTTACATGCAACCATTCAAACAAAAGAGTCGTGACTTTGAACCTGGAAGCTCAAAAATTGGTAGGCTCCATACCACCTTCTATAGGAAATCTGACTTATCTCACCGGAATCAACTTGATACACAACTTCTTTCATGGTGAAATTCCTCAAGAAATGGGACGACTGCTCCGCCTGCGATATCTCAACCTGAGTTTCAATTCCTTTGGTGGGAAAATTCCAAGTAACATATCTCACTGTACACAGCTGAGAGTGCTTAATGTTGGTTCCAATAAGCTTATGGGTCCATTCCGGATCAAACTCAAATCATTGTTGAATTTAACTCATCTATGGGTTAGTGGTAACAATCTCTCTGGAACAATCCCAGATTGGATAGGGAACTTTTCTTCTCTGTATGCTATTAATATTTTTCAAAACAATTTTCAAGGAAGCATACCGAATGAGCTCGGGCGCTGCACAAGCTTGGGAAGATTTGTAATTGCAGGGAATAAACTTTCTGGTATGGTTCCTTCTTCAATATATAATATATCCTCCATATACTATATCATTGTTACTGAGAACCAGCTGCACGGAGAGCTGCCAAAAGATGTGGGGATCACTCTTCCTAATCTGGAGACATTTGCTGGTGGTGTCAACCAATTCACAGGTAATATTCCTGTATCCTTGTCAAATGCTTCTAGACTTCGACAGCTTGATTTTGCTGAAAATGGTCTCACTGGGAAACTCCAAGCTGAACATTTCGGAAGCCTGCAAAGCTTATCTAGACTGAACTTTGATGACAATAGACTGGGAAGTGGAAAAACTGGTGACCTGAGTTCTCTCAGTTTCCTTGCTAATTGTACTAATCTTGAGGTGTTGAGTTTTAGCCGCAATCGTTTTGGAGGAGAATTGCCAGAGTCCATATCCAACCTCTCAACAAAACTTAGAATTTTTACAATGGGGGGTAATTTGATACATGGAAGCATCCCTGTCGGCATTGCAAATCTTGTAAACTTGATCAATCTAGGAATGGAACAAAACTATTTTGGTGGCAGTCTCCCTGATGCAATTGGCAAGCTCCAGAAGTTACAGGGACTGTATTTGAATCTTAACAAGTTTTCGGGGGCCAATCCCATCCTCCCTAGGTAACTTGACTTCAGTAACAAGGCTCTTCATGGAGGGTAATAGGTTTGAGGGAAGCATACCTCCAAGCCTGGGAAACTGCCAAAGCTTATTGATTTTTAACCTTTCTAGTAACCGACTAAGGGGAACCCATACCTAAAGAGGTTGTAGGGCTTTCATCCCTTTCAATTTGTTTGTCCATGTCAAACAATTTTTGACCGGTTCACTACCATCAGAAGTGGGTGAGTTGGTAAATCTCTCGGAGCTAGATGTATCAGCAAACAACTTATCAGGTGAAATCCCCGTAACCCTTGGCAGCTGCACTAGTTTGGTGAGCCTACATTTGGAAGGTAATGCGTTTGAAGGAAGAATTCCTGAAACTCTGGCAAAATTAAGAGGCTTGGAAGAAATCGATGTTTCACACAATCACTTTTCTGGGAAAATTCCTGAATTTCTAGGTAAGTTTAGAGCTCTTAAGCAACTCAATCTTTCTTATAATGATTTTGAGAGTGCATTGCCTGAAGAAGGAATATTTTCAAATGCAAGTGGTGTCTCAGTTCATGGAAATAATAGACTGTGTGGTGGCATCCCAGAATTACTTCTACCTGTATGCTCTAACAAAAAGCCTCATTTATCTCAAGGATTACTTTCCCCAAAAGTAGTAATTCCTGTAACTTGTGCAATTGCATTCATTGCCCTATCATGCTTTATTGCTGCTTGTAGAATGGTGAAAAGGTCAAGAGGTCCACTTTTAACTTCACATTCTTATGGGGATTGGAAATTAGCCGTCTCATACTTAGAACTCGCTCAATCAACCAACGGGTTCTCTCTTGACAATCTCATTGGTTCAGGAAGTTTCGGTTCTGTGTACAGAGGAGTACTCTCTAGTAATGGCATGGTAGTTGCTGTTAAGGTATTAAACCTTAACCAAGAAGGAGCTTCCAAGAGCTTCATGATGAATGCAAAGCTTAAGAAGTATAAGGCACCGCAATCTTCTCAAGATCATAACCGCATGCTCAAGCATTGACAACCAAGGTAATGAGTTCAAAAGTCTAGTTTCCGAGTTCATGGGAAAATGGAAATCTAGACCAGTGGCTGCATCCAAGAGATGATGAACAATCTCGAAGTAAGGATTGAGCCTGATCCAAAGACTAAATGTTGCCATAGATGTTGCTTCTGCATTAGATTATCTACACCCACGATGTGAAACATGCATTGTTCATTGTGACTTAAAGCCAAGCAACGTTCTTCTTGATGAAGATATGGTAGCCCATGTTGGTGACTTTGGTTCTAGCAAGGTTCGCTTTTGGACAGCATCAAATAATCCCACCAAAACTCAACATGTCAGTTGGGCTAAAGGGTTCCATAGGATACATTCCTCCAGGTATGAGTTTTTATACTTCCTCATTTTTTCTATTCCTATTAACTAATTACCTAAAGAAATTAAATCTCTATATATATATATATTTTAAAATATATATCCTCTATTTTTTTTTTTTTTTTTTTTTTTTTTTAGGAAGAACTATTAGCAAAATTTTATATAAGATATAAACTCTGAAGGTCAATTTACTGTGACATCCTAATTATGTGTTGAATGCAGAGTATGGCATGGGAGGCCAAGTTTCCGTACTTGGAGATGTTTATAGCTATGGGATACTGTTGCTAGAAATGTTCACAGGAAAAAGACCAAGTGATGACCATGTTCAAAGATGGTCTAAGCATCACCAATTCACAGCCATGGCTCGTCCGACCATGTCATGGACGTAGTGAGCCTTCATTGCTCCTTGAAACGGATGATGAGAATGATGAAGATGACAAATATGGAAATCGCATAGAAGAAAGACAAGTAGCAGGATATAAAGATCTGGCCAGTCAAAGCAAAAGATTGGGGAATGCTGGATTCGTTGATGCAAATAGGGCTCTCATGCTCTGCAACATCACCAAGAGACCGGATGTCTATGGAGATCGTTGTCAACAAAATGATGCAATAGAGACTCATATCTCAATTTAAGAAGAAGAAGAAGAAGAAGAAGATTGAAAAGTGCAAGATAGGCTAAGTTTGTTAACTAATCTCAATACCCTATCTATATGCAAGAAATCTTTTGATAAAGGATATTATATGTATCAATCTGATCATGTGAGGTTGAATTCAGCATTTTATATGGATAAAAATAAGGGAAGAAGGTCTTATTCCTTTCTAGCCTTTAACACTACCCTGTATCTGAACTTGGTTTTTGATTTGCTCATTATTTGAAAGAGATAATGCTGATGACACATACGGCAATAACATACAACAAAACGGAACGACGCTTATGAATGTGGTTGTCAACAAAATGGATGCAATTAGCACATGCCTGCTTTTGCCGAAAACCTGGATATGCAGAGACACTGCAGCAATGAATTATTGAATAGAGAAGGCAGCACTGATCTGGCCATGAGCAAGGAAAATTAAGTGTTCTTTTCTCAGCAAAACGCATGTGCATTTTATGAACATAGTATCATCCAACTGGAGTAATTAATATAGGAACCCTCTGCATGTGCATTTTTTTTAATATTAATTAAAGGTCGAGATTATGAATGACACCTGTCATTAGTTTTCAAAATTCTTCCCTCATTTAAAAAGATGACCAACTATTTTACACGCCAAAGTTTCTCTAAACTTGGCTTTCTGAAAGAGAAGATTTGAATGACTGATGAAACAGAGAATGTGATTGTATGTCAAATATTACATTGTTGTTTTCCAAAATTATTGGCCAGAGATGTAGCCAGAATGAACAACTATAATTCTACGAGCCATTTACTTAATCTAAAATGGCAAGAAAGAGTCCTAAAACCCCAGCAGAGAAATGAGCTTAGTCAAGTATCTGCATCTATTTCACATCTATATAGACAAGTTGCGAGCTTTAAGGCTACATTATGTTTCCTTCCTTACGGTCAACGTTGGTTCTTAGTCTTAATTAGGTGTCTCTTACTCAGAACTCGTTCAATCCACTAACGGGTCTCTGTGGACAATGATTGGTTTGGGAAGCTTGGTTCAGTTACAAAGGAGTAGTCCCTAGCGATGGAACAACAGTTTGCCGTTAAGGTATTCAACCTTCAACAACCTGGATCTTTCAAGAGCTTCATTGATGAATGCAATGCTTTAAGAAGTATAAGGCACCGTAATCTTCTCAAAATCATAACTGCACGCTCAAGCATTGATAATCAGGGTAATGACTTCAAAAGTCTAGTTTTTGAGTACATGGCAAATGGAAGTCTAGACTCATGTCTGCATCCAAGAGATGATGTGCAATCTCAATGTAAGAGATTGAGCCTCATCCAAAGACTCACCATTGCAATTGATGTTGCTTCTGCATTAGATTATCTCCACCATCAATGTGAAACGTCTATCGCTCGTTGTGATCTAAAGCCAAGCAATGTCCTTCTTGGTGAAGATATGGTAGCCCATGTTGGTGACTTTGGTTTAGCAAGGTTCCTTCTTGAAGCATCAAATAATCCTTCTGAAAGTCAAAGCATATCAACTGGACTAAAGGGTTCCATAGGCTACATAACTCCAGGTATGAGTTTCTATCATTCACATTGTTTCTTTCTAAATTCAAAAGGTAATTTGACTCTGACACCCTAATGTATATATTGAATGGCAGAGTATGGCATGGGAGGCCAAGTTTCCGTACTGGGAGATATTTATAGCTACGGAATATTGTTGCTAGAAATGTTCACAGGAAAAAGGCCCACCGATGACATGTTTAGAGATAATCTAAGCATTCAGCAATTCACTGCCAAGGGATTGCCTGACCATGCCATTAACGTAGCTGACCCTTCATTGCTCCTTGAAAGAGATGATGCATAGGCTGATGATGACGATATGGAAAGGCCAGTTACAAGATATCGAGATCGCGGCCCAGTTCAAGCAAGAAGATTGGAGGAGTGCTGGTTTCAGTGATGCAAATAGGACTCTCATGCTCTGCAATATCTCAAGGAGAGCGGATGCGTATGGATGTCGTTGTCAACAAAATGAAGACAATATCTCAGTTTAAGAAGAAGCTAGCAATACATCAGATAGTTCAAGTTTGTTGTCATATCTCAACATATAGCCTCATCTATATGCAAGAGATTATTAATAGGATGTTTTTATGTATCATGTGTGTATGTGACATCAAGTAAGTCATGAATTCAGTATTCTATATAGCAGAATAAGGGAATAATTCTACATTCTGTCTATGCTCTTCTTATTGCCTTACTCAACTACAACTAAATGCTCTGTATCATTTCATTTGGAAAATAAAAGACATTCTGATTCACATTACAAAGAATTGAGAAATTCAATAATTTGTTCATGCATTGGCCTTAGTTCAATGCAGATCCAATAAGTGTCTCTGACTTGCTTCAATTCCTTGACAACATGGCTAATATCCATTCTCCCTCTAGGTGATTCCACTGAACAAGCAACTCCAATTTTGAGTATTGCAACCAGGCAGTCTTGATTCAGGTCATCTTTTCCCTGCCCCACAATACATTTCTCTTCACAAGTTAATTCCTCATCTTCTCCTCTCCCTCCTTCAACAAACAATGGATCTAAAATTTCTGATATTTGTTCAGGCAATGCATTGCTAACAAAATTATGGAGTTACATTCCGTTTTTAAACATGTCGTCTGTGGGCTTCTTTCCTGTGAACATCTTCAACAAAAGTATCCCAAAGCTGTATACATCCCCATACATTGTAATCGTGCTTCCCATGCCATACTCTACAACATTGTAGCTTTGATTATTACATTGGGTCCTCTCGTGTGCTTAGTTCAGTTGCACAGTTGATATTTTTCAGAAAATTTACCCAGCTATGAGACCTTCTGATTAATTGGTTTTGGTTTTCATGACAGTTCCCAGTTAATATTTTTCAAAATTTATTATAGAATGCAAGCGTGCAACAACAGTTAAATAGAACTGAAACAACAGAAACAGATAAGAGTTATAAACTACCTGGTGCAGCATACCCAACTGTTCCCTTCAATCCTACTGAGCTGCTTTGATTTAGATTGCATCTAGTTGTAGCTTCTGGAACGAACCTTGCTAATCCAAAATCACCCACATGAGCAATCAGATCATTGTCAAGTAGGATGTTGCTAGGCTTCAGATCACAATGAACAATTGGATCTTGGCAATAATGATGAAGATAATCTAGAGCAGAGGCCACATCAATGGCAATGTTTAATCTTTGGAGAAGACTTAGTATCCTCAAATCACCATCTACATCCCCTGCTTCTGAAATTGGATGTAGCCAACTCTCCAGACTTCCATTGGGCATATGCTCATAGATAAGAGCTTTGAAGTCATTACCTTGAAAATCAAGACTTGAGCAAGCAGTCAAGATTTTAACAAGATTCCGGTGCCGAATGTTTCTCGGGGCTTCACATTCAGCTACGAAGCTTTTTAGGGCTCCTTCTTGATGTAGGTAGAGTACCTTTACTGCAACAGCAGTGTCATTTGGACCAAGAATTCCTTTGTAGACAGAACCAAAGCTACCAGTACCAATTAAGTGGCAGAGGAAATCCACTAGTACCTTGAAGGAGGGTTTCATAAGATACCTTCAAATGAAATTCCTTAGTCGGTGAAGCATCTGTAGAAGGTTTCGCCTTCATCTTCCTTAACTGCCAGATAACTAGAAGAGACATGACCAAAACTAGTCCCAGAAGTCCAGAAAGCAATAAGATCATTATTTTTTATTTTTTTGGTAACAATAAGATCATTAATTTGAGTCCTTGAGATATCTTTCTTTTCTTTGGCTTACTGGCAATGCAAGCTGGGAATTCTAATTCAGGTACGCCTCCACAAAGCTTTTGATTTCCTGCCACTGAAATTGCAGATGTATTTTTGAAAACCCCTCCAGTTGGCACCCCACCCACAAAGTGGTTGAAAGAAAGATTTAAGTTCACAAGGGAAAAGTGCTGAAAAAAACTGGAATTTGGCCAGATAAGTAGTTGTGTGAAAGATCCAAGTCTTGAAGTCCTCTCAAGGAACTAAAAGATGGAGGAATGGTTCCTTCAAAGAAGTTACCCTCCAAGTGAAGGTGTTCTAAGGACACACAGCTACCAAGGCTACTAGGAAGTTCTCCTGACAACTAATTCTTAGAAAGATCCAAGTTTCCTAGATTTTTCAAGGCTCCAACTTCGGAGGGCAGGGAACCAGTCAATTGATTATGAGCAAGGTTAAGGGAAATGGTTAGGGAAGACTGACTCATAAGTTGTTTGGGTATGGTTCCATTGAGATGATTCTGAGAAAGGTCTAGCTCTTGCAAGTATGAAAGATTTCCAAAACTCAAAGGAATAGTCCCCGTTAAGCGGTTGTTTTGAAGATAAAGAGCATATAGTTGAGTTATGTTGGCTAGTGATGATGGAATCAGGCCAGAAAACTCATTTTCAGATAAATCTAATCTCCTTAGCATCCAAAGGTTACCAATAATAGCAGGAATACTACCACTGAAGTTATTTTTCTCCATTGTTAATTCAGTCAAGTTAACAAAGTTATTCTCGATACCACTAGGGATGCTTCCAGATAATTGATTTCTTCCCACTCTCAATGACACAAGTTGGTTTGAGAAGTTGGATATGGAATTAGGCAAGACACCTCCAAATTGGTTATCACTTAGATCAAGAATTTGCAGGTTCCTGCATCTGCTTAAAGAGTTAAAGAAATTCAAGTCATCAGCTTCTCCTGTGCCTAGGGAATTGGAAGCAAGAACCAGCCACCAGAGACTAGTTAAGCCTCCAAAATCAACTGTAATTTTTCGAAATTGCTTCCATTGGTATCAAATTCAAGAAGGTTTGAGGCATTGGACAATGTTGTTGGTAGGGGTCCAGTGAATATATTGTGGCCTAAATTCAACACTAGCAAATTAGGAAGAGTGAAGCCCGAGTCTGATGGCAAACTTCCCTCTAGTTGATTGTATGGCAAACTAAACTTTGCAAGAGATGAAAGATTGTAAACTGAGGGAGGAACCATACCAGAAAGTTGATTAAGGCCAAGTCCAAGAAATTCTAATTCTTCAAGCGGCCCAATGAGTCCGCTGAGGTTAACTGCCAGAGACAGATTTTACAGAGGAAAGGTTGCCTAGAGAGCTTGGAAGTAGTCCGCTGAGGTTGTTATAGTGAAGTTGAACTCTCTCAAGCTTCTGCAATGACCCCAGATGAAATGGGATTTTTCCAATCAACTTGTTGAAGCCCAAACGAAGCCAGATGAGGCTAGAACAAGCAGAGAGATTAGATGGGATTTCGCCGGAAAACGAATTGTTGGACAAGTTGGGGTATTTGAGCCTGAAAAGATGGCCAATTTCTTGTGGGATCACATTGTGGAAGTGGTTGAGTTCAAGGTTAAGGCCTGAAAGGAAGGTGAGGTTTCCTATGTGAGGAGAGAGTGAGCCTACCAACTGATAGGAGCTCAAGTTCAGTGAGGTCACTCGTTGATGAAGGTGACCACAAGTGACACCTGTCCAGTTGCAGCAATGGAGTGAATCGTTCTATGAGCTCAAAATGCCATGGGGGTCCTTGATTACTCGAGCTTTGATGGCGAGCAAGGCAAGCCTATCAGTCTCAGTTCCATTGAAAAAGGTGAATGCAGCTGCAAAAGCGGGAAATGGTGAATGCAGCAAGGTGATCATGAATAAATGTAGGACAAACAGATGGAAGAAAATTGGGGAGATATGCCATTGCTGGTTCTGACTCTTCTGAGAAGATAATTGTTATGGGAGAAAGAGGCTATGTAGGTTTAAGAGGTATGGGCATGTCTGTTTTTTGGAGGGATTCTTAAATAAAGACTCTTTGCCTTTTGGCTTGGCAATGCAAGTTGGTCCGTATTTTAGTGGCAAATTGGGGCGTTCTTTTTTCTTTTTGATCAATGGAGAAGGGAGATTAGACTTTATGAGTGTCTTATATGCAGCAGAGTTTGGTGAAGTCAAAACTCCATCTTATTAGCTCACTAGTTTACTTGCGTAGCCATCAATCATCAATCTTCTTCGGACCAAAAACAAATTATTATTCTTGTAGGAGCCCTGTTAAGGTGAGTCGTGCACGCTGACATTTATGGTACTCATAAAGCATCAATGACTAGAATCAATCCACGCATGCACGATCAATCTTGTATATACCATATAGTGTGCAACATTTTATAATAAATGTAGGGGAAAAGATGCCTCTATGGCGTAATGGACCAAATATATTTTGTCTTCCAAGTGTGAAATCAAGGACCAATTGACCAGAATCTGCAGTATGGTGTGCTGTGTTTGAAGCTTAATAGGTAGATGGGTGCCCGTGGCTATTGATTAACTTATGCAGGTCCACACTTTCATTAAGGTGCATTAGCTTTTGTTGCAGTGGACTAAGGTTGGGAAAGGACAATGCTAGTCTTCCAATTCTTGGCGGTGTATGAGCACAAGTACAAATCAAGCAGCTCTTTATGACTTGGCTGAGGTAGAAGCCAATGCAAGTCGATTAAACTATTAAGCTCCACTGCTCCCTGACTGTGTTCTAGTAATTTAAAACCTCAAGCTTGTCTGTTTGGATATAAGATGAAAGTACTCAGAATTTTGGAGTTGTTGGGAGCATGTGTTGATTTAGAAATCCTCTCGTGCTCATCTTATCGTGTGGATTCAGTGTGCATTGGCCACTTACAATGCACGCAGAATCTAGACAAGCTTGGAGTTGATTTAGGCGTACATGTTTTTCTCATGAAATCTGCTATTGGGCTATATGGGCTTTGAATACTAGGGCCAGAAGGCTGCTTTGGTCAATTGCTTTGAGTATAAACTTGTGGGCCAAGAAAGAGAAGTGGACCCTTTTGAATCTTGATGCTAAGATGCATGAAATGAAACTCACTGCACATGAAGCTTTCGCTTGTACCCATCCATAACCATAAGAAAATACTTTCTCCGTTGACTGGGGTAAGAAAGTTACCTCAACTTGAAGCGCAGAGTGCACAAGTCACAATGTCTAAAAGCCGACCCAAATTTAAATATTTACCCAACCCAAGAACCAGATCCACTAAACTGCTATTTTCATTTTCTCGGGTCTTTGATACACGGTAACCCAGGCGCAAAACCCAAGGCCCTTTTTTTTTTTTTTTTTTTTTTTTTTTTTTTATTATGTAAAGTGTAAATATACTAAATGAGCAATAAATGACCATCAGAACAGAAGGGCCACGTGACACCATCACCGTCCAGCATTTACTCCAACCATCAAAATAAATTTCAGATTGATTGTAGGTTTGATCATGTAAAGACTTTTTACCCATTGGCCATGAGGCGATACAGGGATGAGCTTTGGAAGTTTTCTTCATTATCTGAAAGATATATAATTATAAATTAAAGTGTAACTTTTCTTTTTGTTTACAAATTCCCGTTTTAAATCTCATTTTGTATCTTTATTATATTTGTGAAAGAGAAAAGAAAACCAACATAACCCCATAACCTTTTTTTTTTTCTTCTAATAGTATATTCTTAGAGAGACTATTCACCCAATGAACAAAATTTAATATAGACATTAGGAACTCGGAGTTGTTTATTATCTTTTTTAATTCTAAATTAATTTAACATTTTTATAAATAAAAAATCTTTAGCAAAAGTGAAAGCGTGTACATAAAGGCTAATAAACCTTTAAAACAAAGTTATAAAACAAATCTATGAATAAGAACTAGCCCTTTGTTTTCTTTTTTCTTTTTTATTTTATTTTTAGTATTAAGAACAGATAACATGGGTAGTTATGTTCCATAAAATGAGGACTTATTATCTGATTTTGTTTTTAATTTTAATTTTTTTAATATGAAAAATGTGAATTTACCATATTATTTTTATTTAATTAATATTTTCAATTTCTAATGTTTGAATTAAACAATGGCATTTTCTGGTATTTTGAATGTTTCACAATTCTCTGCCTTTTGCTTTATATATATAGATAATATAATTGAAAAACAATATTTGCGCCTGATAAGTAATACTACTAGTTTTAAGCAAATCTATTTAAGCAAGCTACATACATCACGCAGATTACTACTAGTTTTAAGCAATTAAAGCACAAAACGCAACATTTGCCACTTTTGGTGGTTATTATTGACACTAAAACGGATTAAGAGCTGAGATTGTCAGATTGAAACAAGCAAGTGATTACGGAGTATGTGATGTTGAAGACCACATCTTCACATTATCCTTCTCTCCATGCTTTGCTTTGAATCATGTCCCTATGATGAACTGTATAACCTGAAAAGTGGTTGGTTGAGATTCTCACGTCGGGGTAAAAGTCAGATTCAACTCAACCGGAAATAGTGATGACGTGTCCCAAAGCCACGTGGAATAGGATCCGAAACTTTATCCCCATAAAGGGCCCCACCACTATATATACAACAACACTAAACGTCGACCCCTCACTCAACGAAACTAGCGAAGAGAAAAAGTGATAGAGACCCATACAAGCAAACAAAAACATCTCTCTTTACCTCCTCTCTCTCTCTCTCTCTCTGTGGAAATCGAAAGCAACCAACTTTGATTACAATTCGAGTTGTTTCAGTGACCGAGTTATGAAGACCCTGGTGAGCCCGAGTTCGAGGGTGGTCGTGGACAAGCACTGGGACAGAGAGAAGAATGCCTTTGTTCACAGGCTTGAAGCTTGTTTTCTTAGGCCTAAGAGAAGTGTGGATTTTCGGTTCTTGAATTTGGTGTGTTTTCTGCAACAGAGCAAGCCTGTCAAGCCAGTCATTTGTCTCTCATCAAAAACCCAGGTCTCCTTCTTCATCTGTCTGCACCTTGATGATTTCATTTCTTGATTTTTGAAAAAGTTTTGCCTTTTGTTTTCTCTGTTTCTGTTCCTAGAATATGGTATATTTTTTCTCTGCTTTTATGATCACCCTTTTCTTTTTCTGTTGCGGAGAAAGTTTTGGAATCTTGCTTTGGGTTGGGGCTGAAGAGGGTGCTGCAAGATTCTCAACTTTTCTTCTTCTTTTTGTTCTGTTTGATTCTTGAATATATTTTTAATGGGCGCTTTTGTGAAGGATTGAAGCTTAGGCAATCATATGAGATGTTAATCTTGTTACTTTTGCACGACACTGAGTTTGAACCTTTCACCACTAGTTTTTGTTTGTTTCTTCTTTTCGTTTATTTATGTATGTTTTCAAGATCAAGAAACGTATCAGAGAACCTTTACACGCGTGTTCATCTTGTTCTGGAAGCATGGTTTCATAGAGATAGAATCATGCAATGTAATGGGAAGATACAGGAAAAAGATGATTTACAAAATTTGCTTTTTTTCTTTCATTCGGATTTTAATCATTATCTAAGAAGACAATATATTAATCTGAGTACTACTTGTACTGAAATAGTCAATCTGATTTTTGAGCATTCTCTGAGCAGACTGAATTGGAGGTGACAGATGATCAAATCCAAGAAACACGTAAGTCCTTTGTCTTTTTTTTCTTCTTTTTTTTAAATAATAAAAAAAATCTGCATTTTAGTCTCACTGAAAGTATTCCATGTTGTGCAGATCATACAAAAACTATTCATGTCAAATTCCAGTTGCAGAAAGAGTGCTCGTTTGGGCAGCAGTTCCTCATAGTAGGGGATGATCCTATGTTCGGTTTGTGGGACCCTTCAAGCGCAATACCGATGAACTGGTCAGATGGGAATGTGTGGACTGTTGAGCTGGTGAGTAAAAATCTACCAAGAAGTGAATTTTTTTTTTTGTTAAGTGAAGACCGGGTTTGGATTTTGATATGTTTGTGTTTAATCAGGATATACCAGTTGGGAAATCGGTCCAGTTCAAGTTCATACTCAAAGAAATCACAGGGAATATCTTGTGGCAGCCTGGCCCAGATCGAATTTTCCAGACCTGGGAAACGAAGAACACAATCACTGTTTGTGAAGATTGGGCAGATGCTGAACTTCAGAAAATAATAGAGGAAAATCAAGCTAATCAAAGTGTTGGTTCCAATGTTAACTCAGATATGTCGATTGTAGCTGAGAACCTGACTCTTCCAGAAGAACTAGCTTTGAATATCACCAAGGAACCAACCATTGCTGATAGCAGCACTGATCCAGCAGAGAAACCATTGGCGGAACCATGGAAGGAACAAATTGTTGCTGATAAAGTTTCTCCTTCACAAGAGGAACCCAAAACTACTGTTGCAGAGAATGTAACCCCAAAATGGCCAAAGTCATATATGGAACCATGCGAGGAACAAATTGCTGCAAGAACTAAAGTGGTTGACGAAGAGAGAGTTATTTTTCCAAGTGAGGACTATGCAGCCATCTCCAATAAGGAGTTGTTGGTGGCAGACAACATTTTTGGCAATAATGGCAGAGCTGCAACCGTAAGGAACCTTTCAAGCACTCACATTGAGGGAAGCCTAATCAACTATGAAGAAGGTCATGTGCTGGTACCTGGCTTGACTCCTTCACCAACTATTCCAACTGAAGAAGCAAAGAAAGAGAAAGTTGAGAAACAGATGTCTTTTGATGATGGCTCAGTTGGAGCCTTCGAAGCTAAGGATCTTAAGATGCCAGAGGTAACTGCTTGATGAGAGTGAAGTTCTTTTTCTTTCTCTTTGTCTTCTACTACTTTTACCTCAGCCTGAAATAACACTCCATTCCATTTCCGTAAACCTCGAGTTGTCCAGGACTATAGGAGATTCTTTATTTTCAAATAGTTTTTGGTTCCATCTTGTATGTTTTTGGAATCTATGTTTGTATGGAGAAAAGTTCAAGAAGATGATGTATGGCAAGGTATCTATTTGATTTCATCAATCCAACTAAAAGATTAGAAACGTTTTGTTCCTTACAATCAGCTGTCAACAAGTTGAACATCTTCACACTATATTGTTGTAATAAAATTTGTATGCTACAGCAGTTTAAGCAATAGAAACCACAAGCAAGTTTTCTCCTAGTGCAAATCAAATTTGTGCTGTGTGATTAAAACTGAACTATCCGCTGTCAAAATGTGACACTGATGCTCTATCAAGCATTTCATTTATTTGTTTTCTGCTGGTAATCCTTGAGCATTTCCATAGTCAAATATTCAATATACAGGAACCCTATTGCTAAATCATGCGGATGTTGTCGTACGTATAATCATTCACCAATACTATTGCATATCGTTTGTGATTAGTGTTATGCCTAAGGTTATGTATTGTTCTCAACAGCAGATTTTGATATAGCAGTTCGTCCTTCTTGTTAATGCTATTGTTGATGTCCTCTTTTCTGTTACTTTTCATGTACTCAAACCAATAGATTCAGCTAGACTTGAAGCAAGAGCCATACAGTGACCCACCTCAAGCAGAAACAACTGCTATCATCAAGGATAATGTACAGAGTTTCGACGATGAACTTGAGCAAAGCCCTGCTAAAAATGCAGAACATTCCAACTCAGAGTCAGCCAACGGTAGTGTCTTGCACAATGACCCATCTCAAGAAGAAACAAATGCCATGATCAATGATAAAGAAGAGAAGTCTGATGACGATCAACTCAACCAAATGCATCACCCTGCTAAATGGGCAGACCAGTCTGACTCAGAGCCAATCAACGATAATGTCTTGGACAACGACGTACAATGGGGTCGTAAAATGCTGCAGAAATTTCTGAATAATTTCCGATTGCATTAGTACTATCGACCTTGTAGAAAACCTGGGAAGGAATTTCTTGAATCCATTTAAGGCTGTGACTCTCCTGCTTTGTTGCTGAAGTTTTCTGGTGGCCCACAAAGAGGACAGGGGAGAGGGTAGCAATTATTGTATATGCAGTACATATGAACTTGGTTGTTTTCAAACTAGTATTGCTGCTTTCTTAGGATGTAAGAGTGCTCTCAGGTTTTGTATTTTTTTGGTCTGTCATATGCATACCAGGACATATCAATTCTGTCATGATATGTGGGAGGAGAATTTGTACCAGATACAACAAGGTTTTGTAAAGTTTCTTCATGATGCTAATTGAATAAGGATTTGATTGCTTCTTTCTAACGTTGTCATGAAATTAGGGTAAGACATAATTATAAGGTGGGAGTTGCAGAACGAACCACCGGGAAGAATGAAAATGCTCAATTCCAAATTCCAAGCCAAGTACCGAGAGATTGGTGTTCATTATCAAACATTGCCCACAACGTACGGCATTTGGGTGCCTTTTTTGCCTCATTTCGAGGTCGGTATCTTGTTAAAATATAAGCACTCGACTATTGAGATTTATAATTTCAACCATTACAGCTAGATTTGTATATGCCTTTTTCTTAATTTGAGATTCTGAAGCCAGATCTTTATAGTTTATCTTTTGGGTCGAATGAAGCAAATTTCACTACTTTCCTACTCCATATTTTATTTTTTTTCCTTACATTCCAGTCTGTTTACCTGTATCTGATACCATATGAAGAAATGAGGAAAAAAATACATTTTCGAAAAACACAATTTATTTACTTTGGAGCGACAAATTTATTTAAGAGAAATACTAGCTACCTTTCCTACTTGCTTTTAGAGAAAAAGTAACTATATTTCTTTGCCTTTGTTCATTAACGTATCATATTAATTCTTTATCTTTGTCCACCAACTCTGTTATTGGACCAGATTTACAATCAAATAATTGCGTGATGGAAATAAATAAGCAACTTCCTCCAATATTACATCAGGCTTTCTGACCAAACCCGTAAATCCTCTGTGTTTTCAACTTCACAATATCCTGGGTGCGTTATTTGAAGAAAGGATGGACAGATTATGATATCTGAATCTGAACTAACTTTGTTTCCGGAACAAGACGGTCTCAAATTTCACTTCCCATGCAGAAACCCTTGTATTCATTCTAATTACGCTAAAGTTTCAAAGGGTTAAAAAGCATATAACTATATTCATGTGAAAGCCAAGATGACCTGATGAATCAGAGATATAAACATCTCCAACCTCAGTTTTCCATTATGTAAGCGAGAAAAGATGGGGCAAGATGACAAAAAAATAGCCCACCTTTCCACCAACAAAATTACACATTCACCTTGGTAATATCCATTGCCGTAAATGCCGACCCATCTCCTTTTCCTTTTTCGTTCCTTTGGTTTCCCAAAACTACTGACTAGTTACAAAATCTGGATGCTGGGGAGAGATGGGGCCAATGGACCTCACCGAGACCATCGTTTCATTTCTCAATGGAGGGGGAAGAATGCACTAGTGGAAGCCTTGATTAATACAACTTTAGTGTCAAGGTTTGTCTGAAGGTACATTCTTCTGCGGCCTTGAAGATGATAAACTTTGTGACCCATGCAATATTTCTTCCTTCAATCGTTTATTTGGAAAAGACTGTAGCAATCTGCAGATAGATGGTAACTAAAATAAGAACGTGGAAAACTGACATATTCACGATTTAGAAACATTGAACTCATAAAGCCTTTTATTATTCAAGACAGGTGCCATGAGAATTAAAATCATGATTTTGTACTATTCACTAATCATACAGATACATAAGAAGACATCTAAAAACAAACAAAAAAGAAGAAAGGAGCCGAAGTTTAACATAAAACATGACTTGGCCAGATTTTTTCTATCCAACCAAGAACCCTTCAAAATTCCACATGGTTTTTTGGCTAAGGCTCGATTCAAAAAGGGTAAAAAGAAAGTACCATGTTACCTTGGAGAACTTGCACGCTTTTGAACTTGCTGACTCACCGTAATATAAGTACTTCCAGGTTCAACTTCAGCAGCCTGTATATTTGGTATTGAACACATGGGTTTTAATCAGGATATTCAACACAAAGGTTATTATGTTCACATACTAGATGGAGCTATACTATTCCAGAAAAAGAAACGAGCGATTCATGGTTCAGAAGCTTCACTCTCACAGGAAGAAAAAAGAGAGAGTTTCACCGCATTGCTCAAGTTAGATCCAGAATATATATCGGGAAGAAAAGGGAATCTGTGAGAAGTTTAAAAGTCAACTAGAAGCAATAGAGTGGGGAAAAAAAAGGTAGGAAGGAAAAGATAAACCCTAATTAGTATGCTTATCCAATTGGAAGGTACTGAATAATTATTATTCTTACAGGTTAAGAAAAGAACATAGCTAAATCAAGTACATAGGAATACTTGGATAATGGGTAGAAATGAGGGACTGACAACCAAGCCCGTACCTTTTAAAACAGGAATTAATGGAGCCTCTAAGGCAGCAGTAGCACACATGAAGCCAGCTCACTCCGCTTTCAGTGTTTTAGCCATCACATCTTCGTGAGATGCAAAATTCAAAAATAGGAGTGGTTTTCCTTGTAAAAAACCACTGCCCCTCATCTGGAAATGTCTTGCCCACATACCCTTTATCCAAGCATCACCTATGTTTTTGAACATAGAAAATCAAATCAACTACTGAAAGCATGATCAATAATCCCCACCTCAGAAGTGCTTTCTTTAGGCATTCCATCTTCCCTTAGCAGCTCAGTCAATTCAGGACCGACGATGTCCAATACAAATCCATTTTCATTCCCGACCGAGACTTTATCAATATCTCTGTCCACAGCTCCAGAACGAGGTGCGAGATACGCAACATATTTATCTGCAATTCCGTTCAGCACATCATTTTTCTTTATATGTGTTTGGCTATCATATTTCAAAACCACTAAAAATACAAACAAAAGCATCTCAGAAAATTGCAGGGAAAAATATAATTTTGGTCAAAGAATAATGTTACCAGCCAAGCTGTGAAGAGCATTCTCAGCAGCCTGTTGTTGAGCGTCCTTCCTCGTCCTACCCATTCCAAAACCAATCTTCTCTCCAGTGAAGAGAACCTTTAGAAACAAAGGTTAACAATGAGCATGTTAGAGTCTAGTATTGATACAAGATAGTTCCTCGAAATAGAGAAGACAAATGCAAAATGTATAAATAAAAAAATTAAGATATGGAGTTTCAAATCATTTCCATGTTTGCTCTATTCATTCCACTAAACCAAAAAAAGTTTATTTTTTTTTTTTTTTTTTGCTGCCAACCTATTATTGATTTGTTCTGCTAAAGAAAGAGATGATTGAAAATTAGGGTCAGCTTATATTCAAACGCACCACCCATTAAGACAATTTTAAGTTCAAAACATCTGTTGGTGATAATTTAATCATTTTACCAAAATCTTCGTAAAAGCTGAGCATACATCCTTTAAAAGACAGTACAACAGCTGTGAAGTTAACAAGTAGAAAAAATTGCCAAAATACAAATGAATATACATGGCGTATAGAAGGGAAGTTCACTGACCTCAACAGAGAACTGCAAATCATTACTGGTGCTTACAACAGACCTGAACTCAACCTGGGCAACAGGCCACAACATCATAAACCCCATTAGGAAAAATTAAAGAGAGAGAGAAAGAGAAAGGGGGTGGGGGGTGTTTATAAAACTCAAGCTAATTCTACCTTTGAGCTGCATCTTCGTCCAATTTCCTGCAGCACTCCAATAGATAAAGGGGACGGCAGGAGGTTCACTTTTGCAGTTTCTAATTGAGATTCTCTATTAAAAGAAGATGCCTGATTCTGGGATGCACCAGCCTCTGTACAAAAAAACCAAAGGTAGAGTCATCAAAAGAAGATGCCCAATTCTTGTGCGTACAAGCTCTTGTACCATGTGATAAATTAACGTACCTGATAGCTGACTTGGAGGAGGAAGATTTTGTTTTTGTAAATCTTGTCCAGAGCATACCTGCAAATAGAGAGATTTTGACCACCGAGACATTTTCAGAGTGCTTATTAACACCTTAATTAAGATTGTCAAAACCAGCGAGTGATTCCAAAATGAATTTCAAAGAATTCTGAACATACCTCTTCCCTTTTCACATCAGATTTGTGTGAGAGCAAACCACTGGGAGTAGAACTTGGTGTAGCAGGACTAAAAGGATTCTGGTGAACTAGCTTTTCAGATTTTGTGATGTCAGGCGGTTGAACAAACCCAGAAGGTCGATTACTCGGAGGTCCTCTATTGTTGTCGTCATCCACCAACCATCCCCCTTGTGCATGTATTGAGGATGCTGGCATTTGTGCAGGTACCCTAGAGAGATGCAGGAGTTCAGCAGAGGTTTGATTTCTCATATCTAAACCAGGATTTGTACCAAGGAGTCCTCTCTTCATTTCATAGTCACGATCAGAAAAGCTGTCTCGTCTAACAGGAGGTCCAAGCAAACCAGGTTCTGAGGCATAATTGGAGATAACTTAGTATAAAAGCTAGGCAGTATAACACCACGAAATACTTTCATAACCAATATCATGAGATGAAGCTCATACTCTGAGAAGGCATGACCGGCCTCAAAGATGCTGCACCAACGACATTGGGAAGAATTGCAACAGGTGCCTGAGAGTTGTCAGATCTTGCCTCAGCATGATTTTTCAGAGAATGAGCCACTGAGTCTGTACCAAACTTGTCATCCTGAAAAATATAATGTTCAAAATGTGAACAATAAATTATTATCATGACACATGCACACAACATGCCAATTCTCTAATTCCCCTGCGCTCATTTTCTGACATCAGATGAAAGATAACAGAAGCCATACAGAGGAAAAGCTTACAGATTGGTTTATTCTCCTTGCAACTTCACCGCCATTCATTCCTTCACTAACAGGAGCATTAACATTTCCATTGGTTGCCAAACCAGCATCCTGTAATTCAAAACATCGGGACGATACCATAAAAGAATAGACATGCAAACAAAGTTTCATTCAATTGATATAAAAATCGAACATTTTTAATTCACATACCTCAGACATCAAGTAATTGCTCACATCAGGAGCAGGAGGTAAATTTACCACCTCATCTTCATAAAAAACTTCAGAAATTCTTCGCAGTAAAATCTCATCAAACTCTCTGGAAACAATGGCATTGCAAAGGAGAAAATCAATTACAGAGACAATTCCCACAGAACTTATTATTAAATTAACCACATAGCATTAATCTATCTTACTTGAAAAAACAACCTCTGACATTGCATGCAACATTTCTTGCAACACAGAGGACAGGAACGGGACTTGCTGTCTGTAAAATAAAAGGTAAGGAAAAGAAAAGGAACTTGTCAAACTAATAATCTTATGAAAACAAAAACAAGATTTCGTTAAGACAAATCTTAGGAAGACAGATTTAGTACCTCTGCTTGAGGGGCATAATAAGGAGTGAACGCTGGAACTACATGAACTCGAGGTTGATCCTTATCTTCCCAAACCTTTGAACGGTCATCAATTACCATTGCCATCTTTGGATGGCACACTCCATGTTGAAAGACATTGAGTAATGATTTCCTGGAGCCTGATAAGTCCAGAACCATGAGGGTTAGAACCGATGTGCTAAAGCAACTATTTAAGCAACAGCTTCTACTGGTTATACCATCACTGGAAACTTCAATTTCTTACTGTTAGTTACCATCATGTTTGGATGCTTACCTGTTTTGACACAGACAACACGGTCCAGAAGTTGCTTTGAACCTATTAGGTGTGACTCTGGATCAAGAAGCCTCCACATTTCTAAGGCATAATCCCTTTCAGCCATGGTACAGACATAAACTTCAAACCGCTTGCGTCCTTTTGCAGTTAAATAACTTCTCAAATCTTCCCACGCAGGTCGTAACCTCACAAGCACGCTGGTATCACGAATCTGCATTAAAAAGTGATATTATATCGTACCCTTCTGCACACTGGAATCAATGGAATCAAACATATCTCATAAAATGCATCTACTTATCCATCATTCTATATTATTGTAAGAAGATAATTCGTCCAATACTGTACAAGTTCCTGACTAATCCAAATGACAATGAATTTTGCAAAGAAGGCAGAATAAAGAACACTCAATAAAAATTAATGCATGCCTCAAATGATCGACAATTGGCCAAACAAATGTTGTTAAATACACTGCAGATGTTCAGAAAACCGAAGCAGCCCACCCAAATGCAAAATCATAATACTTAGTTGAGCAAACAACATTATGCAACAGCAACATGCACCCGAACTGTCTCTGCTTAAGGACAAACTACGTTCTTTTCTTATCTTTTTTATTGGGTTGGTCTTCACAAGTACTAGTTATGAAAGCTAATGGACGAATTGTTACAGAAAATGTAATCAAGCTATTGAATCCATCTTAACCCCATTGCAACATTTTTGTCTTCAGTAGTGAGCATTTTGTATAATGAATTGCTTTCCGTCATTCTAAACTTCTCCACTTACCAATCCACAAAGGAAACCAAACGAAACATAAATAAACTAACAAGCATGAATAGAAGATCTTCCAAACCTCGGGATTGATGCGAGTGAGCACAATGTTCTTCTCTGGCAATCTAATGATAGGCCGAACAATTTTCTCGTGGTTATCAGACAGCGGAGGAACATCCTCCTGTTGAACCTTGTACACCTTTCCATTATCCACCACACAATCATTATCTATGTACTGCTTCAACAGCCACCGATCGTCCATGTACCGCTTCATTTCAGCAGACATTCCGGCTATTCTCACCATGTCACTCTCGCGTGCAATCCAGCTTCGTAAAGCCTCAATTCTATCATCAAAAGACTTCATGGTGTTGGCAACAATCAGCGTCTCGTCGAGATCAAACACAATTGAGAGACACCTTAGATTCAGCATTCGTAGTGAAGCACTGTACAGACCTACAGGAACCGCATAGCACCAAAAGCATGGAAACTTCTTCTGCTTACTCGGCATTGCCACCAAGTGAATCTCTTCACCACCAACCACTACAACCGCAGTCTGCATAAAAAAATCAAATCACCGCATTATTACACTCCTCTTGATTAGCGAGAAAATAAAAAAGAAAACCTAGATCATATTCTTCCTCAATTAAGATATTAACTGAGCTAGCTTTACTATCCCAGTTAACTAAGCGTTTAGAAAATCAATGAATGTCACGAAACTTCGGATTGTTTTTCTATGCTGGCGGTACATTTTCTCGGGAACCAAACGGAAAACCCAATCTATAAAAATTTAAATAAACAAAAGGCGAAATATGGGAAAGCGGAGCAATTGAGTGGGACCTTGAACTCGTAGAAGCAGCAGGCGTGAAGATTGATCAAATGGTTCTGTTCAACAGGGGAGGTCGATTCGAGCTTGCATCGAACCGAAAATGACGAAATCGTTTGGAGAATTGAGAGAGGAGGGCATCGTTCACTTTGTTGCGATATGTGGTTGATTCGAATCTCATTGTTCGGGAACTGGAACTTCTGGTCCTTCACCGGAATAGCATCCAGTTCTCCCAAACACAGGTCGCCGTGGAAGACCACGGACTTAAACCCTAAACGGCTCATTTAGATCAATTTGAGAGCGAAAGCGGGAAAAGTTTGGGGCCAATTCGTAAATGTTGACGAAATCAGGTGGTTTTTTGTGAAAAATTGTGGAGTATTTCTCCAGTTTTGCTCTCTATTTTCTGCTCCTCCTCTTCTCACTCTCAGACCCCTTCGCTCTCTCTCTCCTCTCCCTCTCTCTCCACTCCCTCTCTCTGCCTACGGTTTCAAACAATGAGACTCCATATGTATTTATATGCGCAAGAGGTCAGTTATTTGTCCGAAATTACCAAAATATCCATTTGGAAGGGAACCTATTGCCGTTGCTCAGCGATTGCGTGTCTTGCCCTTGGCGGGTAGAGGCTAAAACAATTTGTACTCGTGTCATATGAGGAAGGCCTTTGATTCTGGTTCGCGGCCTATTGACCGTTGGATCATGGGTAGGATATTGAACTTGTGTGAATCTTTCAGCTCAAGACGCACAAATTTTAATTAAATTTTACGGGACAGATAATTAAATTTTATCACGAATCAAGCAACGAATTAACGGAAATATAATTTATATTTCAAACACAAAAGAAATCAACAAAGAGTCCAACCAATTAATGGACCTCAAACAGATAAATATATTAGTTTAAATGTTTCGGTCAATAATTGGCTGGAAAAGATTATGTTTTGGTCAACAAAAATAATCCTTAGTAATTTGGACTATCAGATATAAAAATTCATTGGGTAGTCCTATAAACAATATATAATAAAAAAATAAGTGGGTCGTAAAATGGGCCCCTTGGACTAAATTGGGCCTTACTAGACCCAATAACATCCCACGTGAAAATTCCATCATTTAGATCCGGCGCACCGCTTGTCAATCAAAATCAGCGTGATTACGAATAGATCTCCAATGCGACCGATCTCACCGGAACATTACTTGCGTAAAAACAAACAGTCACGCATTTGATGAACATTCTAGGTGATTGGTCCACTGGAAAGCAAAATGTGGCGCCAAGCTCAGATCAGCAGAGCTCAGACGCAACAAATCCAGCACACGTATCACTCTTCTATGGCACTTCAGAGTATCGTATCCTGTGTGAACCAATGGAAACTCAGCACGTGCCCGCATCTACTGCGCCTGGCAGCAGCGTAACGCTATTCCCCGCGCTTTTAAAGATACGAAACGAGGACCTGGAGAGATTCACTGGGACGTGGTGCGCGGAGGACCAGGGTCGGAGGAAGAGAGAGAGAGAGAGAAAAAACATGTCATCGTTCGGATCCCGGTCGACCCGCCCGTTCGACGACGACGGGTTCACGGGCTACGATCCTCGGCTCGAGTCCAAGCGATTCGACTCGTTCTCGAACTTCGACGCCGACTCCGTCAACGACTCGTCGCCGATCTTCTCCAACCAGCCATACCTTGCCGGAGACGACTCGTTCAGCTCTCATCCGGTGCCGCGAACTCAATCGCTGCCGTCGATGTACTCCAAAGGAGGACCGTCGTTGCCGTCTCCGGCTGAGATGGAGCCAGACGAGGGCTTCTCACTGAAAGAGTGGCGGAGGTGAGCGAGTAGTCTCAGTTTCTATTGAATTTTGATTGATATAGTGATGTCAGAGCTGAAACTGATCAAAGGTGTTTCTGAATGCGCAGACGAAACGTACTTGAGTTGGAGGAGAAGGAGAAGAAGGAGAAAGAGAAGTTGCAGAGGATAATCGAAGAAGCAGAGGCTTACAAGGTGGAGTTCTACAGGAAGCGTCAGCTCAGCATTGAGAAGAAGAAAGCGTCGAACAGAGAAAGCGAGAAGGTGTTTGTGGAAAATCAAGAGAAATTTCAAGCAGAAGCTGAGAAAAATTACTGGAAAGCAATCGCAGAGCTTATACCTCGCGAGGTGGCAGCGATAGAGAAGAGGGGGAAGAAGAGAGACAAAGACAAAGAGAAGAAGCCTTCCGTGGTTGTGGTTCAAGGGTCAAAGCCTGGGAAGCCAACCGACCTCTCGAGAATGCGTCAGATTCTTGTGAAGCTTAATTACAATCCTCCTCAGCATATGAAGCCCAAACCAGAGCCAACAGCTCAACCCAAACAAGATGCTAAAGCAATTGTGATTAATGAAGCTGCTGTAGCTGCTGCTTAGAAAGATTTAATTGTGATTAGAGATTGTTGATTTTGTATGATGATCCTAGAGTTAATCATAATTTAGAACTTCAATAGTAATTTTTGTTTTAATTGCATGGAATGATCATTTCTTTCAAATTAGTATGCATTTTATTTTCACTTAATAAATCAACAACCACTTCGCATACTACAACCTTTGTTTGATGCCAAGAAGCTGCAAATTTTGCAAGCTTCGAGCAAATAATTATGAAACCCTGGAACTGATCATCTGGGAAGCATTTGTGTTTCGGTGTCGTCGTAGATCAGTGAGTGGGTGGAAGTTATGTCGGGATTCGCCGATGATTGCTTGCGTTTCCCCGAATGAGACGATGATGTTCCCGACGAACTGGGACCGCCGAACTTCCGGGATACCCGCTCCCTTGACTTTGGGGGCTCTAGTAGGGCATTCTCATTTAGGTGGACATCTTTGGAAAGCATTTCCACCACTTGCTTCATTGTTGGTCTTTGTTGCGCGGCTCCTTGAGTACAGAACAGGGCAACCTTAATGAACCGCATGACCTCAGCCTCTGAATATGCAGTCAATTCTGGATCAACAATTTCCAGCAGCCTTTCTTCTTCTCTTAGATTCCATGTCTGCAGAAGCATATAAATAATTGTGAGACTCAAAATATAACACTTGTAAAAACTTGCATCAACAACTATGTGGTTCTAGTAAGAAAACTGAACCAAACATATTTTGTCAATCTTGAAAAGACCCTTCATCACCCAAGAACCTTTATTTTTTTGGCTGACCACAATGTAATTTACTAGAAAATCATACCCATTCAACCAGAACCAGCAGTTGCTCCCCAAAGGCTGCCTTGCTACTACTTCTGCCACTGATTATCTCAAGCAAGACCACCCCGAAACTGTACACATCTGCTTTCTTTGTAAGCTGTCCCAAAAGTGCATATTCTGGGGCCAGATATCCCCTGCAGACACAGAACATTATTGTCAGTGCATAGAGGGGCAAATAGATAGAGAAAATGGGAGAAAGAACATCCATAATATATCAGTTGCTAATGGCTATTGGAATATCCTCTCCTCTACACCACAAGATTATTGACTGAATTTCAGGCAGCTTAAGAGCAACTACTTCATAAACCTCGATACCAAATTGAAGGTGAAGTTATTACTTAATATTTGATGATTTGATTTATTGAGATAACCCCCCAAGACACCACATTTAAAAACAAACTTCTGAACAACTACATAGCCTAGGCTGTATTTTAATGAAGTGTTTAAGAGAATCCAAGCGTACTCTGTTCCCGCCACTCTAGTACTAAGATGAGTGATGTTATCTGGAAAAAGTTTTGCCAGCCCAAAATCTCCAATTTTAGGATGGAAATTTGCATCAAGAAGTATATTGCTAGCCTTGATATCTCTATGGACAATATGTTGCTCAGCTTCCTCATGAAGAAATGCAAGACCAGTAGCTGTACCAAGGCAAATCGCAGCTCTCTTTGGCCAATCTAGAAAAACATAGTTACTTCTTGACCCTGTCAAAATAGTTGTTGCATGTTAGCATACACTGAAAATTTGACAGATTAGAGGGTGCAACATTACCTTAAGAGAAATATTACATCTTTGAACAAATCCAAAAACTTAATCAGACATTTAAAAGAGATCAAAACTTCCAAGAGGATAAGATAAAAGGGAAGAAAAGCAGGGTCATATGTCATTTCAATCAAAAAATTTGGATAATGAAATCTGAGACAACAAAAAACTTCAAAATTGTACTAATTACCAAGCAAAGAACTTGCAAGACTGTTGTTCTCCAGATATTCATATACCAATATTCGATGATTGTCCTCCACGCAGCAACCAATGAGCTCAACAAGGTTTGGATGTCGCATACTTGATATCACGTTAATCTCTGTCAAAAATTCATTTGCTCCTTGTTTAGATTCTGCAGAAAGACACTTGATCGCAACTTGGGTACCGTCTCTTAGAACTCCCTGCAATCACAAATGATATAACAGTGTAAGAAAGAAACAGGAAAGCGGTGCTTGTATAGTAGTCAATCTTGGACCTTTAGATCTAGGGTTGGAAAGCTTTCACTTGGAGTCTTTTAATGCTGGCCTTACAAAGAGACTTAACGGTCCAAGATTTGCTACTTATTTTAGCTCCATATTAGCCTACTACACAAATAAAAAGCTTCGTTGATCTCACCCTATAGACAACTCCGTAACCTCCTCCTCCTATCCTGCTTGATGGATGAAAATTCCTAGTAGCTGATCTCAATGAATTATAAGAAAAGAGCCTTACATTGCTGGTGGCAATCCCTAATTACCATACAGACATAAAAACCCTCGTGAGATCAATTTATCCAGTTCAGAAACATTAATGACCATAAGAAAATATCTACTGGCATGCATGTATCGGACAACATAACCTAGCCTAACACAATAATCCAGAAAGAAATTTTTGTTCTTTCATATAAGGTTCATATTATTTCTAAAATCATTACTCGAATAAATGGTCAAAGAGGTGGAGGCAAAAACATAAAAAGGGGTCTTGCAGAAAATTAAACGCAAAGATATACGAATCTAAGATAACTTTTCCATTGTAGCTTGCCAATTCCCTACTGGCTTTCACAAGGAAAGAAAAACGAACTTGGACAGAACCATCCGGTAAACAACACGAAAAGTTACACGAGCGATAGGAATGTTGCATCCGCAGAAGCTTGTGTTGCTGCTAGATGAGAGAATTCTCACTTCTCACATGCAACAAAAAAAGATGTTTCAAGCTCAGAACTTTGGCAGCATTGCGCCCATTGCCCACAGAATTTTAACGGTTTATCTTATCTACTGAAAAGGTATAAAGGTGCAAACTAGAGATTTAAGATGACCCATTTGCATCCACTTACAAAAAACTGAATTTGATATTGAAATTTAATAAAGAACCAGAACACTACAAATGATAATCCATGCTACAAAGGGAAGACAAAAAATTGTACGTTTTACGCTTTACTATTTTACAATGTAAGAGTTCAGCTAGTAATTAAGAAAACCAAGTCATACTGATTTGCTTACCTTGTGCCTGGACGGAAGACCCGGAAGCATTCCCTTCTTTACTCCTATTGAACACACCGCCGAAGCAACCACAAACCATTGCAACTCACAATTCAGCTTTCCTAAACCCCTACCACCATGTCTTCTTAAACCTTAAACCGTACTCACAGGCACCAAAAGCAAGCTCGAAAACCCAGTAATCCACTGAACAGAAAGTAGAAAAAACATAAAAATAAAAATAAAACAGAATTAAAGTCAAAAAAATATTCAGATCTATAAAACAAAATTTGAAAAAGCCGGGAACAAATTCACATAAAAAAAGTGAGATTACAGTGGAATCTGGAACCCTGACCTCAAATTGGATTGTTTCTTCAACAGAGAAAATACCAGAACAGTCTTTTATGCTTTTCTGGGCCTGTTGGGTTATAAACAAAAACAAAAACCCAAATATCTTAGACACAGAGAACGCGCATGGAAGGTGGAACATTAATTGCTTAAGCTTAAAATCCATGTTACGTATGAACAAATGTCAAAGAAATAAGAATTGGGTTAGTGAATTTTTGTGATAATATGTTAATTGGAAGAGGTCAAAAGTGTGCTATTAACAGAAGTAAGTGGAAAGGCAAGGACGGTTTTTTATGCTGACTTTGGTTTTCCTCTTTTCTTTCCATTATTTTCTTACCCAATATACAAGAAAACGAAAATATTTTTAGCTTAGAAGAGTAAAAATCAAGTGGGTTTGTGGCTCTGCTTAGATGTCTTCGGGAGAGACTTATGCGAGTGCTCACATTGCTAAAAGTCAAAGTTGATTCATCTGCTCATTTCTCCTCCTTTCTTTATGTCTTTTCTGCTCTGGTAGGTAAGGAGTCACAGACCCAGCTGAGGTTTCGAACTTACCGAAACCAAGATTTTCATAAAAGAAAAGTAATTCTTATATTTATATTATATGACTAATCACTATTTTATTTTTCTTTCCTGGGCTATGAATATTATATAATAGTAACACACGACCCATCTTTTTTTAATTTTAAAGATTAAATATCTAATGGCAGACATGGACTTATCTAATGACAGACATGAACTTAGCCAAGTTAATTAAAGCGGATGTATTCCTCACTTTCTCTGCACCCAACTTCCCACTCCGCATAAATAAAAAAAGATTAATTACCTAATCATTGCTTGTTGGAAAATGAATTAATCTCCACATCTTAAAAGGAAGATTGAGTTATTAATTCCATTAAGAGTTTTATATACATAATGATTGACAGCCGTCCGCAAGTGTGAGCAAATTCTCAAAAGCATCAAAGTGATATTATTTATTCATAGATTTCAAAGAGAGATGTAACAATGTCATTCTTTCTAGGACCAGTGGTCTCTAAACTCTGCAGCAAAAAAAGAGAGTTGGAAGTTTGAATTTTGAAGCCAGGAAAATGGCTACTAGATTTGAAGGCAAATAATTCTCTTACTTCGAAATTGTTTTCTTCATCGTACTTTTCCGATTCTTTACTTTATTAGAAAGTCGGTCCAAAGAGGAAGAAGTACTAGAACATGAGAGAGAACAGTGACCGTTTACCAGTAGGTGAAGAACAAGAAAAATATGTCGACATTTGACAGGGACATCCATTTGTGTGGAGCATAGTTAAACACCCGTTTAGATTGTCAAAGGTTTGTACTTTTGTTTGTATCTCCAGAATCCAAATTGATTTGCTATGTCTAGCATTCAATTGCTGAACCTCAAATAATAGTATCTTCATTTTAAACACCTTGTTCTTTTAATTTGTTATCTATTGTTGAGATGCATAAGCAACTCCACATAGCACGTCCTGCGTAATATGATAAAAATACGAAGAATGAAACCCACAGTTGGGTAATCTTTGATATTTTGAAGTTTCATTTACCCAAAGACTATCTAGAGATGCTATCAGACTGAATTCCATAGTACGAGCAGCAAATTGTAAATGCTGAAGGAGATCTTCAACTTTCATTCATGAAAAATCCAGTACAAAATCATTGCTAATGAGTAACCTAACTGATGACAGAGAATGTGGTTCATCAAAGGCGCCTGATATTTTGTTCGACTAGCATAGCAAGGATGTTCAGAATAAACACGCACTCACAAACTTTCTCTAACATTTACAGTATTATAGTGTGCCTTCTACCATCAGCTCCTTTCGGGGATGAGTTGTAGCTTAAATATAGTGCTAGGAAGGCCCCCATGTAAAATAATAATGATGGGAGAATGACAAGGATGGATGCGAAACCAATAATCCGGGTCGACGGGCCTATGAGCGGTCACCTACCTTGGTGGCTTGCGGGGGAGGAGTTTTCTCCCTCACTTCCAAGATCAACATCTTCAATTTCACACCCCTCTAAACTAACAGGAATATTGTTGACACTTGGTTCGGAGCTGGCATTGCTGCATGTAGCAAGAGGAGAGTCCGTAGCACTAGTAGTTTTGCTTTTTGCTGGTCTCGTTCTGACGCTGTACACAGAGGAAGCCGGAACATTCGTCAAAACTGGCCGAAGATTACCTGTCACACTTCTCCTTATATCCTGCATCAGCAAATTTCATAATTAAATTAAAAATTGCTTCGGAAAAACAAAGTTCTTTGGTTAAGGCATGGGTATATTGTATATCACACCAAGCATAGGCTGGATAATACTGAATGGATTGCAAGATTTGAACGCCAAACATTATGCATGTTATCCCATATATCATTATGGTCACTGAACAAGGTCTTAGCTATGCATTAAGTGAACAATGTGCACTTGAAGAAGGAAAGTGATGCATACCATGTGCCTCATAGCCATATCAAAGGACTTCTTTGAAAGGTTTCTTCCAAAGCCAGAGCTTTCAGAGGACAGAGACTTCCCAGCAGAATTGTTCTGAGTAGTGTGGTGGTCATATTGCTTAGGTGGTGCCAGTTTCCTCGAGTTTACTACTCTCTCAACCATTTGTGTTCCAATAAGTACAGGGTTTACATCATCACTGTCATTGGAAGATGGTCTGCTTATGACTCGATGAGAGTTCCCATTAGCAGTGGCACTACCATATGAAGCCCGTCCACTAGAAGGTGATGGCTGTCTTGGTTTTCCATTAGAATTACCAGCTATAACAGACGATGACCTAAAACTTGGTGCTCCAGGCCGATCCCTAGAGGCTGAAGCCGGCCTTTGTGGCAGTGATGTTCTTAAATTTAGTGGAGCATCAAGTGAGAAACCAGGCATCTCAGATGATTTCACAGGCCTAGGTTTTACTGTTGGGGAACTTCCACGTGATGGCACGGGATTTTTTGAACTTGTGGGACGTGGCTTTGTTGCTGAAGAAGATCGACCAGGAGGAGTAGATAGGGTAGGTGCAATTGATGAACTTGGTCGATGGGTTGGTGTTGCTGATCTTGATGTTGACTTGGAAGCTGGTACAGAAGGTCTGGCAGTTGGTGTAGAAGAACGAGCAATGGACCTAGAAGGAGTTGAAGACCTCACTGTAGGAGCCATGGGCTTAACGGATGATAAGGTGGCTCGTGAATTTGGGGTAGAGGATCTTGAGGGCTTGGTTGATGAAGGTAATGAGGACCGTCCAGTTGGTGTTGCAGATCTACGAGGAGCAGCTGCTGGCCCTCCAGATGATGAGGGCCTTCTGTTACCAATACTGGAAGAATTCAGACCAGATGTCAATGTTGGATGCTTAGATGCTACATTGCCCCTTGAAGTAGGTTCTGGTTTGATGTTTGCTAGCTGCAGCCCAAGTTATTGACAACATGACAGCATAAATTTACAACTCATGACTTGATAAGTAAAACCAAAAATCCCAAAACAATTAATAGAACACCTGCAGTTCTAATTAGGCAGACATAAAAGTTAGGGAAGATTCAAGTCATTGAAATCTTATGATCTTATGAATACAAGATCATCATTTTAAGATCAATGAGTCAAATGTAGGAATGCTGCACATACATATCACAAAATTAAACCAGGCCTATAAATATTAAGAACTCAGGTTGACCAGAGTCTAGAGTTCTTACCCTAGATTTCGGAGCGGATGCATGGTCATTAGGAACCTCAGTATGACTGATCGCAGTTTTCAGTGCTTCCGAATCTAAGGATGGAAAAAGTGGGGTAGCAGGGGGAGTAAGAAGCCTGGATATTAGAAGAGATTACACATTACGATGCCACAAGTGAGATGACATTATCATTATTCCAGAATCCAGACCAAAGCATAGAGATTAGAGTGAGAAATAAAAGTCTACAAAATGAACAAGAAATCCTGCTCTATTCAGGCTTAATCAACTTTTCTTAAAAACAGTCCTTAGAAACAGAACACCCCCTGATTTAGCAACCCATCTGTCACAAACAAGTTTCTTCAACAATTCTACAAGTTATTAGATGGTTCATCCTAATCAGACGACCAAATTAGTCAATCAGTTATAAACAAACATATCATCAATGATTTAAGCTTTGACATGAACTTACTAATACTCACCAATCGTAATCAGATTTCTCATTCTCCGAATTCAAAAACTCATCCACTCGGCTCTTTCTCTGCGGCGCCACAGGTCCAACAATCCTAGAAACCTCTGAACCTCCACGGTTATCAAAATCTGCACAAAGTAAGCACAACCCATCATCAATATCAGCCCAAACAAGCAAAAAAATAACAAATACCGAAACTTTTGAAACTACCAATAAGAGCCCAAACGACGACGTACCAAGAGGCGCAGCAATGGCATCGAGCTCATCAGCGTTCTTGTTAGGAAGGCGGAGAAAGTTGGTATTTTTTTCCTTGTCCTTCTCGCGCCTTCGCATCTCGAGAAACAAAGCGAGCTCTTCATCTCTGTCATTCACATTCACCACCTTCCCGAAGCTTCGTTCTCGTGCCCTCGACTCCACGCTCACTTCCATGGTCGTCTCTGTAGCTCAGTAACACAAAGACTGCAGGAGAGAGAGAGTAGAAGAAGAAGAGAGGAATTGAGGAGCTTGGGAGAGGCAAGGTGAGTTCTTTTTAGCTGAAGTTCAGGTGGTGGTTTTTGTATTATTTTGTGATTGCCTTGACAAGAATGACATAGCCAGTGAGACGCCTTCTCTGTTTTGGAAGCATTGAGATTTTTGAAACAAAAACAAAGCAACAGGAAATTAATATTTTAATGGAATATTTATGAAGATGGTGTGGATGGGCTGAGATGTGGAGATAACCACGAGAGTGCCATTGCTTCTGATTTTGCGCGAGACGTGGCTTTCTCCTTATCATTTTTTTGGGATTTCATTTTAGTCGTCCTCATAAACTGTAGACATGTGAAGATAAAGCTGTATTACACGAATTCACGATGCATGTGACATGTGAAGTTTCATGGGAAGTACGATACTTGGAAAAGAAATTATGTTTAGGTTATTGAAATCTTAGATTTTTTTATATAAAATTCGCGTGTTAGTTGAAGAAATCAATCGACCATCTACAATATAATATGTTAAATTATCTAATATAATAATATTACTCTCATTTGCAATTGTTTCATGTCAACATTTCAACTACAACTTCAACAACCATATCTATGTTTTAGATTATCTAATGATTGATACCCTTTTGAATATTGATGATGAACAAGCATTAATTCAAGCTTCTCCCTATATTTGCGTTAATCATACACAATCCAAAACCAATAAAAGATTGGAAACTTGCATAAAATACATATTACTTGCAAAGGCAGAAATCTTATAGATAACATTTTCAATTCTTAAAATACACACACCATTTTCCATGAAGTGGCTCAGAAGAAGTACAAGCACAAGAAGCTCCAAAATTATTCAGAGATTAATTTGATTTGAAGTTGATGACGAAAAGAAGAGGGGCAATCTCGTGATTAAGTGCTAAAACAGACCCATTTTACGAACGATATTTAAAGCGAGAAACATTCCCATTCGTCTTGGCGCATGCTGGGAGCCTGGAGCGTTTGACTCGTCACTCATCGTCTTGAAACGCCGAGGAATTAATTCAAACTTTGGCGTTCAAAAGATGCCCAGATTTAAACGTGGGCTGTTGGATTTCTCGAGATGATCTACCCATCATCGGACGGCTGTTGTTGGTCGGCGAATTTAAAAGGGTCCCGCATGGGGTGGGCCTGCCTCGTGAATCGTGTGGTTTAAATTTTGGTATCTGCCTCAAAAATGCGGTCCGTGGGCCCCAATCAGATTGAGGATTGTTGTGATTGGCCAATAACCTATGGCCCAAACAAAGCCCAACCTGAAAAGGGTCATATGATATGACCCCATAGCTTTTAATCCGGCTAAAATTTACTCCCAAAGTTTTTGTTTATTATACTTTTTCCCCAAAAGTTTTCTGATTGTTTAATACTGCCTAATTGCCACTAAGGATTTGGTAAATTTTTTTTATTTTTAATGGGTTATTTTTATATACCCGTTAGATGGTAATGAAACCTCTCTTTTGTATTTCGATTATCGCTAGTATTATAAAAAAAATAGAATAAAAACCAACTATTTTTGTGAAATTGTAAAATTCGATGATAAACATAGCAAATACAAGATGCAAACAGAAAGAACACAATCCCAAAAGAGGTTCTTGCAATGCAGAAAATCTAGAAAACATAAAAATCAACATTTTGGATGCGGTAGAAATACATGTTTGGATCGCTTATGGTATGTTGGGTGGAAGTTTGTGAGACGTAGGCCATGTGCCATGCTCCATGTTTGAGTCCCATTTTTCTCTGCCCTTCTTCCTCAAGTCAAGTCATCATGATGGCCCGAGCAATCAGTGCCATGCCAGCCAAAGAGATAATAAGACAAGGACGGTGACAGTTCTGAGAATATAAAGCATTTATAGCTGCAAGAATAAGAACAATAATTGAGAGTGATAGACATCACTACCATAATTGCATTGTTTCTGTCCATTTTTCTTGCACCGCAAAAATACCAGAGAGAGAGAGAGGGGTTTTTCGAATATGAATTGCTTCTGCTTGTATTGTTTTTGTTTGTTCTTCCAATTCACAGACAATAAAATTCCACACAAAATAAAAAAGATCAGCAACAATACATTTTTTATTATAAGCAACTTTGGACTTTTATTAACTACAACAGGCAACAGTTACAGGAAGATGATTTCAGATACAGATCATTAAAGCCACTCGGGCTCTTTTCTAACTAGAAAAACAAAATGCTCACTATTTTGGAAACCTGCATGGATAGCCATCAACTTTGTCGCAAGGGCAAAACACTCAGTTGACTTTTTTTAGGGAGAGCGTCCATCAACTCGCCGTTGGAGAACCACTGCTCCAACACCTCTCAACCCCGAAGATGCACTGCATCGGTGTTCAGTTTAATGACCCCGAAGGGTGGGGATTCTCCACTGGCAATGTGATCAGGATATGGGGGAGAGGGAGAATGGCAAGCATGAAAGCAGTCAACCTAAATATCCATGGCACACTGGAGAAGAATAGCAAGTTCACTGAGGATTCTGATCATGCAGAACACTGTTCCTTTCACCTCAAAAATACCAGCTGATGAATATGAATTGACAAAGCTCCTCCTCAGACAAGAGACGCCACACCTGCCCCAATAAATCTATAACGATGCCACAACACCTTCGGAAAGGGCATCAGCAAAAGATGTTATCTCCCATATGTCCAAACCATGGTGCATGCACTAACGCCTCAGAACTCACCACACATCTGAATCTGAAGCATAAATTTTAATTCACCACCCTGTGCTTGAAAAGGGACATGCTGCACAATACAGAGATGCCTTATTGTAGGTTATGATTCTTATGAAGAGAAAAAAAAATTATGAGGTATGTTAAAGATAAAAGTCAAATCTGGCACATATTTTCCCGGGGAGATGTGAAAGACTTCCAACAATCAATAGTCCAGATGATAATACATTTCTCACCAGAGAAACAAACAAAGGCCTGAAGCATGTTTGAAACAATAACCAAAAATATCTAGGCACATGAAGTTCCAACAAGAGCATTTGCTCCTTCGAACTTTCCGTTTACAAGAATATCATAAGTAATGTCATCAGGTACAAGGCCTCTGTCAAGCATCTCATCATGCAACCTAAAAGCCTCTTGCAAATTCCCCTCCTTGAAGTTCCCAGCAATCAAAGTACTATAAATATGAACACTAGGAGTCATACTCCTCTTATTCATGTCTTCCAAGATCTTGCGTGCATTCTCTAGCTGTCCTTTGTTACAAAGACCATTTATCAGAACTGTATATGTCTTGATATCAGGTACAATTTTCTTCTGAAGCATCTCTGAGTAGAGATCTGTTGCAACTTGTAACTCACCCCTTTTTAGCAAGCCATCGATTAGTGTAGTGTATGCTTTCAAATCACAGGGAATACCTTCACTTATCATCTTCTTGTGCAAGTCAAGAGCCGCTTCCATGTTATTTAAATTCTGGAAGCCCCAAATCATGCTACTGTAAACAGCTGTACTTGGAGATAAACCAACTTCAAGGAGTTCTGAGAAAAGTTTACTGGCAGTTCCCATGTCTCGCCTTTTGCAAAACCCATCAATGAGGGCACAATATGCAGTAACATCCAATTTAATAACCTTCTTTTTCATATCATTCCACATTTGCAAAGCAAGATCAATTTGATTGCTTTTGCAAAACCCATTAACAAGGCTGGTGTAAGTGACAACATTTGGAGAGACTCCACCTTCACACATTTCTCTATATACAGCCAGTGCGGAATTCATGGCACCCTCCTTGATAAACCCATCTATAATATTATTGTAACTCATACATCCAGGAACAAAACCCGTCTCAACAATTTTATTTAGCCTATCACTTGCCTCAGATGTACGACCAGCTTTGCACAAGCCATCAATGACAATGTTAACTGTGAATTCTGTGGGGGTTATCTTTGCAGCCACCATATCGTTAAAGACATCAAGGGCACGCTTTATATCACCTTTCCTGAAATAGCCCTTTATCAAAATAGAATAAGTGAAGACATTAGGTTTCAAACCTCTTTCAAGCAACTCCAAAAATACACTGTGTGCACGCTCCATATTCCCTATTCTGCAATAGCCATGTATCATGCTGTTGTAGGATACTAGATTAGGTACCACACCGTTATACACCATCTTATCCCATAAACTACAAGCTTCACTTACTTTACCCTCCCCACAAAGCCATGATAAGAGATTATTATACAAAAAAACATTAGCAATGCTACACTCAACTGCCTCATCAAACAACTTACACGCATCTTCCAGTGACCGATATTTCAAAAATCCACGTACCAAATTATTTACAATGAAGACATCAGGCAAAATATCCATGTTTTTCATCTGGACGTAAAGCTCATAAGCCTTTTCCATATTCCCATTATGACAGCAGTATTCTATAAGAACTGCACACATAACCTTCTTTGGACTAAGTCCATCCTCTATAAATATATTGAACAAATCCAAAGCACTCTCCAAATTCCCTTGCACACAATAACCCTTCATTAAGCTTGTTGCAACAACCAAATTAATTGAGTTCCCACAACTTACCATTTCATCCTTAATCCTTAGGGCTTCAACCATATTCCCTTGCTTCACACAAGCCTTGATGACGCTAGTAAACGTACCCACAGAAGGAACCCACCCCATTTCTCTCATTTCCTTCAACAACTCCAGAGCCAAACGTAAATTGGGTTTGCTACAAACAGCCTGAATAGCAACACCATGGGATGCTGCATCAAGTTCTATACCTCTTGCCCTCGCCCCTCTAAAGTACTCCTCTGCCTTATTTGGTTGCCCCTCTTTCAAGCAAGCATGCATCATCACACGCAGAGTGGCACGATCACCTCCCATTCCTCTCAAAACCATTTTATCATACAACTCCCGTGCATTCACAATCATTTTTCTCCTAACCAATTCTGCTAAAAGAATATTCATACACGTAACACAAGGATACAACTCAAGCTCTATCATTCTATCAAAGCAATCAATCGCATATTTGATTCGATTGGCTCTAACATAACTGTTCAATAAGTAGCTAAAAACCCGAGATTCTAATTCAAAATCAAACCTTTTAGCGCAGTCTACCAAGCGGTCGAAAAATACTTGCTGAGCAGGGCCTGAATCACCGGAAGCGTACTGGTTAAGCAAGATTTGGGCACGCACATGAGTCTCTTCAAAGCGAGTCAAAATGTGAAGCAACACACAAAACGCATCGACACCTTTAAGAAAGCCTCGCTCTTTTTCAGCCCATATGAAGTGCTCCAGTGCCAAATTTGGTTCACTCCTGTGGCTTAGAAGAGTGCTTATCAACTTGGTTTGTGTTATTTCCGAGTCTCGTCCAAATAGGTCTTCGTGAAATTCAATTTCTGAAGTGGCTTTCTCAGGAAAATCAGATTTTGAAGTGACTGACTGGGAAGAATTGGTACTCGGATTGGGATTCTCCGACAATGATGATTCTAAATGGGGCTTAGGAAATTGGGTTTGTGAAGAGAGGAATTTAGGGTTTAAGAAGGAGAGGCGACGTATTGAAGGAAGTGGCGAGGAATTGAGCGAAGATTTCATTTTTGGGTTTCTGCAGAACAAGAAAAGAGCAAAACCAGAATGAAGGTGCTTTGGTTTGGTAGCGAGACGGACGAAGTGAAAGTGAGGAGGTTGTTGACGACAGAAGCTGTGGCGCGAGTGCTTGAATTAACTAAGTTTTCATATGCTAGGGGCCCTAAGCTAATGGCTTTAGAAATGGAGATATTCAAAATTCCGATTTTCAATTTTCAGTATTTACTACTAATCTCAATTTGTTGACCCCTTATTTTGTTCACTAAATTCATTTTATCCAGCAAATGATTTGATGTAACACAGTGTGTTGGTCGAGTAAATTTGATGAAATAATGTAAAGTAATTCTAAAATCATCTACTTCTAAGTAATTCATTCGGCACGAAGTACTTTTAATCATTTCGTTGAATAAATGTAATTTGAAATGAACTTTTAACTCAAGTGACATGAGATAAAAATGATACATTTGAAAACAAAACAAGAACATCTCCAGCAATCCTAGAAAACTTGATTTCATACCTAAGCATATAATGTTGTCTATGCCAAAGGGCTCCATCTGCGACCTTTTCAAGAGTCAATTGAAGATAGCAGCCAAGAACCATAGCAAATTGAAAGTACACAACATTTTCTTTCTTTTTCAAGAAGTTGATGAGCAGCTTTATTGCTCTTCAAAAGTGACCATGTTCTTAAACAATTTGCATAAGATGACAATAGAAAAAACCTAGGATCTTAGATTACATCATCGATTAAGAAAAAATTTAACCCAAATTTGAAGACTCAATAAAGAAACACGTGGTAGCAAAGAATATACATTTTAACTAAGTGCAATTTCCTGAATGTTTTTATCAATCAAGCATCATCAGCATCGCTTCCACCAATCTGAGCTTCCAAAGCTATCGAGTAGTTGCTTCCATCAGGACCAAGAATCTGGAATCTGCTCAGCAACAAAAGAAAATTCACACCAAAAATTTTAATGCAGCGACCAAAGACATTAGTTTGGTTTTACCTCTCAAGGATAAATTTCCCTTCCTTGTACTTCTGGCTTTTCTCCTGTGCAGCCTCCTAAAATTGATAGCCAAAAAAAGAGTTCCATACAGCGATCGTATTGATGAAAGTACTGCAAATATCAAAAAACATAGTTTTGAGGAAAATATCTTACGTATCTCCACCCCACCATTGAGCCACATGAAACACAAAATATGTCAGCAACAGTATGCAATCCGGTAATCATGATCCGCTCTTCTTTCTCTCCGAGTGTGACATTAACACTGCCATACATTGAGGAAATTAAAAGGTCAATTCAGCATTCACATGTGCAAGCTGCATTTGATGTGAGTTATGCACACTTGGTAGGATTCAAATGAATGAAAATGCGTTTGAGATAAACCACATCACCCATCACATAGCCAGGAAGTTATTTAGTGAAAACTGGGAGAACAATATTCATAAGATGAATTCGTACACTGTTACTGTATTCTTTTCTCTCTCTTTTTTCCCCCTTTTTCATCCTCAAAAGTTAAGCTTTCAAAATTCATCAATGGGAATGTATTCTCTAGCCTACATCAGACCATGTTTCAATTGCAGATACAACTCATTCCATTAACTTGGTGGACCAAGAAGCAACACGTGCACATAGCATGACTAAGAGTTTTGGGGCAAGTGAGACCAATATAAACTCACATGCCCGTGACCTTATGAGTATACACACAAGCATGCAAGCTTACACTTACACGTTATGAAAAAGATAAGCCTTTCCATGTCTGCTGTGAAACGACTGGAACAAAACAAAATCAGAGGGTTAGAATGTTGCTAATCATTCCCGATATCAAACATAGACATAAAAGAAAAGGAGAACAATGTTTACATGCATCAAGCAAGAAGTGGAAAAATATCATTTGAAAGGTCATGACAGGAAAAGAGAAAAGTCCTGGGGCCTCCACATAATCAGGACACGTAAATATAGCTTTCTACAATAAGTTTCAGATTGCGATATTATATCTTTTATAGAGATATTCAAGCGTTATTACAGTTAAACAGAACTAAGAGACATTGAAGTGGGGAAATCAATATTTAAAGAGCTAGCAAACTGAACCGCTTTAGTCTCCATATGATCAAAGTTCAAACCAACAATAATGCAAATAACTGGGACAACATTTTGGTCTAGAGTTAGATCCTTAGAGAACAGAGACACCACATCCTATCTCACCCTCCAGCCGGAATTAACAATTAACCCAGGAAAAGTGCAGAATAGATTTCTTGGACCTGAATTTAGCAGGAATTAGAGATCCTGAATTCTTCTCTCCAGCAAGTAATCCCACCGTCATGTTTCTAGATAGGCATAGTTTAAACCTAGAGCATCATCATAATAGTTTTACTGATGAAGATTCTAAATCTTGAGCATTTTTCATATCCAGTCATCAAACATATAGGCCATTTCACATGCAGCAAATGTTGATTGTGACAAGCAATAAACCTAATTTGGAAAAGAAGCCCTGCAAAAAAACATACGAGAAGAAACCTAGAAACAACCCAATGTTTGAGTTTCCCAACCTCAAGTAGTTTGAACATGACCCATCACTATGTGTTATGGTATAACAAAACAACCACAAAAAGCTGAAGTCCCATTTGACCGCAATGAGACAAGATGCACAAAACAATACTTCCTCAATATCTTATGGGCAGAGCCCCTTAAGTTGCTTCCTTTTCATTGACAAACTTATCAGTTACTGGGACTTAGCATAATAAACCCACACAAACTAAATTCTTTGAATGCCATAACACCAATAAATTTCACATAAAAAAATTGCCACACAATTTTACATATCATATCATAACAATGCATCATAGAGTTCATGAATGTATAGGCGGACTACATATGCAATAAACAGTAAAACTGAAAGAAAAAAATTTGAATTATGGGGCAGATGATTTCAGACCTTAGAGAGTATGTCATCAACAAGAGCAAGATGGGTTTTGCAGTGCTTGCAGCTGTAGATATTTCCTTCAAGACTGATCGCAAACAGCCTTCCCATGTCGTCACACTACACCTCTAGCTATCTTAATTTCTTTTCCTAGAAAAACACCAAGATCGGCAACCATATTAGAGAAAAGAGCATACCAAACAAAACCCAGAAATCACATTAAACAGAAATTTGAGAATTTCGAAATTATTTTAAACTTTAAAAATGAAAAACGCAAAAAGGGACATGCTTTATAATGCAGACGTATAATTTTATGATATGAAGAAGAGCAGAACGATGACGCCTATTGGGTTTTATCTGATCTTTACCAGCAGTTACAGAGGGAGCAGAATAGCAACGAAACCTTCCATTGAGTTGGGACGAGGGTCTGCCCGCTTTAAACAGAGAAGTACTTTCCGAGTACAACTGCAAACTGCAATAGAGGCACCTTTTTTTTTTTCTTTTTTTCTTTTTTATATTTCATTTCAATTTCTATTTTCTTCTTCTTTTTCTTTTATATTTTTAAAGTAAAACATTTTACCCAACAAAAAAAAAGAGTAAAACATATAATTAAAAATGCCAAAATTTTAGTACAAAATTAGAGGTCTGATAAAATTTTGAAAGACTAAAACTGAAGCAAAAAATAAATGCAAGGTAAAATATCTACTTGTTGGGCAAGGTTGTGGAGATTATGTTGTGGGATCGCTTAGTTGGTTCGTAAGTGCTCCATAGTCTCCGATCCTCATTAGAGTAATTAAGAATGAATGAAGAGGTATTATTTATTACATTTTGAATCAAAGAATACTTGTCTATGATCTTAATTCATAGTCAAATAATGTTCTTAAGTCACGGTATGACAACATAAACTTTAAGTTCTCTCACAAGAAAAATTGATCATTTCTTTATTGCGACCTCCATAATTTTTTACTTTCATTAATGTAGAGAAGTTTGAATTTTGATGTACTTTGCACAAGTTTAGAAATTTTACAAAAGAAAAAGTACCTTTATTTGGGGAAAAAAAAAGATAATAAAAACACTCTCCTGGCTTAGTTGTTTGGTAACGCTTGTCGCCGATAGAGTAAAAACACAGTGCAAGAGGAGATTTTTTTTTTTTTTTTCTTTTCTTTTTTTTTTTTTTTTTTTTTTTTCTATGAAAACTTCTAGCTGTAAAAGCGAAGAGACAGTGCGAAGAATAACCCAAGGTTCAATTGAGTATATTCCAAGAGATGACTCATTCTTTTTAGCTATAGACATGCCATGAGTGGACATGAGACTAATTCCAAGAAGGTGCCAAAGGACAATAACGTTTCACATTACCGACTAGACCAAGCAAAGAAACCCATTTCGATAGGAGAGGAGAGGCTCTCTGCCATTAAGAAGACATCTTTATTGACTTACATTTTCATATGTTTGGGAAGCCTTATCTTCTTTTTTTTCTTCCCTGATTTCATGTAAGCCATTAACCAGCCTGGGATTGTTTGTTATACATCCAATCCAACTAGCCATGGCAACTTTTTTTGTTCCCTTCTCTCTTTCCATTGGCCAAAGGCAAGTGACAGAAAAATAGCTCATAGTGAATTGTGTGCGTCTCTTGAATCACAAAGTACATTCTTGTTAGTTTCATGATCAATAGGCAAAGGTTCAGCACATAAAAATAACTAAAATTTAAAACCATAATAGAGCTAAAACAAAGAAACTTGATTATCCTGGACCTCTGTTGCTAGTTATATGCGATGATGAAGAACTGATGAATGCACCTCTAGGAGAGTCAGATGTTGCAAGATCCATAATTTGATTTTCCTTGACAAACAAAATCCAATCAGAAGGTGCTGCCATGACATATGGTAAAAAATATAAGGAGTCTACAAAGAAGTATGTTTTCCCTTTGAAAAAATGGGATCCGCAGGTGATGTCCAACTATGAAGAAGAAATTGTGTCTTGGGGTGTTCTTTTCTCAACAGCACCAATTCTCTGAGGAGGCCACGCAATGTGGGTAACCCTTCCTTGAACTAGACCCAGAGGAATCTGCCAACAAACAGCTTGTCTAACTTAGCCAAAGTGTCGGAAATATAGAAGACAGCCTAAGTTAGCCACATTTGCAATATGATCTGATGCATTTAGCCAAGTCACCAGCACAAGCTTCATGCTTACTATCAAATACGTAAAGTTAAGAATGTTCAAAAGAAACTTCTGAAAGAAAAGCCCACAGTACTTCAAACATTACTTAGATTCTACAGATGTTTCCAAATGACAACAAAAGCAGCTAGCACAAGCTCGAGTTGCTAACTTTTTTTCAAAATGACAACTTTTGTGCCATTGCCAAACTAATTATCTATATAGCATTGAATTTTATCATGTACAAATAATCTCATTTTGGAGCCAGAAGTTAAAGTAATAGCAAAAAGATTTACTTCCTACTCCACATTGTAAATTTTCTGAATAATACATACACAAGCAGAGTTATTTGACTTAAACTAAGAAAATTCAAATACCTAGAAGTTAGTGTATGGTTCCACATCCTCGGCGACACAATCAATAATGGTGACCATAATGATAAGTTATGCTATCATTAAACTACTTGTTGTTAGTGCACAAAAGGGAAACTTACTGGGCCAAACGATCTTGAATCCAAGCTAGAAGATGAGTTGTCTCCCTCAACCCAACAATGTCCTTCTGGAATTTTCAGCACATCATAGGAATGACGAGTTCCAATCCACTCACCAGGTAATGCAGTTATTCTCTTTATGTGCCTCTCCTTGTGATTGCTTGGGGAACTGCAAAAGGTTCCAACAAGCCTAATTGCTTCTTATAATTCACCAGGCATAAATGGTATTTGATCTGCATTGGGGGCAAAAATTACCTGAAAACAACCACGTCACCATGTGAAAACTTGTAGTTTTGAAGACACCGCTTCTCCACCAAAACATAGTCATCTGCAACCACACCACTAAATAAGCACCATCACAATGCACAGAACAACAATTTGTTTGAGATATCTCTCAATATACAAACCAATTGGCAAGCCCATTAAAGAAGTAGTTCCAGGATTTAACGTAGGCGACATAGAGGAACCGCGCACCGGAGCAACACCCACAAATCGATCTGAAACATAGACACCTATGACCCCGCATGTGAAAAACTTGTTGGCGAAACTCCACAACGCACTCCGAGTTCCCATGTCCAAGTTTTTCAGCAAATAATCACATTTCAGTAGCAAAATGGAACCATCTGTAACAACTACCATCAATTTCACTATACAAAAAAGAGACAGTTCATAGATTCATGCTAAAAATGACAAACAAAAAGGCAGAAGCAGAGGTTTTTGACAGCACATCTAACAATTATGGCGCATGAAGCAAACTGCAACTTTCTAAGTATGTGATATAGAGTGAATGTGCAATGCCGATAAACGTCAAAAAGATTTAGACAAGCAAATACGCTACCCAATCTCTCAGAGACAAACAATCAAACACCTTGTAGACTCGATGGACGACAGAGAAAGAGAGAAGGTTACTATTGCTATTGGAGTAGAGTTTACCAGGTAAATTTTTAGATTAGCTGTCGACGAAGGCTCCTTCGCCGGCGGGAACCTTGTCAATGGAGATAAGGCGGGAGGCGGAGGTCGCGTGCCGTCGTTGGCCCTCGTGATTTTGGGGAGGTGGAGAAGCAAGTATCGAATCGAATATATGTCGGCTTTTGAGCTATACCTGACAGAAACTTTTCGCTCAAGGAATTTGAATTTGCCGATTTGGGCCGTTGAAGTTCCAAAAGTGGTAATTGGAAGCCCAATTCAAACATCCAAGTTCCAACAATTTGTAGTTGGGGTTTTTATTTATTTATTTATAAATGGTTTTAAATGAATTTTTTTTTTCAACACCCAAACTACAGATACTTTCATGATTTTTTTTTAATTCGTTTTAAATGGTTTTAACAAATTTTTTTTTCAAATTGGACCCTATATTTTGGTTTCATTCTCAATCAGATTCCCAAAGTTTAGTTGCGTTGCGTTTTCAATAAAAATTTCCTTAAAATAATATTTAAAAAAACTAATATGCACGCCAAAATGACATATTAGTAAACAGAAGCCAAACGAATACATATAAAAGAAAGGAAAAAAAAACCTTATAAACTGTAAATTGATTAAATTGAAATTTCGTGGCCTTTCCAATAAATTGAGGATATCATATCTTCTTCTTTCTTTTTTTTTCCTCTTTTTTAAAAAAAAATTTATAGAAATTATGACTCCATACCTAGAGAGGGTATGATATCCTCAGCCCAAAAAAGTTAAAACTATTCAGACTTAATGGAAAACAAAATATCCAAACCATATGGATATTGGTCAATTTATTTGTATCTTATGTTATAATGTTTTCCCATAATTATATAGTGCAGATATTTTTTTTTGGGGCCACCAAATACAATAATTGGAATGTTGCCCCGTATTTCATCTATTTCAAAAGCGACCTTAATGTTTTCCCATAATCATTATTTCATTCTGTTTCATCACCTAAGGCTAAGCTACCCCAACGACTTTAACTCGAGATAAATTATTTCACATTCGAGCAAGCAGGAAAAGCTCACATGCTCTTGCATATAGTAATCTTTTGATGACATAACAACCTTTACAACATTAAGCAGTACAAATCATGATTATGCTAAGTAATTAACGTACACAATTTTGAATTCTACAAATTCAAAACCCAACATGATATGCACATAGAAAATAGGTGCTCAAGAAGAGGTGAAGGAGTCAATAATGGTAGTGTGGAGCGGGTCACTCAAATGGGTAGCCCAGTTGTTAAGCGGACCCTTTCCAGTGACAGCAGCCTGCACAGCAAACCCAAGAAACCCGATCATGGCGAGACGGGCGTGCTTGATTTCAGCCAATTGAAGAGTAGCCTTCTTTTCCGGGTCGGAAGCCAGGCCCAACGGGTCAAAGAACTTGCCACCCGGGTACAGCCTCTTTTCCGGGTCGAGCTCAGCGTTCCTCTGGAACTCGATGTACCCGATCACCAGAACCTCGATCCAGATCAATGTCGTTATAGAAAACGGCAGTGGCTGCCCCAAGTAAGATGACCCTTCGATAAGCTCCACCTGAACAAATACGTTAACATAATTAACGGGACTGTGATTTTAGGCCACTACCAATATGATTTTAGGCCAAAAGAGGAAAAAGAAAAATGTGCACTTGGACCGACAGAAATTATGAACAATTCCCACCAAAAAACCTATGAACACGTAGTCTTAAACTGTGGGTTTGAACTTGAACTTTTAAAATAAATCGTACCTTCCCTGCGTCTTGCCATGTGATCCCAGTGACCGACTCAACGGTGAGAGCACCGAGAGTGGCGAGCATGGCCCAGCGGCCATGGATGAGCTCGCACTCGCGAAACCTCTGCAACCCAAACACTTCATTGTATGGCTGAAACGGCGTCGACTGGACGTCCGCGGTTTCGGTTCGGGTCCCGATAACATCACCCGCCAAGTTCTTGGCCAGGTTCTGGTCCAGCCCGTCGTAGTCGTACTGGAGATACTCCGCGGGTTTGCCCAACCCGAAGGGGTCGAACCCGTAGTCGCCCACCAAGCTCCCGTCCAGCCATTCCGGGGCCTTGGCTCCCGGGTACCAAAGTGGGCGGTCTGTAGAGAAAGTGGACTTCGCGGCCTTCTTGGGTTTCTTGGTCCCGAATCCGAACCGGGCCTGGACCCGACCCGAGTTCGAGTACACGTCCGGAAATCGTGTTCCGATGAATGAGGATGTAGCGGCGGCGCCTGCGGTGGTGGCCATGGCTCTGGGCTAACGTGCACCGGGGGTGGAGGGTTCGAGGTCGAGATTGCAATGTGTGTTTAAGTGGTGTGGATGAATTTGATTGGATTTTTATTCGGGGAGGGAAGTGAAGTATTTTATCAGGCTCGAATGGATTATCCGCGGTGCGGGTTTGTGGACGTTGGATTAGGAAGAGGATCCATCTGACGGCTGTGAGGGTCTCGGCCTTATCTTTGCCTTATCCTGATGGTGGTGTTTGTGGGGTCTCGGGAATTGGATCATTGTGGCACTTCTTGTGGTTGAGGTTGCAATTACCATAAAAAAAATCTACTTGGGTTTTCTTGTGGTTGGCTAATGGCTTGGCACTTCCTCAGTTCATTTCTTATATTTCAAGCGAATAGTAGGGGTTGGCTTGGCTTGGTATACCAGATTAAAAAAAATGTCCCTTGCTTATTTAGGTGAGATGGGTTTTCCTAATAGACTGGCATGTTTACTATTAAAAGAATTATTTGAATTCCTACTTCTCTTCCATTTACTAACACATATGATTGTAATTTAATTTATGAAAAAACTTGAATTATTTTGTTGCAACTTCTTTACTTTCCCGATTCATGACTTCCTCGACTCCAAATTTCCAAATAAAACATGTCATAACTGCAACTAAGAACTTGGACTGTTTTGATGTTAACTGGGCTACTTGTTGGTAACAGCTAGTTCAGGCCCAAGAGTTGGGCTTCTGGTTATAACTAGGGCCGGGAATTAGCCCGGTATCGATCCTAGAAGACTCGAGTCAACTCAAACTCAGTTGGAACATGACATGGCTTGCTAAGCCCACGCGTGTCGGCTAGCGAGGCGTGCCACAAGATATATACCTTGTCGTTGCCTGTATGGGATAACTTGGCGGCAGTCATCCGTATACTATGCATCGCGGCACTGCCCCACTCCCAAAATTAAAAACTTCCCGTTGATTTTGTCGTGTTAAAATTTCAAAAGCAAAAGAAAAAATTATTTAAATTCCTGGTTCTAGAACCTTGGAAACCGGGTGTAGCCGGTAAAAGCAAATTCTCGCCGCTGACTCGTGCGGCGGTATACTATTACAAGTATACCGGCTGGTCCGGTCACTTTTATCAAGTTCCCAATTCTCTCTGGTTCTACTAAATTTTCCTCTGTTTTTCTGTTTCTCTCGCAGCTTTGGTTTTCGCTATCTTTTGATTCTCTTTCTCTCTTCGGTTTTTGGTATTTTTCGTGGTGGAAGTGCCGGCCGATTCCGTCGCTTAAAGGTAACGCTCTTTTCTAGATCTGTTTTCTTTTTTATAACTTCTGTTTGGCTGCTGAGAAAATTGAGGAAACTAAGAGAAGGTATAAAAATGGTTTTTATTTTTATTTTTTTCTTTCAATCATAAACTATTAGTAGTGGTGAAGTTTGGCTAATTAAGTTGCACATAGGAGTAGTTTGCTTTTTCCTTTTTGAATATTCTAGGTTTTTTTTGGTTGGTGGTGTGGTGGTGGGTGGGTTTGGGGGGGGGGGGGGGGGGGGGGTGGGGTTTTAATAACAATAAATAATGTAATTATAATTATAACTGTATCCTAATTATAACTTTAATTATAATTGTAATTATTGACAATTATTATGATTAAATTTCCTGCTATATGTGTGCGGGCGTTGACTTGTATGATTGGAATATTTGGTTCTTGCCCTGATTGCTTGAGCTAAGATTAGATGACATGTCCTGTGTAATATTGGAAACAAGATTTGAATTGCTAATCTTGTGCAGACACTGATCTTGTAACAATGAGGGCTGCCAAAGGTAAGGGGGCAGCGAAGATCTCCAAGGAAGCTCTAAAGCCTGTGGATGATGGGTTAGTTAGCTTTTTATGTTTCAGTTGCATGCAATTCTTGCATTTATTTTGTTTTTGTGGTGCAATGATTCTCTAAAAAGTTTGTCCTGCAAAAGTTCTCTCTTTTAAGGTGTTAGTTTCATGGCCATTGTTGTGGTCACTTGTTCTACTGATGTTACATACTCAATGGTGTAATACATGTCTGCATTTGTATGATAGTGATGTATTGTATATCTCTATTATTTTCAGAAGGGTTGGGAAACGGAAGGCTGCTGCCGCAGATGATAAGAGTAGCAAACGAAAGGCCAGGAAGGAGAAAAGGGCCAAGAAAGACCCCAACAAACCTAAGAGGCCGCCTAGTGCCTTTTTCGTGTTCCTGTTTGTATCTGCTTCTCAATATTTTACTTAGTGAGAACAACCAATTGTTGTATCGTGAAGATTTATCTGAATCATGATACTTTTATGTCACAGTGAGGAGTTCAGGAAGGAGTTCAAGAAAGAAAACCCTAATGTGAAGGGTGTAGCAGCTGTAAGTAATCGATGGCTTCTCCTTATGTAAATGGATGTAGGATCCTTGTCCTATATGATGAAAAGAATTAACTTGTTAATTGTCTTCTGCATCTGAAGGTTGGAAAAGCTGGAGGAGACAAGTGGAAATCCCTGTCTGATGCAGTATGTATTCTATATTAATTGTTTTTTTGTTTGCATTGTGGAACTGTTTTCCACTTTGGGAATGACTCATTGGATGTGCCTTCAACAAGTTCATTCGTTTGTGGATCAACTTCTATATTTTTGTTTTCTTTTTAAAAAGACATACATGGTTTATGTTAGTCAAAATCGAGTTCTAATATCTACTTGATTCTTGTGAAGTTTGTACCCTGTATCGCTTACCTGTATTTCTCACCATTGTTTGGAAAGGAAAAAGCTCCATATGAAGCCAAGGCTGCAAAAAGGAAGGCCGAGTATGAAAAGCAGATGAAAGCCTACAACAAAAAGCAGGTGGGTGTACTCATGTGTGTCTAGAGGCTAGCCTCGCCTTCTAATTAGAAGAAGTATTTGGTGTTGGCTTGATACATTTTTTTATTGCTATTAATTTTTCACCTCTGTTTTATTCACAGGAGAGTGGGGCAGATGATGGTGATGAAGAGTCGGAGAGGTCAAGATCTGAGGTAAATGATGAAGAGGACGAGGCTAGTGGGGAGGTAGTCCCTTTCTATGTTCACTCTAAATGGCATTGACTAGAATGTAATCAATAGATGCTTCTGTCTTTGTAGAAACCTGATGAAGTGTCAAAATAAGTAGGAAGTATTTGAAAAAAAAATTAAGTAAAAGAGAGTAAGAAGTATCAAGAGCGTATTCTAGGCATGATTTTGTAGTCAGTCGCCACAGTTCCAACCATGAGCTAAGCATAAACCCATGTATTTGTATGTATCATGTGGTATTCCTAGTTTATTCTAACTTTTCTATCGCTAGTTATGATGCAAGCATGCATATCTTGTTTCTTCATAGGAGGGGCAGCCCCCAGAAGAGGAGGAAGAAGAGGAGGTGGAGGATGAGGAAGAGGAGGATGATGAAGATGATGATTGACACTTTGTTCTCCTTTACATGGACACAGTGGTAAATGGCACTTGGAGGAATCTAGATTTTGAATGTTATATTAGCTCAGCAGGTTGTATGTTATGACCCCCCAAAAAAGAAAGCTCAGGTTAGCATGTGGTGTTTGTTTTGAAACAGGAAACAATTGTTTTGTACTGCTGTGCCTATTGATGTAATTACCTGTGTAATCAGCCAGAGCTTTCCTCTATTAGCTAATCGTACGTAATCTTCGGTTTGTGGATTAGCTCATTTAACTAGCTGCTATTGCTAATTTGACCCCGTTCCATTTGAGAATTATTGACAAAATGGTCATGTTACAGAATGCTAAAGTGATACTTGCCTCCAGATTGTGTAAGGAATCAGACTTGAAAATCGAATACACACGCCCAGGCCTAGGTAGTGGTTTTGGAAAGTAACAGCACACGTTAGAACAAATCCAAATGAGAGGCCAAGCCAGACGAAGGGATCAACTCATCTTGTTATATGGCGTTATTGGTACCATATGAAAAAAGAAAAAGAAAGAAACCCTAGGTAGCATGTGGTGTTTGTTCTGAAACAGGAAATCTTTCCAGATAGCTCCTCATGAAGTTATTTTTTTTTTATTTTTGAAGTTGAAAATTGCAATTCTTCGAAAGTCTTCTGGCTGTTTTTGGCTACATATCTTTTGGTCCTGATGATTTATGTTGAACTTCAGTATAAACCGAGTAATAATTGTACGTTATAGAGCGTTTGCGCACAGGATTTGTTTGCGTTTCATCGATGATTTACAAATATTCCAAATTTATTTTGCTCCAGTTAACATATTTGGTCATCTGATGATTACATAAGAGAGATATGGATCAAAAATTGGCCAATATTCAACCACTAATACCAATTTTTGAAAAACCCTAAACCCAAATGGCTAATTTCAAATCCTAATATGAAATTGGGAGAGTTTGGTTGATGAAATTGTTCCTTGCACCGTTAAAGAAATTGACAGGAATACTAACTTGTCCTTGAATTGTTACAAATATGAAACTACAATAACAAAACCGAAGAAATTGAAACTATATAATCAAAAGTGATTAAAGTGTCAAACTACATGGACCAAAAGTGACTTTTGGCCTTGAGAGAATCATTGACAAAATGGTCATGCTACAAAATGGTAAGTTGATACTCACCAGACTGGGCGAAACTACTACAAAGGCTACAGTGGGAGTGAAGTTTTTAGGATAAAAAAACTTACACACACACACATATATATATATATATATATTTGTCTTCTTTTAAATATACCTCAGTATGTATTGACCTATTAAAGTTTAAAAAATCCAATTCTTTATGAACTTAGTTGCATTGCAGGCTTGCAGCAATAAAAATACACATTACAAATAGGTACTCTTTTATTATGTTGTTGAGCATATTTTCATTTTGATAATATGTGGGTTTTTTCTTTTCTTTTTTGATGCGGCGATAATATGTGGTTTTTGGTTGCATTTAATATGTATTTCTTTTAAGTTAAAGCTTATTGGAAATTGCAAGGGGCTTGTAACTCAAATAGTTAAGACCGTATATCCTTATCCGAGATTCAATTTTCCCCTCCCCCAATATCGTTTGTATCCAAAGGAATTTTTCTATTGGAAATTAGTCAATTAAACTATGAATTGGAATGACTTATATGATTTAATGTATACTTTTATTTCTAAAAACACCACAATTTCTGGAAGAAATTTTTTTTCTTGGTGTAGTTGATGATCACATAACAGGGGACGTAACAGACAGGGCATGAAGGTTGTACAAGGCACCATTTCTGGAGGCAAAGCCGGTGAAAGTAAATGCGCTTGCATTTACAAGGCACCTTTGTGGCTTCATCACCGACCTTCAACTCTTCCAAGCAGATATGGCACTCTTGGACCAGGTCATGAGAGATGATCACTCTTGGCATGCCATCCACGGACTTCGATGCCTGATATTCATCAACAACTGGAGCACATCGTGGCACCATCCGCATCCGCCAGCTACGCAATGTCGACCGTGGGGCAGATTCTGTATTTCTTGCATGATGATGATGGCTTTCCGTCCGTTGTGGGAACGATTGCATGGTCAAGCAATGCATGGTTTGACGATTGCTCACTTGCTTTTCTTTGTTGCTTTGAGTTGAACTTGAGAGACGAAATTATATGGAGGAGGCTAGTATGATATATATATATATATATATATATATCAGTCCCCTTCTATTGAGGGATCCCTTAAATAATTTTATTTGAGGGACGCCCTTTAGGGTATCCTACAATCGTTTTTTTAATGATCCAAACCATCTACTTTTTAGGTATTCATTCATAGATCATACTTACAAAAAATTAGACAAATCGGACACCTTTTCGACATGCAATTGTGTCCTACAAAATCAATGAACACGGTGCTTCAAGAAAGTACTAAATTTTCAATAACTCAATTGAATAGTCAAATGATATCGGATTTAAGTGATTTTTTGTAGAGATGATCTTTGAATGAGTATCTACAAAATAGACGATTTGGATTAGTGAAATACAATCCGGAGTAGGCCCTACAAGGGGTGTCCCTCAAATAAGCTTATTTGAGGGATCCCTCAATGGAAGCTCTCTGTATATATAGAGGGGAGGGAGTGCTTTATTTTTTGGGTTTAACCGCATTGGTTTGTTGCTTCCTCGTCAAGTATTCCGAGTCCAGTAAGGGCAAGGCAAACAAACCATTTGGTTTCCATAAAAAAATGAGGAAAAACCACCGATTTCGTAGGGATAATCCGCACAAGTATATCACCCGGACAATATGCATAATCCACACCCAATCCAAAGCAGTGAAAGGGCCCAAGCCCAATTCCAGAATCATAAAATAAAAGGTTTTTAGAAATACAAGAAATAAGGGAGCCCAATAAGAGCAGGAGATGAAATGTAAAGGTCTAGAGTCCACTATCCAGATTTCAAATATATCACAAAGCGAAGTTCACTAAACTTATATATATATATATATATATATATATATATATATACACAACCTATATGTTATGAGAGTTCAAACTTGAGATCTATAGTCTGTAAGTCAATGCCATTTTCTACTGAAATATACACACACAACCAATATGCCACGAGAGTTCGAACCTTAGACCTATAGTCTACAAGTCAATGTCATTTTCTACTGAACTAGACTCCGTTGACATAGTCAGTATTTAAGTTACTCTAAACTACTTGAATTTACAGGAGGCTTTTAGACCTCTCTAAGCAATTAAGGAAGTGATTTCATGTTCATAAGCTCAGGTTGCAAGTGGTGATTTTTTAAACAGAAACACAAATTCTTTTACCGCTGCGGCAAGTGCTTCGTTATTTTGCCAAACTCGGGCAAGAATTGGGTCAAAAAGCTTAGGGAACATCCATAGAAAATAACAATTTTCATGCCTACTTACAAAGATGAAGAATCTGTAAACTAACACAAATAAATTGTTAGGAATGTAATTAATTAATTACAAATGAGAAAAGTGTCAAAGCAATGAACCCTATATACATTTTCCAATATCAACTGGAAAGAAGGAAAGAATTGTAATGGGAATTACATACAATCAATCACCTACAGATAGAATTTCCAACCCGAGTAAATTGCCCTTACTGCTAATAAGAACAACATAAACATGTGCATATAAACCCCCCTCATCGATGAGGGTCATAGGAAACAAATGCAGGATTTGGAACAATGAGAGGCAGCTTATCAATGTACATAAAAAGTCTCTTCAAGTTCTGCCTAGAGATTGCAGACAGGTCAACAATCTCATTGTTGCTGGTGTAGATCCAAAGGTCACATGAGTTAACTCTTTTGAGGCTGTCCCGGCAGAAGGGGCACGACTGCGACCGCGTACGCCTAGATAAAATCCAAAAGGGCAATCTTCTTAGCTGTGCAAGATTTACATGCATGATGTGGCCAAGCAAACAGATATCTTCGATCCAGATTATATATGCCAGCGACTATATGACCGTGGTGGTATGTTATCACTTATGAGAATGGAACAGATACAGAAGCACATATTCATTCTTAAAGAGTGTTTGTTTCTAACTGTAATTTACTCCCGCAATACAGAAGCATCTAGCCAAGAAAGAGTTACCAGGTGAACAGCTCATAAGGATCATGAATGCTGATGGAAGTATCTGGTATAATGATTGCTGATGGAAGTATATCCATCTAAATAATCGTATTTCAGCCTTCAGGGCCATATATGTATCTATGTGCAAGTGAAAAATTACTTAAATCATGGACCACTTGTGTACAGAAGTTGAACCCAAATGGGAAAGTTCTGGACTGATTTGGATTTCTTCTTATCTGATAAGTAACCTTAATTGTTCTTCAATTGAGCATTAGGAAAAAAGAATGATGGCTTATAAAGAAGCAAATATACTAGATTCGGTAAGAAATGAAACAAAAAAAGAAAAAAAAACAAAAAAAAAAAAAAAAAAAAAAAGGGGAAAGGAGAAAGCAACAGCTGCTTACCAGTCCCGGTAGCACTTCATACACATAGAATGACTGCAATTGGGCAATACGACCTTGCTGTTCATCTCCATGCAAATACCACATTCTTCTTCTCGCTCGGAATCAATTTCAGAGAGCTTTCCTTTGTCCATCTCATCTTTTCTCTTATACTTAGTGGAAAAAATTTCTTTCTGTTTTCTCTCTTCTACATCGGTCAATCGTCTTTGAAGTTGCAACAATGAAGGAAATATCACACCTGCTTTGAAATAGTTAAAATGGGATTGCTAAAAAGTAAAGAGTTCCTTATCTTTTTTCCTCTCCCTAAATAGATAATAACCGAAACTGGATCAAGTACACTAAATTACAAACAATTGTTTTCAAGAATGTTATAGAAGAATCCAAATTTCCTTCAATTTTACTTACTGTAGAACTCCTTTAGACTAGCCTTTCTTTCATGAATAGACATGGTGGTCTTCCCATCCTCGTACGCCTGTGACAAAAAAACGACACCATCACACCCACGACAAGAAGCAACACTTTCTTAAGTTTTCATAGGAATTGAACAAGCTGCAATTCACCTTGTATATAAAAATTCTAAGCAATCCCAAGGCTCCAGCAAGGTGACAATCGGTCCACTGAATAAGAAACAGAAAGAATTGAGCAGCTGGACTGTAGGATAACCTCATTTGGAGGCAGCCACCATCATATTCCCTTCGATAATTAGAAGCCCTGTATCACAAGATATACCTCATAAACAGGAGAAATATTAAATTGCAATGGATAAAACCTTCAAGATGCAACTCTCCTCTCCTCTTCAGAAAAGTCCAAAGGAAATGATGCATGAAAACAGAATTTAGGAATCTAACATATTAAAATATGCAATGGGCAAACAAAAGTTCCCAGATTGGCTGGGATGATAATTGATCAGGATATTATCCTACATCAAAATTAACTGCAGATTCTGACGTTCAACCAAAATAAATTACCCAACTTGACAAACACAAAAGGGAAAAAGCTTAGCCAGTGGCAAACACTAAATATTTGCAGCCGACAATTACCACACACAAATTCGAGAGAAAACTCAAAGAAGAAGCTCAAATTCCTACAAGGGTAAGGGTTCAAATACTCTATTCTATAATAGAAACCTTTCCCAGTACCCATTGAGGCCATAAAAAAAAAAAAAAAAAAAAAAAAAAAAAAAAAAAAAATATGATATACGGAGCTTTGGAAACCCAAATTCTATACATATACTCTGAAGTTATAAATAAAAGTAATTGTGAAATTCTGGGTTGGAGCCGAATCTCTTATATTTACCAGGAAACGAAAATCCATATCTATGAACCAAGTTAGATAATTGACAATTTGACACACATAAACAAAGAGATATAATATCAGAAGTGGATGAGGATACAGAAGAAGAAACAGAGTCATACAGAGTATTGGCAAACTGAATATCAGCTTCAAGTGCCTTAAGAGAATCCTTGAAAGACTTTCGCATTGTTTCTAGGCTCCTTCCGCTTTTTTTCATTAAAAAACTCTCCCATAAAAAACCCTAAACATCCATCACTCCATCACCTCAACCCCCAACGCTAAATTCATCCATGACCCAACCAGCACTCTGCCCCTTCTCTCTCTAAAAAAAACTGAAGACAAATCTGATAACAATTATGAACTGGGTTTTGGGCAGTAACTTCTTAGCGTTAGCTTGAGAGAATCTAGCACTGCGAGAAGGTTTTAGAGAGAGAGAAGGGTTGGGCTTACTTGGTTTTCGCTTAGAGCACACGTAACAGTCTAAAATCTCTCTCACAGTTCTTTATAAATTTTTTTTTTTTGGTCGAAAGTTCTTTATAAATTAATCCGACGAAGAAGAGGAAAAGTGAAAGATTAATTATTTATTAAATGACCAATTTACCCTTCTTCCCTCGCCTCGGGATTTCTGTGGACATGACCGCTTCCCGATATTTTTTTTCCATCATCACCCGCAACTCGTCTTAAGCTGACCGACACACCGGTTAAGAGGAAACGACGTCGTTTTGCCGGCGGGTCAGAGGAGTTGCGTGCATCTCTAGGTGAGGACCATATGAGAGCTAAATCCGACCGAAGGTGACGGCAGCGGTTCTGGTGACACGTGGATTGCATGCATCACGATCTGGCTCAACCGTTTGGTTGTGGGTCCCACCGACTTGGTGGTTGTTTTATTTCTAGTGCGACGTGTCGTGATTGGTAAAAGAATGGACCCCACCTTATGCCCCGCCGTACACTTTAGCTTTATTAGTGTCGTGATTGGTAAAAGGACTAGTGTCCCTGTAAACTAATTAAGGGATTTAAGAAAAGAAATTTGGTATAAAATATTGCTATAAATATAAATAATATATTTATTTGGTAAATTTCAAGGTGGTGCCTGCCTATTATCGTCAAATTTAATAATCCATCCATAATTGATAATCCTGTGTTTCTATTGCTTGAGAATTAATTAGAGTCCACCAACTTGGCTTAATAAATTTATTTAGTACAAAACACATAAATTAATCACAAAAGTAAGGCATTTTGTCCTTGTGCAGATGCTGCGGGGTGCGGAGTTGCCAAGGTCGAATTTTCCACTGATTGGTTATTATCTAATTTGTTATTAAAAATATAAATAAAATAAATAATTGGCAAATGGTATGACATGCTTTATTTATAAATTATACACACAATTCCTTAACGAAAGATAAGTGCATGTCCAATTACACTTTCGAGCCAATTGGATTGGGTGGGAAATAATGCTCTCTTATTGGTCGTGGTTATCAACTTATCAATGAGTAAGAAACTTGTATAAATTGATTAGACCAAACGTTTGAATATGGCAAGAAGATATCAAGTTGCATTCTTAGTAGTATATATTCGTGCCTAAGTTGATTTTTAGCCCAACATACCAATCAAAATCAAATTATACTATTATCAGTGGCCGAACTATTAAGCACAAGGATGTGAATCTGCATTTTTCCTCATCGAAAAAATCATTATAGGTGTTGCATATTGCACATCTGCTCAATCTAGGAGGTGCGCACTTGTAATTTTTTTATATATATAAATATTAACCAAAATTACACCTTAGTTAAAAAATTCATGAGTCCGCTGGTGACTATTATTGTAGTAAATAGTTTTACTATAACAATAACATCGCAACATATTATCAACGCCGCAATATTGTTTATTTTTTCGATAGCAAATAATCATGGATAATCTTGATATGACAAAAAGAAAGAATGAATATTTTATCGATACATTAGAGATTGTCTATCTGCTACAATTATATATATACTGTTGATGTTGTCGCTTTGCTACAGTAATAGTGCTACTCCACCCATCAGAATAAATTTGATAATACCTCATTACCTCTCAAAGGGCTACCGATTAGAATTTCCACGACCAAGTATGACTAGCAGCTTAGATTAACCATCGAATTGAATTGACTACACAAACAAATGTAAAGGCAACACTGAATTTAATGATTGGTTGGATTGATGATAATGACAAGCTGCCAACCTATTTTCCAGAGATTAACATTCAAAGAGAGCAATCGTAGAGTGAGAAGCTACCCTTTGCTTGTGGGATCATCAAATTAACTTAGCTGCAAGCAAGGGAAAATTCCTTTTTAAATTGAACATCAAACCACAAATTTCAAATTAAATGAGTTGTACACGAAGCAAGTGGTGTATGGACTATGGATGTGCCATCATTCATGAACCCTAGCTATTACCAACAACATTGGGATCTATTAATTACGAGGCCCAACACTTTTTTTGTTTTGTTAATAACATAGTAATTAAAAACCATAAAGCAAATAATAATTTCTTGCTGTTTGTTAAGCAAGAAAATTAACCCAGAGCTAGATTGTGTTGTGGGAAATAAGGCAGCAACTTTTGAATTAATACAAGTGAGACCTTGGCGTGCAAGACGCTTATGGCCAAGATTAGGATCAATTGGAGCTCCTAAAATATCTTGTATGTGTTTGATTTTGTTGGCTTTCTCATTTCTTGTAGCGCAAACTAAATTAATTAGGTTTCTATCCTATCCATGATTAAAAGCCTTCTTGTATTGGGTTTTGATTTTGCAAAAACGTAAACCCTAATGGTATGAAACTCTATGTTGTTCCCCTTTACAAATTAATAAAAATAAAATAAAATAAAAAAAAAAAAAAAAAAAAAAAAGAAGAAGAAGAAATCGCTGCTTCTTGTTGCCCACACTATAGCTTTGGAATTTTCGTGCTCAACAAACAACAGTAGACCGGACTGTACTCCAAATTAAGCTTGGGGAGAAAGCAAACAAGCCACTATTTATATCACAACCCATCCCCATCCCTTTCCCACACTCTCATACACTATACCCATCTCTCTCTCTCTCTCTCTCTCTCTCTCTCTCTACAATGAGCAGCGTCAACAGCTTGTGCGGCAAGGGACGGATGGTTTTGACAATTTTTCGGGACACTGCTTTGACTTTAGCTTCTGCCTTGTATGTGAAGTAAGTATTCCTCTCGTCCCTCTCTCTCTCTCTCTCTCTCTCTCTCTCTCTCTCTCTCATTGTTCTCTGATCTCATGCGCAGGGAGACAATAATGGAAAAGTTTGGCAACAATGGAGGTTCTGGCTCCTCTGTTAGCAAGCGGTTTTTTGGAAAACGAACAGAGGCCAGCAGTAGTTAGATGGCTAAAGAGTTGGTATATGCAGTAAAGTGCAAATTATTATCAGTAGTGCAGGCTTTAACTTGAATCAGATGTAATTTCTTTGCTTTTTAGATTCCCGGCCAAGTTGAGCAGTAAACAGTTTTTTTTTCGGTAGCAATCACTGGCTATTGGCTGCTATGTTAGGCTTATGAAAATGAGCAATTTTATATTTTCTACAAAACTTTAAAGAAGACAAAACTTACTAATCTATGATTCTATATACCCACAACTTTCGCTGCATCGGAAACTCAACTAGAAATCTAGACTCAACCCTCCTTCAACATGCAATGCCAATTATGGCGGCCAACGGATTCCAGTCAAAATATCAACTTGACGGCTCAGCTTCTTTCTCTAGGTAAAATTTGCCTCACGGAAGAACCAGACCCCCTAAATGAATCCATATGTCATCTTGGTGTTTGGTTCTGTCATCTGTAAACCAGCATGGCTGCACTTTGCAGATCAACATTTCCCCGTCGTATTCATACTAACAACAATAAATTACAAAACCCATATTTGAAAACTCAAATGGGGCTCAATTCATCAAGGGAGATTTCCCTGGGGACTTTCAAATTAATTTGACTTGTATCCCATCCACTTCCATTTAACTGCTGGATGAAGTCTTCAAATCTATCTTCCATCTCCAGCAGGCTTTTTGTAAGCTGGTCAAATGCATTACCTAACCTATTCCAGTTCTCGTATAGCCAATAAGCCTGCCAAACACTTCGTAGAACTGAGATACTCGTAGCTCCAACCTGCATCATTATTGTTATCATCAAGGTTGATTAAACCTTGAGGACAATAATCTCCTATAAATCCTTACCAGCAATTTAAATGCATACCTTGAATGAAACAAAGACCTCAAAGTCGCTTATTTGTTGGTTCACTACAAGAATATATTTCTCCTTTGTGTATAACTCCAGAAGTGCCTTCAACTGTTATTAAAAGATAAAAGAAAAGGAAAACAATGAAGGACTCTCTAACAAACTACTGACAAACCCGCATGCCCAGATTTGATGTTTATAAGGATATACTTTAGATGCTTTCACTCCTTTGTGCAACGAAAGAAAGGATGGATTACCATGGGAGCAGTTCTCTCTCCAAAAATCATCTCCTCCAAGGGAACACCAAATGTAATTTGTGGTGTCATGAATCTTGGCCACAATAATATGTTTTCTTCCCTATTGCAATCAACAGAACCTAACTTAAACAACCAGAAAGAATGGTCATTGTTTATGATGATAGAACAGCTTTATAAGCAAGGGAGCAGAAAGGTTCCTTACCAGGTACAATAGAGTGTAATACATGAGATTTTACCAGAATACGAGCACGCTTAAGATTTAACTGCAAGGAAAGGAAAACAGAAAGAACAGATCATAAATGAACTAAACCTTAAATCACATTTTCCATTTTATCCTGATTGCTTTTCCCCTCATGATCCAGTCCATGCATGGGCATAAAACAATTAAAATGTAGAATATCCAAATTCAATCCCATTTACCCCCCTACCAAGAAAATCTTATTCCTTGTTTGTTTGTGTGTGTGTGTGTGTGTGTGTGTGTTTGTGAGAGAGAGAGAGAGAGAGAGAGAGAGAGAGACTTACAGAGTTAAATTGGAGAACTGAAAGTGATTGATAGCGTAACCAAAGGTGCAGAAGCCGCATGACCATCCATGTTGTTGCCAATACTGGGTATGCTCTTACAAGGCCTGGTGTATCCTGCATTCACGATTCTAAATCATTTAAATACATCAAACGAAGAAGTTAGCCACTGGGAAGTCACAGTACTCTTTAGAGAATAAAGTAAGACCATCTTAAGAAACAAAATAACATACTAGGAACAGTATGCCCAAACCCAGGCCAAGCAGCTGAGCAGCCACTTCCCAAACTTCCTCCTGAAACATTTGACCAATTAATTATGAGAAGAGCATTCTCTTATATGTGATACATGAAGGGGATAAAACACAAAATATGTTATCAACTAAATTTTGTGAAGTTTGATTGCAGAAGTTACTCTTAAACCCGACCTTTGCTGCTATCTCCCCCAGATTTCCCTCAACTGCAAAATGATTTTGAATCACACGGTTTGAAGGATCTTTTAGCCCTCTCGCAACAGCCTGTTTAGATGCCCACATCACATCACGTAAATAAGGAAATGGAATACTCAATCAACAGCTATATCAGCTATGGTGCGGATATGCAAGAAAATCGCTAGAAGGAACAATTCAGAAACCAAACTTATTTTTCATAAAAGAAGCTAATGCTGCAGTTGTGGTCATATAATCAATCAGCTGTAGCCTACATAGCACAGCAGTGCAATACCTTGGCAAGATTTCCAAGAGATGCCAATGGCAGGAAATAGGCAGGATACAATGGTGTAGTAAGGTCGAAAATGCTGCATAAAAACATTACTTTTTTTTATCCAATAATTTTTTTTCAATTCACTTGTGCAATATCCAACAGAGAGTTTGTTAGATGAACCTTCCAGCACTGCCAATAAAGTCAGCATATAAGCGCCACTGCTTTGGATCATCATCAAAAAGATTGCCAAATCGCCCACCTGAGAAAGAGACATAGTCACTGTTGAAATTCATCACATAACCTAGTATTCCATTTAGCTCTCTTTATGATTGGCATACCGATAAATAAGCGTCCAACAGCTCCAATTCCATCTTTCGAAACCCATCTGCAGAAACAATCTCATAACCTACAGTTCAGTCCAACAAAAGGAATTGATATACAAATGTTGCTCTACAGATAAAAATATTGTCTTACAAAACCAAGTCCATAATAAAAAACAAACGATGTCTCTTGGTTACGAGTCTCAGCATAAGGTGGGGAATGAATTAGGCCGAGGTCTTAGATTCAAATTCTAGCAGTTGAAAACATAAATGGAACTTGCACATATGATTCCACACAAAAAAACATATAGAAAATAAATATATCCACCTGATGGCAGCTGCTGAAGCAGCAGCAGTGCTGCCTGAGAAAGAGCCAACACCGACAGCCTGCAAATAGTGCATGATTAAAAAGTAAAAATGCATCTGCCAAAAGGCAAATGATGGCCTGAGTCCTTGACTAACCTACCTTTAGAAGACTTGATGTGACTAAGGTATGGCATATCCATGCAGTTACATTGGTAGGGAACTGTAACAACATGTACGACAAATAATCATCAGAAACTGATCCTGCAAGAAAAGTGAAAATAATAAAAGGTTAGAAATCTCGTACTGGCACTGCTAATCATATTTTGGTCTCTGGACACTTAGCCACTACTACATATGAACTTCAAGGATTCCGACTATCTTTACTTTGAATCCACTATTCAAAAGTCTAAGTTCAACCAACACATGTTATTTATGTACGTATGAATGAAAAAACCAGTGGAGAGGGAAACACTGATTATATAGTCACCTGGGAAACCTGCAGGAAAGATAAAATCTTTGACAATATCCGGAAGCCATGATAATGTTGAGTTGGAGAAATGTGAGCTCTCAGAATTATCAGATACTAAACTACGCTCCTCCTCGATAAAAGTTTGCACTTTCAATTCATCATCTACCACATACCTGCTTGTGGAACCACACATCAAGAGAAACAGCTCACAACTTAGACATTTGGGGTTTAGAATTTTGAAGTAAAGTTGCAATCCTTTAGTTGCATGAGAGCAATGTTATTGAGAAAGGACCTCTTAGCAGTGCCATTTCCATATCTCTCCACTAAGATCACGTGCGGTCTGCCTCGATTTCTGTTACAAATTAAGCAAATTCAGAATCGAACTTTTTTTTTCTTTTCCGGCATAGTTTTTCTCTGGAGCCAAACAGAGAGGTAAAGAAGGAGAAGCTGTTGTTACCTGCCATGATCAGCTTGGTTTTCATCGTCATCTCCCTTTTGAAGGTTGGATTCAGAGGAGGAGGAGGAGCACGCGATTCGGAAGTGGCAATGTCTGAAATTCAGAGGCTTTCTAGAAGACTCGAAAGCACAAGTAGGAAGCGAGAGTTGTACGGCGCCACAGGGCATTGCGAGAAGACGTTAAAGGGGGTTTAGGTTTTAGGGTTACAGAAGTTAAGAGCCAGTCTTCTTCTTCTCCAGGTTCTTTTCACACTCCACTGCCGCAAAACGGATTTAACGGCCAACGGTCGTCTATCTTCATTTCCTTCTTCTGTTGGTCGATCCTCTACCACTACCACCCAAATGTACGGATATTGCAACTCATGGGAAAACGGAGTTTGTTCGTACTTACCCACCTTTCAAAACGACGTCGTCTTGCGCCCTTTCAAACGGACCTGAAACAAAGCCCTCGCCTCGGAATTAGGCCCAACGGAGTTTTTTGCTTTCTTAATTGATGCCAGCCCAACCCATCAACCAGTCCGTAGAATTTAATGTTACTGACGAAAAAGAGAAAAAAAAAGCTTGCACGACCACATTTTACTGCAGTTTATAAATCAGAACTGCTTCCATTACCCAATATGATTGCGTTACAATAAAAAAGGCCTGGTTCTATGAATGATGACAAATTCCAAGTGTTTCTACACATATACAGGTGGCTTTGGCAAAAACATAATCTCGAACCGACTGCATAGCGTGGCCGAAAATGAAATCCTCAAAAAATAGGCAACCTACCTAAGCTAGTAATTGTTCTACAACATCACAACCTACCAAAAAGGACAAGGATTCACTCGGCAGCTCAGTCCTCACTAATATGAAGGCAATTTGGCCAATGCAAGTCCTACAAATAACGGCCATCGTCAGTGAACACAATGTCAATAAGAAAATTTGGTGAAGGTCTGTCTAGTACTGGTGTAGTCTGCTGGACTGGTGGCACTAAATGCTACTTTGTTTAACCAACGACCTTTTGCTGTTGTTTATTGCGATTTTCCTCCACAATTCTCTGAAACTCTTTCTGACTGGTTGCAATTAGACGTTTGACCATGTCGTAAGTGGTAAGCCTAATGCTGCATTTGAAAAAGGGAGATTTCGTAAGGTAACTGAGTTTCAGAGGTTTAAAATGTCCCTGGAAACCTTAACCACTCATAAAATAAATGCCCCTATAAAATTCCCCAGCATGGAACACCAACCAAAATTGAGGTTAGAAAAGACATCATTCAGCATGAGAACGGATAATATAAATTTTAACATGATATAATAGTAGAAAACAAAGGCAGGGAGGGGTGTGCATGGAACCTGCTGTTCGGTAGAGTTTTCAAAGCATTAGGCAAAAATCCCCTATACAATCCTATAAGTCCATCACGGGCCACGATACCTGCACAAGCAACATCAACTTAAATAAATGACTTTGACTATTAACCCAAAAGTGCAACTTCATTACAAACACAAATAAAAGCTATGAACAAAATAATGAGAAACTTTCTGGTGATTGAGGTAAACCTATTCTCAAGAAAATTAAACCATATCATGCCACACCAGAAGCTGGTAGACATGTGCTTCAGTAGGTACTATGCAGCAACATTTGAATCCTACTTAATACTAAGCCACCAACATTCTCAGAATCAATACTCCAATCCATGTACTTGGCATAAATACAAAGTTTTTATCTTTAACCACCATTGTAAAGCATAACTGAGGAAGAGATTTTTTTCTTTAAAGTGCATTTTTCCCATATCACATTTAACCAAATCAAAAATGCGGGAGAGTTGAGCTTCTGGTCCCCAAGTATGTTTCCCAATTATTCATATAGTGAGAAAAGTTTAAGACACCTACAATTGTTATACTTAACTCACGTTCTAATTCTATATGACTCCTCTACATTAAGACTTAATGTCTAGTGCTTGACACAATGTCTGGTCACTTTTATGTCAATTCCTGATGGTAAAAGTAATTAACACCACGGTTTTACCTGGAATGGCATCCAAAACCGTCTTGTAAGGTGTGCCCTTCATTTGCATCTGTCTTCTCACAGTATCCAAAGGATAGCATGTGAGTGTGGCTAGGGAAGCTGACACCAAACCTGTTAACAGAGATGCTTCAGTTTTCCTTTGAAATTCCTCTGGTAAAGACTTCTTCACCCTGTCATCCAAACACGAATATGAGTAAAATAGGATACATTATTTGTATTCTCCTTTAGTGTAACATTGAAAGAGGTGGGAGTGGACTCACAAGTCAAAAATGCAAAAGTTCACAGCAATATATGGAGCTATTCCAATAAGAGAAGGTCCAAGACCATAGTAGAAGGATGCAACTCCTTCCTCTCTTAGCATGTTTAAGGCAATCTGGAAAAAAATCATTAAAAAATTCATCTTCACGAAGATTGGGGCATCCTATCATAAATAACATGATCAGGTAGGTCATACCTCAGACATAGTTCGGTACCCTGGTTCAACTGCTAAGCGTAACCTCAGGACATCCAACGGGTATGTCACCTACATGGAGGAAAATAGTATATCTTTGAATAGTTCCACATAACAGGTAGAATGAAAATAAGTTAGATGAACGACAAGAAGGCAAAAATATAAAAAAACTATCCACGAAGTAGACTTTATAAGTAAAATATGAGGGTTCACGTGTTCCTAGGAACAGTACCCCGACAAACCATTTTAAGCTAAAGAGGAAAACACTCATGAACCAAAAATGTCACAACACAAATGCATTACTCACAAAAGTGGATGTCATGCCAGCACAAGCACCTGCTGCAAGTCTTCCAACAAGAGAGAGCTCACCATCTTTCCCCCTAAAAAGTTTCTTCAAATTCAAGAAAAAGAGCTTTAGTTCTGGATACATGGAATGCTGCAGAAAAATTTTCTTCAAAAGGGTTTCAAAATTACCTTATAAGCTTCGTACGCAAAAAGCTGGACAGCACTATAAGGGATAATCCTTATGACCTAAACAATTAAAAGAATTTTCAAAATTAAGGCAACACAAGAAACGCCCTGCTTTATTGCAGGGGCAAGTAATATTTTGTAACACAATAGGAAAATTCATCCGCAGAAAACCTGAGGAAGGTTGCCTTTCCAGTACCCTTTAATCCCTTCTTCCTTCCCTATCATTGTTATGGCCTGCAGGGTATGCATCATCATTAAACATGAAGAGGTGGTCATATAGCATGATGTCAAATGCTTATAAAAGAAAATTGAACATAATTTTTTTTAAACCATAAATTATGCATCTCTGTGAAAAGATCGTAAATCTCCATAAGTTATCATGTATGTAAGCCATAAAACCATTATTGGAAAAACTAACGAGCAGTGATAAAGCTGAATAGATTTATTTTTTAATCAATTTTGTCAACAGTTCAAGTCTACAACCTCTGTTTCACAGCCCATATGATTGTAAGACAAATGCATATAATTTATGATGTCAAAAACTGGGCGAAGCAGAGGATGGGTGAACCATTACATACCTCGAGAAAACTGATAACTTTCTTAGCGCTTTGTTGCCCAACTCGAATCCCATGAGTCTGCAAATATATCAACCTTTCTTTAGACTACTGAACAGTTACAACTTACAATTGAGCTAGTATTTAATTTAGTGGGAAAACAATAATGCAGAATACTATTGGCCAGACAACAAGTATGAATATGTCTTGACAAGGAGCTCAAAAATATACCATAGAAGGACTTGAAAAGCACAGTGTAATAAACCCAGTAAGCCTAATAACAAAAACTGGATTTTTTTTCTTCTCCAGAATCAGAAACAATTGCCTTTCTTAAAACGCCCAGAAATAATTTTTTAAATTTCAGGAGTAATGCTGGTCAAAAAATGGAAAGCTACCTAAAATTCTCATTTCTGTGTTATTTTCTCAACCAGCATAATGGAAAGCCAAGATTTATCAACGGAAATAAAAACACTGAATTTCGTAATATAAATGCCTTATCGGTTTCCTGAAAGTAAATTTTGAGCATTCACTTTGTGTTTTCATAGTAATTAACCAAAAATAAAGGGAAGCACAATGTTCTACAGATACGTCGCCGTATGCAACCATTTCGAGCTATAAAATTGCGAGAAATGTGACAAAATTCAAAGGTATAGAGTATAGAGGGAGTTAATGAACACCTGCATAAGAATCTTGATGCGGTCGAGCGGAGCCGTGACTGTCTTGGCGGCGGCTCCAGCGATGGCTCCGGCGGCGAAGAGCGCGGCGTCTTTGGGAACGCAAGCGAGTATGGCCAGCGGATGCTTCACCAGCTGAGCCGAGGTCGGCGCGAATTCATTTCTCCGCTCTACCCTCTCTACCACCGAAACGCAGGCGAAATTACAACGAATGCCACTCCCACCACCACCAGTGAAGCTGAGCTGCGTGGTCTTCCATAACGGCTCGAGCTCCGCAGCCGCAGTGAGGGCGCAGTGAGAGGCGTTTAGGCTCGGGATGCTCCTCCAGGAGATAATGGGTTTGGATTCCCTGGTCATGGATTGGAGGAATTTTGAACGTTGAGAGCGGAGGTGAAGAGATAAGGCAGCGAGGGAGGTAGCTGTGTTGTTGCAGAGAGAGAGATAGAGAGCAGAGGACACGGGAAGCAACTTTGTTCAGGCAGGCGGGTGCATCTTATTTGCTAATTTAGTACGAAGTGCGCGTGATTCACCATCCATATTTCTCAAAAGGGCTTGGGCCCCACTTTTTTTTAACGAGGGATTCACTAATATATCTAAAAGATGAGCTGAAATTATAAAAAAAATTCTACATAGAATGCACTTTAGAAATACACCCAAAATTAATTTATTATATAAGAAATTGGTGTTAAAGTTCTTATATATTACAGGACTGCCACTGATGCCCAACATAAAAGAAAAAAAAACTCAAAAAACACCCAAAACAAGCCCAGTCCAATTTTATAAAAAAGCCCAAACATTTTTTTTTGTTATAAAAAATCCAAACATTTTATTACAACACAAAACTGTCTCGTAAACCATAACTTCAAGCACGCATCTTCATTAAACCATCTCTGCAAAACGTCTCTTCATTTCACCATCTTCATCATTTATGCAAACTAAAACTCCATAACTACCACCAAACTTGATCTACTTTCAAAAACCAACACCACACACTAACCTCCACCTACAAAACAAAGACGAAATTTTGGAGAACAATTTCAACAAGAAAAGGCTTCAAAGGTAAGACATTTAAAAACCAAACTTTTATTGTAATGTTGATTAATTGCTGTAAAGTTCTAGTATATGGTTATAACAATATTTTGTATTCGAATCCAAGACAAAATCTTGAAACTATATTGGATTTTCACTATTGGACTAACTGCATATGACTATAAAATAGTTGGTTTTCAGCAACTCAAAAAAGAAAGAGATATTTAGTCAAATACAGATTCTTAACACTACTAGTTTACTGTCATGTTGATTAATGACTGTAAAGTTCCAGTATAAGGTAATAACATTGTTTGTTTCCTATGGAATCATATTTCTAATGTATGTTGATCACTGTAAAGTTCTAGTCTAAGGTAATAACACTCCTAGTTTCCTATGAAATCCTATTTTTAATGCATATCTACCACTGTAAAGTATCAGTATAAGGTAATAACAGTATTTTAGATTTGAATATAGGACAAAATCTTGAAACTATATCGGATTTTCATTATTGAACTGATTGCATAGGACTATCAAATGGTCGGCTTTCAACAACTCAAAAAAGAAAGAGATATTTAGTCATATACCCATTCTTAACACTATTAGTTTACTTTCATATTGATTAATGGCTGTAAAGTTTCAGTATATGGTAATAACATTGATTGTGTCATCTGAAATCCTATTTCGAATGCATGTCTACCACCGTAAGGTTCCAGTATAGAGTAATAACATTGCTTGTTTCCAATGAAATCCTATTTTGAATGGATGTCTACCACTATAAAGTTCCAGTACAGGGTAATAACACTGCTTGTTTCTTATGAAATCCTATTTCTAATGCATTTCTACAATTGTAAAGTTCCAGTATAGGGTAATAACACTACTAGATTCTTCTGAAATCCTATTTTTAATGCATGTCTACCCTTTGTAAAGTTCCAGTATAGAATAATAACACTGCTAGATTCCTCTGAAATCCTATTTTTAATGCATGTTTACCTCATGTAAAGTTCCAATATAGGGTAATAACACTACTAGTTTCATATAGAATCATATTTCTAATGCATGTCTATCACTGTAAAGTTTCAGTATAAGGTAATAACATTGCTTGTTTCTTATGAAATCCTATTTCTAATGCATGTTTGTAAAGTTCCAATATAAGGTAATAACACTACTACCTAACAGCAAATTATAGTCGACTCAAAAACCAATAATGCATAAACAGAAAAAACACAAATATACTCAAATTCAATTGAAAAAACATACCTCAATTAATATATGGTAATATAGGATAATAACACTACTAGTTTCATATAGAATCATATTTCTAATGCATGTCTATCACTGTAAAGTTTCAGTATAAGGTAATAACATTGCTTGTTTCTTATGAAATCTTATTTCTAATGCATGTTTGTAAAGTTTCAATATAAGGTAATAACACTACTACCTAACAGCAAATTATAGTCGACTCAAAAACCAATAATGCATAAACAGAAAAAACACAAATATACTCAAATTCAATTGAAAAAACATACCTCAATTAATATGATAACCGAATCAAATATCACAAATTTGTAACCACAGCTCAAACCAAAACACAAAAGCAAATCCACAACCAAACCGAATCTGAAATCAATCCAAATTATAAACAATCGAAGATCGCAGATCAAATAGGATTTTATACTGAGCCAAGTCACCAATGCACCATGAGCCATTTCATCCCCTAAATCCGCCAAGTCATTGTCCATTTGCTCATGTTGCAAATCCTCCAAATTTTTCACAGATCCATCATCTAATGGATTGCCAATGCTAGTGCTTCTGACTTCAGCTTCTGTCGTGCCATTTGGACTAACATGCTTCAAGGCACAGCCTTCGTCAACTCCATCTTTCAAAGCATTACTGCTTGATGTTCCCTGAATTGAGATGGCTGCAAAGTTTTGATCCACGGGCTTGGAAAAGGGCCTCCTAGTTTTCCTATATCCAAAAGACGAATTAATTAGAATGAGAAGAAATAGTTACCTTACACAATCAGAATCCTATGACTTCATTATTCTTATTCTTTTTTAGAGAGAGAGAGAGAGAGAGTTACTTGAGAACAGAGTTTAGGATTTCATCGTCAAAATTGAGGTGGAAGAATAAAAACTGAAAATTGGGGTTGAAGATGAAGATGAGAGATTGGAGGTTGTGAGTTCTCATCTGGTGTTTATTAGGAATTCCAATTTTATGTTAAAAGGGTAATAAAAGTATTTCATCTTAATAATTAAATTAAAAAATATACAGCTGTTGATTTTTGGGTGTATTTATATACATTAAATAGTATAGAGTATTTTTATAGTTTTATGTCTATAAATGGGTATTTAACTAATTTTCTATTTTTTAATTGAATGGGGCCCATGTTTCGCTGGTTTTAACTTATATACTTTTTTTTTCTGTTTTTTAAAATTATTTATTGTTAGGAGACTCAAAATTTAAAATTGGGAATAATAATTAGTATTTTTAAAAAAAATTTCGTTGCTGGCGTCATCACTGACGTCACAACCGTGTTGCTCTTGCCTTCGGTCCTGCCAAGGCTTGGTGGAGCCCAAGCCTTACCTGGGCTGTTTTGTACTGCTGGAGTTGTATTTCTTGGCCTGGGGGGCCTTTTGCCTGAGCGAGGGCCTTCCGGTGGAAATAATCTAACAACTGAATCACATTGTAACAAATTTAAAAGACGAGAGGTATGTTATTGTAAAAATTGAGAAAGTATGGATTAACATGTCTTAAGGATATAACCACAGAATACTAAACTGTCATTAACCATTTATTTTATTTTAGGGTTGACAAGGAAAGTTCTATTAGTTATAGCTTTTTAACTTTAATATCAAATCATGACTTGACTTCTTAAAATTGAGGAGAAGCTCCTCCTTATAACCAATGGATTTTTGACATTTGTCAAATTTTAGCAACATTGACAAAGTTTCAAAAAATAATTTAACACGTGTCAAAACCACATTGGTTGTAACGAGGAGCTCCTCTTCAATATGAAGGAGCCAAACTTTTTTCTTAAATTAAACTAGCCCATTGGCAATTGATTTTCTTTTTATAATTAAAAAAGATAATGGATAGTTGTGTTCCATAAAAATAGAACCTATTATATGATTTTATTTTAAATTTTAAAAAATTTTAATATGAAAAAGTATGAATTTACCATATTTATTCTCATTTAATTAATAATTTCAATTATGAATATTTGCATTAACCAAAGACATTTTTTGATATTTTAAATATTTCACCATTCTATGCCTTTTGCTATATATAAATAGGTAACTAGAACTGACAAGTGTTGCCTCATAACAATAATCCGAGAGAGATACATACAGAGGATGTAATGGAAGAATATTTGAGAGAATTAAAAATCGAATAATAAAAAAAGGTCCCAAATGGGTTAATCTAGCTGAAAATGTGACCCAACCAATAGGGAAGCCCAAGGCCCAAGCCCAACTTCACTTACTCATTTAAAAAATGGGTGAAAGCTACGGCCCAAGTTCATCAATATTCTGGGTTGACCCGAAGCATGGCCCAATGGGTTGCCAGGCTAATCCCAACCATGTTCTTTCTTTCGTTTTTTTGTGGGAAATCTGAGCATGTTTTCTTGACATGAAGTGGACTGTACAATGCTTCCATTTTGTTGATTTGCCACTAGGGTTTAGGTTCCAGGTTCCTATGGAAACCTTTGTAAAAATTCCATTGACTTTGATTGTCTGCTAAAAGGTGAGCATTGGTCCCATGTTTCACTTTATTTTCCTTTATGCTGATTTTACTTTTTGCATGGGTTGGTCCTTTTCACAAGAGAGTTTGAGACTGGTCAATTTTCGCCGTATGATAACTATTTTATTTTTAGTTTTTATTTTTTATTTTTTGTGCTAAAGTATAGAGGAAAATGAGAGTGAGAATGGACATGAGGATGAGATTGAGAGAGAGGATGAGAGGGGGAGAGAGTGAGAATGGAAGTTGCAAAAATCAAACCAACAAATTTTCCATTATTAATTCTTTATTATTCCATAATAAAAACGCAAAGAAATCAAGCCTCTATGCCATGTATGCCACAAGCTCCACTGGCATTTATAAGAAGAAATCAAAAATCAGATGGAAAAACAAATCTGATTCATATATAGTACTAGCTATACACACATATGACTGATTCTGTAGCCTGTCCTCATCAAGCTTCAACAAGACCCAACTCTTTTCATCAAGTATCCCATGCTGGACAAGCAGATCAATGAAAATGTTCGCTTTCGTGGCCATGGCACCAATCAAAATTGATGAATAACAAAGGCATGCAGCCAACAACAGCATTGCTGTAATAATACTCAGGAGGGTGGCCCTTGAAAGGCCGAACACCTGCATCAAAATCAATCAGTTAAAGTAATAATTCATGTCTTGACTCAATTAAGTTGCTAGCAGAAATGTAAACACATATGCATTCAAAAGTGCTGCACGAACGAACTTACATTTTTAATTAAGCTCCAAAAACTGCTGTGTTTGACGATTTAAGTCCCATGTTGACGATGTTCGAGTGATCTAGGGGCGAAAAAGTTTATGTTTTAGATTTTTTATAAATTGTTACATGAACCAGCAAACGAGGTTTTTAGTTTAGTACTTACGAAGGGGAGATTCGGTTACAAAAAAGCAGGCTCCAATAATAATGTAGCACAGCAGAAGAACCAATCCCTTGAGGTAGTGCGAAGTACCATCCTACAAATATCAAGCAAAAGTGAGATTAAGGGTATGATTAGCAATCTTAATTGAGACTGAAGGATGATCATGTTTTTGATGAGGTAAGATTAGCAATCTTAATTAATTACCTGTAAAGTGAAGGCTACAGCAAGAATTGACAAAGCTAAAGAGCCAGTCTCAATGACACTGAAATTGAGATCCATGTTAATTCCCATTATCCAGGCAATAATCACGCACAATGGAACCTGCAGATTCATTCATTTCAATGGCATTTGAGTTGCAGATCTTCCAACATTAATTATATATGTTCTTATAGACTATAGTTGTCGTTCTTACCACAAACACGGCAATTTGAGTTGCAGATCCCAAGGCAACACCCAACGTTATATCCTACATAAAATACATACATATTTTTTTAAATGGAAAGATCTTGTGTTTAGAAATGCGAAGCTAATGTGATCGTTAATTAATCACTCACCAACTTGTTCTTGAAAGCGAATATGATTGCTCCTGCATGTTCTGCTGCATTGCCAACAATAGGTAGCAATATTATGCTGATGAAGCTCACAGACAAGCCCCAAGAATCTGATGCTTCCTGATGAAAAAGTAGTGATTTATATGAGTGCCATAATAAACAAAATGGGGTTATGTTTCAATCAAGGTGGCCAGATTATATATGCACCTCAATTGTTCCCACAACATACTCAGACAACAAGGCAATCACTGCAGTCATTCCAATCAGCCACACAATCCCACTCCCGAATCCAATCACAGGTGCTTCATCCGAAACAACACCATCATCCTCCGATTCCTGATCAATACCACCACATTAAATTGGCTAAGTTAGCAATCACCACAGATCAATGCTGCCATAAAATTCCCAAAATTTATCTTCCAAGTCTTGCATTAAGACGGGAACCATTTTTTAGAATAATGTTCTCTTTCAGACTTATGTTGCGAGACAACAAATCAAACCACTTATATTCATAAAAGAATCTTGCATTAATTACCTCCTGAGCTTCAAATAATTCACGGTGTGTCCACAACTGGAAGACAATGTATGCAGTATAAGCTATGAGCATAACAATGCAGCTGGCTCTGGACAAATGGAGGGAAGGGTCTGATGTCACACTAGCAGAGGCTCCTGCAGCAAACGTGAACAGCATTGGCAGCAAGTGACACAAAAGTGCCAGCAGCAACATGAGGGAGTTCACATCCGCTTGTCTCTGGTTGGACAACACCCAAATAAACAAACAACATATTATATGGGCATGAAATGAAACCAACAGTATCCCGGATAAGGATAACTTCATAATGGGCAGGGATATTTGTTTGTCCAGAGCCATGAACTTACCCTGTCATATTTCTGTTCTTTTCTGATGTTGGCAATGCCACCGCAAAAGAGAGAAGTGCCGAGGACTAAGAGAAGGTTTGAGAGAATGGACCCCAGCAGAGAGTACTTCACAACTGCTATCTTATGTTGAGCTAGGGCAAAGATTGCAATAATTAGCTCCGTGGCATTTCCACATGTCGCATTTAGAAGCCCTCCCACTGAAAAAATAAATGAATAAGAAATAAATCAATCAATCATGTCACCTATGTGACAAAAATTTAAATGAATAAATAAGAAATAATTGAATTACCTGTTGGACCGGTGTAAAAAGAAATTTGCCTGCAATGTTGGGGAGTAAAAAAGAAAAACCAAAATTTAGTGTGCGCTCAAATGGAAATTATACTAACTATAAGTACTAATATATAATGAAGAGGAAAAAAAATTGGACTTACTCTGTCAGAAAGCTGACCCGTTCTGCTAGTGGCATAAGACCAATTAAGCTCAGCGCAAACACCCAAGGCTGTTTAAGAGAAATAATCACAACGGTTACGATCAAAGGATTTCTATTATATAATTATCCTTTCTAAAGCAATTTTCTTTACAAGACATTTTACTTTGGGCTTGATTTTTAGTTGAGTAATTATACCACGTTGTCGTATTTCAGTATCATATTATAAATTTCTTCAACTTATATACGTATATATATCATAGAGGTATTAAAGAATTTATTTTAAAAAAATGGTTTTTCTACTGTTATATTGAAAAAAACCTAGCAAGGAGTTGGTACTCACGCTTGCAAAACCAAAACACTGAGCCAAAATGGCCAGTGGGATGGCTGGGAACAAAATGGAGAGTTTTGTCCCCAATGTAACCTCCTGCAAATTCGCCAAAAACTGTCTGAGGAGAGAGCATGGAATTTTGGAGACAAGGGTGAGGTCAGACTTCTTCCGCAGGGAAGAGGATGACATGTTGTGTGCGGTCCGACCGGTCCGATTCTCCTTAACTAAGCCCTTGAGGTTGCCATTTTCTAATAGCCATGGCTGGTCTTGGTTTGAAGCCATGACAGATAATGTAATTGCACAAAGCCCAAAAACCTAGCGACCCAAAAAAAAGAGAGAGAGAAGATTTTGTAGAACAAAGTTGCTTG